GGTGATACAGGTGTCAGTGCATAGTTATGCTATAAAGGAAGAACAGAGGGGGAATAAAAGAAGTTTGACACCATATAGATACTCAGTTGAAGCAAAATGGTCCACTTGTAGATTGTGGAGTATTCATTGTAATGTGACAGTCACAGAGAACGTGATGAATTTAAATAAACACGCAGGAAGCCACCTGAATGTGCAGCAAAGATTATTTTCATCCACTGAAAATCATGATTTATTCTCTGGGTATCTGGTGGACTTTTACAAATTTCCACAGCACCCATAAAAGCAGTGAATTTTCAGTCGTGTTATTATGGTGCACAGTTGCTCTGAGATAATTTTGATAACTTACTGATGCCAGTGATTCCTGGTTAATACAGCAGCATTTGCACTTTTCAAGAGTTTCAGTTTGTTTTTCTTCTCAGTTTCAAAAAGGTTATTTATGCATAAAACTGATGTTCCTGCAACAGCAAGATATGATTGGTCCTAAAATGGCAACCTGAGGGCGTCCTTTTCACCTGAGTCTTCCACAATGTTGACGCCAACAGGTCTGTTGTGATTCACATATCTTCTATGCCACCTTTTGTGATTGAAAAGTTACACCTGGCTTCCACAAGTGAAGCCACAATGATAATGACATTGATGGATGATACTCATGATAAGGCTTATTCTGGACTATTATATATTTTAAACATATGCAAGTAGCACTCAGCACAAAAAGTCTTTTTGTAAATGCTAAGTCTGCTTAGACATTACAAAGTGTATAAAATAACCATCCATAGCCCCACAACTGTCCAGGATTTGTAAGAGATTAAAACTTTATTGAAAATTGTTTCCTATATTTATGGATTATGTCGACTGTAATGATGCATAGGACTCCTAGTGCTCTCCTAATCCCAATTTTTGAGTGTTGTCTTGTTTATAAGTAAGGTAATTCTGTGATTTTTCTGTGAAGCAGAGGACAGATTTCTATATTGGGGATAAAAATCATTCTTAGTTTCCTTACTGATAGTTTTGTCAGCCTTGAACTTTCCGTTCCACTGACCACATCTCACTTAGGAATTAGTACATGTATTCAAATTGCCTTAGCTAACCATTAGGCCAACTAATAAATGTTTAGATAGATCCCTCATACATGCCACATAGGAAACCTGTCTGTCATATGGTTAAGCCATATGTAAGACCCATGCAAAGTTTAACAAAAGAGCATTGTATTAAACTGACAACATACAGTCTATGATCATTTTGGGGTTCCTAATAATTAAAGAACCTAATTTAAAACTCCTGCACTTCATGTTGTTGTTAATTTAAAGTCTCATTGTTTGTGAGCTATGTAGTTTTATTTGGAAAGTAAGAATTTCTTTAGAAGTTATTGATAATTCCTGTTTTCCGTTTTAATTTCCACAATTAAAACACACAGCGCCAGCACCTTGGTACCCTCGACTGACAGCTGCCACTGCTACAGTTGAGTGTGTGGTCCCCATGCTCCACGTCTGCTTGCCTTCTTGTGTGGGTGTGGGTGCGTGTGAAACCAGCATGCACCTCATCTTCCCTGCATGCCTTTCCCTTTCTCTCACGTGCTCTTGACTTGACGCCGTCTCTGGAGCCTAATCCTCTGATCAGCATGCCAGGAGAGCACAGGAGATGGGGGGGTGGACCGATATGGACTGTGGAGAATGGGGGGGCCTGAGGTGACGCCAGGCTCCAGCCACTTTCTCAGATTGCCTCGGCCACATTTCTACACAGTGCAGCTTCAGCTTATTGTTGACCAGAGGGTGGAGGTAGAAGTGGACCATGTCTCCCTCCTTCACCCATCTGCTCTCCATCCTCCCCTCTCTTCACATCCTGGGACTTTTCAAGGAGCTGACAGCTATGTGGGAGAAACAACGAGAAAGTGTGAAAAACTTCACATTTTAAAAGAAAAAAAAAACTCACATTTTAATAGAAACGATGCAGGAACAATGTACCTATTCTTCAAAAGACAGAATATAATTGCAAACTAGGGGGGGACTATCTCTAATTCCACTTTCCTCGGGCTGTTGATGTGTCAGGTTCAAGTTACCCATCAGACAAAGGCTGAGGTGAATGGGGTGACTGGATAGACCAGAGGGATTGAGAGGAGTTGCTTGGCACACAAACAATTAGCACTCGTCGCCGCATAGCTTGCAGTGGCCCCAAATCCCTACATTTGTCCAGACAAATTGACTGGACCCCAGGTCTTGTTTGTCAAGCTCTGCTGGTCTGTTGGAGAGGGCTTGAGGGCAGCGGGGAATGCCCCCTCTGGAGAGCCCGACTCATGGGAACAGAACAAATAACCTGCTGTGGTCAGAAAATGAGCCTTACAACAGTCTTTCAACTTTTAGCCATTTGTTATGTCATATTCTGATTGGTTTCTCTGATGAAGAATGTTTTTTTGTTTTTTTTTAAACTTTTTAGAACAAATATGAAAATCACAACCTTTTTTTGCAGTTGAATATGCATCAACTTTCTGGCTCAGTTTTCTACATGCTCAACATTAGGGAAAAAGGTAAACAGAGGAAATGATAAAAATCCATCATTTAAACAAGGCTCAAAGTTTACTGATATAGCTCAGTTCATTGTTGTATCACTTATAGTCATTCTATAAACCACTAACTCTGACAGGGTCATGGAGGAGTGGAACGTTTCAAACCCAAGTCTTATGAGAATTACTTGAATAACTGCCTTTTTTAAAGGTTTTGGCTGATTTATCTCATTATATTGTAGTATCTCATACTCCCACTGACACATGTCAAGTTAAGTGTTTGGAAGAGAAAGCATCTCAATGTAATGCCAGTAGCCTCGTTTGCTATTTTTTCTGGCTTACATTAATTGTAGCTCAGTTTTGAAGGCTGTCAAATGCATTCCACTTTTTCCACATTTAACTGTATATTATATTAATTAGTTATCTGAAATTTCAAGTAGACTGTCTCATAAAGGAAAGCCACCTAAGCCTGACAAGTTTCCAGAGTCACCCCTTTAAAGTTACAGAAGCAGCAGGATTGCTGCTCTGCTATTTCTGCATTGTTTTTTCCATCCTGTGACAGTCTTGTTCACTAATATTATAGTAAAATGTCTCTGTAACTGTTCCCACTTCTGTCTTAAAAACGAACATGTTTTGTTGGAGAAGAGTTAAAGGGTTGAAGTATCAATAATGTGTTGTGGTTTCAGTCTCTGTGGTTATTTCTTAGATTACACTGCCATCTAGGGCTTAAATTGGGAATTTTTTGTGTTATTCACAAAGCGTATCAACACCGTATCTCTCAGCAGGTCTTTCTTTCAAAGTACTAATGACAGGGATTTTTTTAACCTCTAATCCTAACAGTTACCTTTGAAAATCTCAAGTTGTACCTGTCATCACCTGTTACTTGGAGCTAAGCTCTGAGAAGTCCATTTACCCTGTAGTGTAGAGATACTAAACCCCAAATCCTGTCCCCTGTCACCATACCATTAATGCTGAATGTAGTGGTAGTATTTATTCAAAGTCAGTGTAATTCCAGATGGTCAGGGAGCCCTGTGTTGCAGGTCAGATGGCCACTGATGTTCAAGTGGCCATCCTTCTGTTTACAACCAACCACTCATTTTTAATAAAATAGAAAACAGGAATTTCGTCAAATATTCAATAGTCCCATGTACAACTCATAATGCAAGGAGCATTTGAATCCTTTATCACTTTACATCATTTTCATCACTTTACACATGCTTAGAATGGAAAACTATACATAAGGTCAGTCCTGGCAAGGTAATTTTCTCTCTCGTCAGCAGAGGGGGCTATCTCATCACCAGTGAAGGAGGAAAAAGTGTGAACATTTCATGTCCTCAATATGTCAGTGCGAACTTCATTTGTTCCTGAGACAGCACAATTTTTTTTCATATTTTCAACAGTATTTTTTTATAGCTGACATTAGACAGGCCTATTTTTTTAAGTTCTGGCATGAAGAGGCTGTACAGCTGGACTTCAAATTGACAGTTATTTCTCTAAGGAGGGCTCAGCATTAATCGTTTTTTAACACAGTAGCTGTTTGCTTTGGAACAGGTGAACCAAAAAGAATAAAGCCTTGATCACAAGAGCAGGTAAAATGTTTTTAGGATGTTACAGTAATAAATCAGGCTATCATGGAGAATACCTGCCAAAAAGAAAATCACTATAAAGGGCAAGTGTCTGAGCAACAAAACAAAGGTTTAGATGCCTTTAGAAGTTAAAATGATCCTCTTTGTGCAGGTGGTGACATCAATATGTCATCCATGAACACATATAATCATTATAAGTCACGATCAATCCATCCTGGCCAATATTTACCAAAAAATTATAATCGACGTAACACAGGAAAAGGCATGAATAAATTCTCAAACAACTGTTTTCATATTAAACTTTATGAGTAACATATAATATAACAGCTTATCTTACAAATAAGGGGCAATGATTTTCTATTTTTTATGTTGTCAAAGTAGAAATATTTGTTGTGGTTGAAGAGACTGAAGCTCGAATGGTAGAGGTGGCCATGGCTGTTGTAGAAGAATCGAATACTGCTGTAGAAGAAACACCCTCTGTAGAGGAGGAAAATATGCCAAGACTTATTGTTGACAGGGGGAAGCTCACAGTGGTAGGATGTAATTGAGTGGTTGTTATGAATCCTGTTATAGTGGTCGAGGAGGGATCTGCTGTGGTTGTTGAGGGTGCACCTGTATTTGGAGTCGAGGTGGAACTCAAAACACTTGAGGAGGATGTGCTTGTTGTTAGGCTAGTTGTTAAGGTTGAGGGGTTGCTGGTTGTTGTGGTTGGCAGGGAACTTGAAGTTGAAGTAGATGGGGCTACTGTTGTTACAGTTGAGGAGGGCACTTATTCGGTGGTCGTTGAGGAGGAGGTAACTGCTGTTGTAGAAGTGGGAGCCACAGTTGTGGTTGAAGAGATGGTAGCACTTGTGGTTGAGGGAACTGAGGTTGATGAAGTTGACACATCCCCTGTTGTTGATGTATAGGCTTGTGTTGTTGTGGTTGATGTGGGATCTGCTGTGGTTGTTGAGGCTGCACTTGTTGCTAGAGTTGAGGTGGAACTCACAGCACTTGTAGTTGTGAATGGGGCAACGGTTGTTGTGGATGACTGGCTTACTGTCATGGTTGAGGAGGAACTAAATGTGCTTGTTGTTAGGCTAGTTGTTGAGGTTGAGGGGTTGCTGGTTGTTGTGGATGGAAGGGAACTTGAAGTTGAAGTAGATGGGGCTACTGTTGTTACAGTTGAGGAGGGAACTGATTCGGTGGTCGTTGAGGAGGAGGCAGCTACTGTTGTAGTTGTGGGAGCCACTGTTGTGGTTGGAGAGATGGTAGGACTTGTGGTGGAGGGAACTGAGGTTGATGTAGCAGAGAGATCCCCTGTTGTTGATGTATAAGCTTCTGTTGTTGTGGTTGATGTGGGATCTGCTGTGGTTGTTGAGGGTGCACTTGTTGTTGGACTTGAGGTGGAACTCAAAACACTTGTAGTTGTGGATGGGGCAAAGGATGTAGTTGATGACTGGCTTACTGTCATGGTTGAGGAGGAACTAAATGTGCTTGTTGTTAGACTAGTTGTTGAGGTTGAGGGGTTGCTGGTTGCTGTGGTCGGCAGGGAACTTGAAGTTGAAGTAGATGGGGCTACTGTTGTTACAGTTGAGGAGGGAACTGACTGGGTGGTCGTTGAGGAGGAGGCAGCTACTGTTGTAGTTGTGGGAGCCACTGTTGTGGTTGAAGAGATGGTAGCACTTGTGGTTGAGGGAACTGAGGTTGATGAAGTTGACACATCCCCTGTTGTTGATGTATAAGCTTGTGTTGTTGTGGTTGAGGAGGGCTCTGCTGTGGTTGTTGAGGGTGCACTTGTTGTTGGACTTGAAGTGGAACTCAAAACATTTGTAGTTGTGGATGGGGCAAAGGATGTAGTTGATGACTGGCTTTCTGTCATGGTTGAGGAGGAACTGGATGCGCTTATTGTTACGCTAGTTGTTGAGGTTGAGGGGTTGCTGGTTGTTGTGGTTGGCAGGGAACTTGAAGTTGAAGTAGATGGGGCTACTGTTGTTACAGTTGAGGAGGGAACTGATTCAGTGGTCATTGAGGAGGAGGCAACTACTGTTGTAGTTGTGGGAGCCACTGTTGTGGTTGGAGAGATGGTAGGACTTGTGGTGGAGGTTGATGAAGTTGACACATCCCTTGTTGTTGATGTATAAGCTTGTGTTGTTGTGGTTGAGGAGGGCTCTGCTGTGGTTGTTGAGGGTGCACTTGTTGTTGGACTTGAGGTGGAACTCAAAACATTTGTAGTTGTGGATGGGGCAAAGGATGTAGTTGATGACTGGCTTTCTGTCATGGTTGAGGAGGAACTGGATGTGCTTATTGTTACGCTAGTTGTTGAGGTTGAGGGGTTGCTGGTTGTTGTGGTTGGCAGGGAACTTGAAGTTGAAGTAGATGGGGCTACTGTTGTTACAGTTGAGGAGGGAACTGATTCAGTGGTCATTGAGGAGGAGGCAACTACTGTTGTAGAAGTGGGAGCAACTGTTGTAGTTGCAGAGATGGTAGGACTTGTGGTTGAGGGAACTGAGGTTGATGAAGTTGACACATCCCCTGTTGTTGATGTATAGGCTTGTGTTGTTTTGGTTGGTAAGTGCTCCGCTGTGGTTGTTGAGGGTGCACCTGTAGATGGAGTTGAGGTGGAACTCAAAACAATTGTAGATGTGAATGGGGCAATTGTTGATGATGACTCGCTTTGTGCCATAGTTGGGGAGGAACTAGATATACTTATTGAGGGGGTAGTTGTTGAGGTTGTAGGGTTTTTGGTTGTTGTGGTTGGCATTGAACTTTGCGTAGAAGTATATGGGGCTCCAGTTGTTACAGCTGAGGAGGGCAGTGTTGTGGTGGTCGTTGAAGAGGTGGCAATAACTGTTGTAGTGGTGGGAGCCACTGTTTTGGTCGAAGAGACCCAAGCACTAGGAGTAGAGGGAACTGAGGTTGATGTAGCAGAGAGATCCCCTGTTGTTGATGTAAAGGCTAGTGTTGTTGTGGTTGTTGAGGGCTCTGCTCTGGTGTCCTGTGTTGATGTGGTACTAGCTGTGGCAGGAGCAATTATTGTTGTGGTAAGGGCAGCTGTGATTGTTGTTTTGATACTAGTTGTGGCAGTGGTAGCTGTAGTTGTTTTTGTGCTACTTGTGGCAGGAGCAGCTGAGGTTGTTGTGGTAGTACTTGTGGCAGGGGCAACTGTTGTTGTGATACTAGTTGTAGCAGGAGCAGCTGTTGTTGTGGTACTCGTTGTTGTAGGAGCAGCTGTGGTTGTTGTGGTACTTGTTGTGGCAGGGGCAGCTGTTTTTGTGGTACTAGTTCTAGCAGGGGCCATTGTTGTTGTGGTGGTAGTTGTGGCAGGGGCAATTATTGTTGTGGTGCTAGTTGTGGCAGGAGAGGCTGTAGTTGTGGTACCAGTGGTGGTGGGAGCAGCTGTTGTTGTGGTACTAGTTGTAGCAAGGGCAGCTGTGGTTGTTTTGATACTAGCTGCGGCAGGAGCAGCTGTTGTTGTGGTACTTGTTGTAGGAGCAGCTGTGGTTGTTGTGGTACTTGTTGTAGCAGGGGCCGTGGTTGTTGTGGTACTTGTTGTAGCAGGGGCCATTGTTGTTGTGGTACTAGTTCTAGCAGGGGCAATTGTTGTTGTTGTGGTGGTAGTTGTGGCAGGGGCAATTGTTGTTGTGGTGGTAGTTGTGGCAGGGGCAATTGTTGTGGTGCTAGTTGTGGCAGGAGCAGCTGCTGATGAGGTACTTTTTGTTGTAGGAGTAGCTGTTGTTGTGGTTCTTGATGTGGCAGGGGCAATTGTGTTTGTGGTACTAGTTCTGGCAGGAGCAGCTGTTGTTGTTGTGGTACTAGTTGTGGCAGGAGCTGCTGTTGATGTGGTACTTGTTGTGGCAGGAGCAGCTGTTGATGTGGTAATAGTTGTGGCAGGAGCAGCTGTTGATGTGGTACTTCTTGTTGTAGGTGCAGCTGTGCTTGTTGTGGTACTTGTTGTAGCAGGAGCAGCTGTTGTTGTTGTTGTCCTTGTTGTGGCAGGTGCAGCTGTGGTTGTTTTGGTACCAGTTGTGGCAGGAACAGGTGTTGTTGTTGTGGTACTAGTTGTGGTAGGAGCAATCATTGTTGTTGTGGTACTCGTTGTGGCAGGAGCGGCTGTTGTGGTACTAGTTGTGGCAGGAGCGGCTATTGTTGTGGTACTAGTTGTGGCAGGCGCAGCTGTGGTTGTTGTCGAAGTTAAAGCAGGGAGATCTGTCGTTGTTGTAATGGTAGATGTTACAGGGTCGACTGTGGTAGTTGTCATGGGAGAAGCTGTGATTGTAGATGTGGTCGATGGGGTGATTTCTATGTCTATTCCAACATAAGGCTCCTCCGGGATTTCCTCAAGTCCCCACAGCTCATAAAATCCCTCATCAAACTCATCTTCCCCATCAGAATCATCACTTTCCTCATTAGTATCAGTTTCAGAGCCAGTTACTGTTATTGTTGTTGTTGTTGTTGTTGTTGGTGGTGGTGGTGTTATGTCTGGATCAAACGGTTCAACAGGGATGTCCTCAAAGTCCCACAAGTCAAATAAATCAGGTTCCTGGAGTGCTCTCTTAGCAGGATGCCTTGCTTTTTTTTCGCAGCACACCAGCATCGTGCAATGAGTCCCAGCAGAGTTAAGATAAACCAGTTCAAAGCCAGAATCCTGTAAACATGGCCAATTTTGTTTATTTTACATGCAAGTTGGAAAACTCTGTTTCTATGAAAAGCATGTCAGGCCTACCATTTGTGACGGCTGAAATATCTCCAGAACCAAAGCATTTGGTGTCTTCCTTTTTCTCATGAAGTGTCCTTCATTTCTGAAATGATCTGCTAAAACAGCAGACACAAATTTCCCAGACAAACTTGACTACTATGTGCAGGTATGAAAACTAAATTAATAACTACGGCTAATCATATAAAAGCCTACGAGCAAAGTACTTCTGTCTGGCAACGTTTTTTACAAATTCCACACAGGATCACGTGGTAGAGGTGTGACCACAAACAAAAGATGTAACCGAGATGGGAATGAAATTATTGGAATAATAGTCAAATTAATAGAAAATGAATGGACTTGTTCATGCACCTACTCTATAATCCTTACCAAGTGCTTTCACCTTCCTCAGAATGGTTCCATGAGGCAGCTTCACAGTAACATGCGTTGCTCCACATGTAACTTGCGGGTACGCTGGTTGCTTTGACATGTCTGGATTCTCACAGAGAGCTGTGCCTGTCATGTTCTGCTGCAGCAGATGATCAAAGTAGTGCAGTTTCAGTTGGTGGCATCCCATCCTGTCTACTTTCTGTGTATAAAAATACAAATGGAGGAGGAATGGCAGAAGACTTACATTTCCAACGTCAAATGACAGATCAGTCAGTGATAAAGTTTACAGATGGACACTTTTACCACTCTGGACAGATGGCTAGGGATGCATTTTGATCAGACATTACCTGCATTGCATTCTGGCAGCCAGTATAAGAAAACTTCATGATAAACCACCATCTATTTATCTGAATGGAACAGTGACACTTCTCAGGAAGTGACAACAACTGCACCCCATCTGTGGAAAAGGATATAGGTCAACATTTAAGACCTCAAGCAAAACCAGTTTTCCTGTTCTCCATATGCAAAAAAAAACCAAAACAATTTTGCTAGGCAACAATTCTAACATACTACACCTTCTAGATGCAGATTTGAGAATCTGATACGTGAAAAGCGCAGGGTCAGTGTTCCATTAGTGCAGTGATACTGAGGCTGGTTGAAATCTGAGCTTCCTGAGACTAAACAAGACAAAAACAAAATTACGTCAAAGAAATCCTCACAAGTTTTTGAGCCTACTGTACAGGTAATGAGTTTTTTTAATGCAAAAACGTTAAAGGGGGTGTAGATAGCCTCATGGTGGAGGCACACCTCATGTTAGGATGTTATGGCTAGTGTTTAGAAAGGGGATTCCCTCTTATAACTGCAAATAATCTGACTTAAATAAATGAACCAGTTTAGTTTTGTTTTTTTATCTGGAGGTCATTTCATATTTTCATATATAGTAGACATAATGGAAAATACAACTCTAATTCTAAATAGTTGGGAAGCTTTGTAAAATCTTATCTTAACCACATGTTGATAGTTTTTTATGATCATTGAAACCCTTAATGTAATTCAAAAACAACTTATTAATGTTGAAATTTCAGAAAAAGGTGTGTTCATTTTAAATTCAAGCAACATATTCCATAATAATCAGGACAATAAGGGGTGGAAATTAACAGTCAGAATGTTATTAGAAACTGGATCTGTTCAAGTGATCATCTTAGTCAAAGTAATAACTAATTTCTTTGTAACTGAATAAGTCTAGAATAGAACATCAAACTATAATAATAGCCTACGTAAAGGAATTTATAAATCTTACCACAGAGATCTAAGATGTCTGTTGGATCAGGCAGCAAGGAGAGGCTGTTTGCCAGCCACAGGAGTGAAAAACTCCTGACAATTTGCAGAGTCAATGCAAACCAAGATGATCAGCTGCGCCACACAGTGCAAATTTCTTTTTAGCTTATCAGTTGACAACCTGTTGGTTGGCTAAACCAACATGCTGTGTTTATTGAAAACGTGCTGGCAGACTTAGTTGTAATCTTGTAATCTTTCAACTGTTAAAATGGTCAAACAAATGTTTTTTTCACTATACCATTAAAAATGTTATTTGAGTTTATAACAGGATTTTTGTTTGTTTGTTTGTTTAGGGGGGCACCACCCATATGTTTAGAGGTTCACCAATTTGAGAGTCTGTATGAGCCAATAGTTTGATATTCTCAGACATGTTTCTCAGTGTTCAACTGCTAAGAATTACTGTATGAAAATGCAGAAAGTCATGAGAAAAAAAACGTTTCTTATTCAGTTTCTCTGACACTGTAAGTTGATCACACAAATTTTTGCTTGGTTGAAATAGAAGATTTGTATTTAACTAGAGTGCAATGATGAAGTTTGTATTTTAAGTCTGCTGCCTCAGCTAAACTCGTGACTCAGAAAAGCAGAGCTATTAATATTTTAACTTGTAACACCAAACCGACAGCAAAATCGGTTCACTTTAGCTGCTGTTAACACGTGGACAGGCTGTAGCAGTTTTGCTGCGATGAAATGCAAACAAACTTAAAAAGCTGTTTGAGACAGAAGCTACTTAAGACTGTCCCCTCACCTTGGAGAAATTTCCAGACCTCCGCAGTGAAACTCTGGTTGGTCCTGGCTCTCATACTATAATCAGATTTTCCCGCGCTGCAGCCATGAAGCTCGTCCTGGCCGGTCAAATGTCCATGAGCATACATGTGGCTTCCTGGTTTGTTGAGCTGGGCTAGAGTAAAACCGATCCAAACCCAAGCCATCAATTCGGAAGCCATCATATTACACCGTTTAGCTCAGCTCCTCTCTGCCGCCAAACGAGGCCGAAGGTCTCGACGCACAGCTGCTCCATATGTGCACTTATTACATCCAGATAGTGTTGTGTCGTTCGCCAATGATTCGTTCAAAAGACCCGAATCTTTTAACTGAACGTACTGAACCGAATCACTTCCTCTAGTGATTCGTTCGTTTCTTACTTCAGTTGAGCTGAAGTGAGAAACCGCATTGCCAGGCCAGCAGCCAACGAACGAGAGACCACATGCACCGACGCCTGAATCACTTGGTGAATGAATCACACATTGAACTACACTCTCTGGAATCATTTTTGTCAGACAAAATTAACCTTTTTTCACTGCTTATTTGCCACCACATCAACTTGCATGCATTAGGACACAGCATGTAACAAGTAGTGCATTAAACCCACAGCATCCTATCGTTGCAGTGGTTTGCAAGGGAACAGTGCATGTTCAGTGTGAATTCTTCTAAAAGTTCAGTGAACGAATCACTCACTGACCCCGATTTACCGAGCAGACCTGGTAAACAGCATGCTATAGGACAGTACACTTTAAACATTGTAACTTATAAACAAGTTCATTTTTACAAACCTGTTTGCCAAAGCAACACAGCCAAACACTCTTGTCTCCCAGTCCCAGAAGCTATGAATCGAACTGAATCCTGAAACATTCAGCTGTGTTTCAGTTCAGGAGGTCGCAGGCAGTAGATGGCAGTGTTTCAATCTCAGAGGAGAAACTGTTGGCAAATTATGTGAATCTTGTCAGTCTTGTCTCTCTCTTGTATTTGTGATGAAAAAAAATAGAATGCCCCAGAAGAGTTCATTGTTTTTCCCTACAGTCCGATCTAAGGCGTAAAAGTTTTCTCAGTTCTTCTAGATTCATCATGCACACAGTGAAATATTTTAAGACTTTTTTATCATAAAAAAGGCATAGTATATTGTGGAAAAGTTTGGTTTCTTGTAAGTTTTTTTAGTCCTGAAAAGAACACTGATCACTTTTAGTTTACTATATTCATATCTTTGTAAATCTTTTTGAGACATTGAAATTTTTTTTGAGCTGCATCTGTATATGATGAGAAGTGCCTATTCTTAACATTTGGATAAACTAATTCTGTAAACATTAAAAAAAAAAAAGAAAAGGACAGTAAGCTTCTTCAAATAAACTCAATACTTTGATTTTCGTATTTATGTGTTGTGATGTGTACAGGCAAACAGAAAGCAAGGAAATCCAAATTTGGATGTAAACGATTAAAGCTGTGTTTTAGGATGGAGACATTCTGACTGATATGTGCTTCTGCGAATAAACGCACTTGTGGAGTGTAAGCAAAAGCGGCTTATGGGAAACGTAGTCCGTGGATGAAAACATCTGCAAATCAAGAAGCACCTCAGAAACTTTCCTCCTCAAATTTCTAAGATGCCAAGGACAAAAAAAGTGAAAAGGCATACTTGAACGTTAAATAAGTGAAGAGTACTTATTCCAAAGACACAGATGCTTCACTTGGAACCTTTTTTATTCATTTTCGCTCATACTATTTCATTATTTTCGTTTTTCACCATTGATAGCTTATGTAGGCTTCGATGTCCTCCTGGTACCCAGTATTATTTCGGTGGTGAATAAAAGCCTCCAATGTGTTTTTAAAACCTTTTAAGTTGTCATACTGATACCTCCTACCTTGCAGAGGGCGTCCTGGCCTTTCCAATGAGCTATCATGTCAAGGAACTTCAATAAGTGTTTGATCTCAATGGCAGCCACATTTAATGGGCCCAAGAGAGGTTCATAGTCATAAAATAAACATTTGTGTTGCCTGTTTTAGATAGAGAGGCCTTTTAACCCTTTAGAATAGTTTGAAATTGAGAAACAAAGATTTAACCTCCAGTGTACTTTTCATGCAATTTGAGTGTGCTTTCATATGAAATTCATGGTGTGACAGGAATTTGACTGAGGCATTACAAACCTTGGATTGTGGATGAGAGCTCAGACTTTGAGCTGCCTATGTCATCTTTTTTTTAGCATGTTGGAATATACTGCTTTCAATAGTTTTTCATTGTTCTCCCTTTTTTTTGTCTTGATTAAAGTTGGTTCCTCCAGTTCATGCCAAGCAATAAGCTGTGCCAAAAGTTATATTACCATGCAGGATGACACCTTCATCAGATTATATTAGTTTTTTTGACACAAAATACAGTTTACAAAGACTGTTAAGGAGATTATTTAACCGCAATACATCTCAGTAAGATCATATCATAGAGGTAAGTGCCATCTAAGTACTACATGAGTTAGTTTTATGTACAGTTTCAGGTTTAGACTTTGAGAAAACTGTCAACTATCTGGTTGTTTTAAAAAGTATCCTTTTTTTGGCTTTGAGACAGTTTGTGAGTACATCTGAAGGAAGTGCTGGGATTTTCATTTCAGTCACAGCTTTGTAGTGTGACAGGGAAAATAGTTTGTAATACAACATTCATTTTTTAAAATCTATTAGTTCTTGCATACAATAGTTAATTCACCATTTGTTCTTAATGTGGTCATAAAGAGTGTCTTCTCTTTTCTTATGATTATAATTCACTACAGGTAACTGACTGAAAACATAGCAGAATGTCTGAAGTGGTCGATGCAGATAATATGAGCATTTAGCAGTTAATTAGGAATAACTTTTTTTATAGTAGCTGTCAGGCCCAACACTATTTAAAATATTGTGTAAAAATGAAGACATACTGTAAGCTAGAGCAAAAACAGCCATCAAGATAAACTGGGATGCAAAAATTACAAAAAGAAAACGGAAAAAGAAACAAGCTTCTCTGAATTATCAAAGTGATTTATTTAATTGTGTGTGTGTGCTCATTCAATTCTTTGGCAGCAAAGAGTCACTAATTCTCTAAGTTGTGGTAGAAATGCTGGAGGTGGTGGTTAGACCAGCTGCAGTTGTGGTTGAGCTAAAACTTAGAGTGGTGGTAGGGGCAATGGTTGTTGATGGAATTGGACTTGTTGAAGGAAGTAGGGAAAGAGTTGTCGTTATAGGCGGGCTGGATGTTGATGAAGGGGGAAAAGTGAGACTTGTTGAAGAAAGGGGACTACCTGTTGTTGAGAAAGGTAGACTAGATGTTGACGACTGAGGTGGACTAGATGTTGACGACTGAGGTGGACTTGATGTTGACGACTGAGGTGGACTTGATGTTGACGACTGAGGTGGACTTGATGTTGACGACTGAGGTGGACTTGATGTTGACGACTGAGGTGGACTTGATGTTGACGACTGAGGTGGACTAGATGTTGACGACTGAGGTGGACTAGCTGTGGTTGACTGACTTGCTGTGGTTGATGGAGTCGGACTTGCTGTGGTTGACTGAGGTGGGCTAGATGTTGACGACTGAGGTGGACTAGCTGTGGTTGACTGACTTGCTGTGGTTGATGGAGTCGGACTTGCTGTGGTTGACTGAGGTGGACTAGATGTTGACTGAGGTGGACTAGATGTTGACTGAGGTGGACTAGATGTTGACTGAGGTGGACTAGATGTTGACTGAGGTGGACTAGATGTTGACTGAGGTGGACTAGATGTTGACTGAGGTGGACTAGATGTTGACTGAGGTGGACTAGATATTGACTGAGGTGGACTAGATGTTGACTGAGGTGGACTAGATGTTGACTGAGGTGGACTAGATGTTGACTGAGGTGGACTAGCTGTTGACTGAGGTGAACTCGCTGTAGTTGACTGAGGTGAACTCGCTGTAGTTGACTGAGGAGGACTCGCTGTAGTTGACTGAGGAGGACTCGCTGTAGTTGACCGAGGAGGACTCGCTGTGGTTGACCGAGGAGGACTCGCTGTGGTTGACTGAGGAGGACTCGCTGTGGTTGACTGAGGTGGACTAGCTGTTGTCGACTGAGGTGGACTAGCTGTTGTCGACTGAGGTGGACTAGCTGTTGTCGACTGAGGTGGACTAGCTGTTGTCGACTGAGGTGGACTAGCTGTTGTCGACTGAGGTGGACTAGCTGTTGTCGACTGAGGTGGACTAGTTGTTGTCGACTGAGGTGGACTAGCTGTTGTAGACTGAGGTGGACTAGATGTTGATGACTGAGGTGGACTTGCTGTGGTTGACTGAGGGGGACTCGCTGTGGTTGACTGAGGTGGACTTGCTGTGGTTGATGGATTTGGACTTGCATTTGACTGAGGTGGACCTGCTGTGGTTGACTGAGGTGGACCTGCTGTGGTTGACTGAGGTGGACCTGCTGTGGTTGACTGAGGTGGACCTGCTGTGGTTGACTGAGGTGGACCTGCTGTGGTTGACTGAGGTGGACCTGCTGTGGTTGACTGAGGTGGACTTGCTGTGGTTGACGGAGGTGGACTTGCTGTGGTTGACTGAGGTGGACTTGCTGTGGTTGACTGAGGTGGACTTGCTGTGGTTGACTGAGGTGGACTTGCTGTGGTTGACTGAGGTGGACTTGATGTTGATGGAGGTGGACTAGATGTTGTGGTGGTGGTAGTGGTCAATGGGACACTGTTTGTCACAGTTGTTACAGTGTTAGTCACTGCTGCAACAGTTGTGATTGTTGCTGTTGTCAAAGGCACGGTAGTTGGGGTGGTTGTAGCTGGGGCAGCAATGGTGGTGGTGGTTGTTGCTGCAGCAGGCGCACCTGTTAAGGTTGTAGCAGGGGCAACAGTAGTAGAACTAATTACAGTAAAAGATGCAGTTTTATCTGTGACAGTTGCAGCAGTTGTAGTAGATGTGACTGGAGCAGAGGTAGTAGATGTCGTGATCCCTGTTATTGTAGAGGCCCCTGTTGTTGTAGAAGCAGTAGCGCTTGGAATTTCTACATCTATTCCAATGTACGGTCCTTCAGGAATTTCCTCCACTCCCCATAATTCATAGAAACCTAAATCATACGCTGTTTCACCCTCTGTGGCTGTGGCTGTGCCTGTGCCTGTGCCTGAGTCAGTTGCTGTGCTGTCTGTTGCTTGATTTGTTGTCTGTGTTGTTTCTGAATCAAATGGTTCAACAGGAATCTCTTCAAAGCCCCACAGGTCAAATAAATCTGGTTCCTGCAAAGATCTGACATGATGCCTTTCTACTTGTTTTGGAAAAATGGGGGAACAAGAAGTCAGCATGGCACTCAGTGTCCCAGTGGCACCCTCATAGACCAGTTCAAAGTCCGAATCCTGTGAAAATTCTCACTGTCAGTTTACACAGTCATTAAAACATTTTTTTACAGTGTGTCTGAATAGTTTGACTTGCCTTATGTGGTAACTTTGTTATCTTCACATATAATGCATTGATGGTCCTCAACTGTCTCACCAAGTATCCTTCATTCGTCGGGAAATCTACCCAAAAATAAACCCCACAAAACGTTATTGTGCTGCTCGTCTGACAACTATCCCAGCCCACCAGTTTCAAACAAAAAATGTAAATCTCATCACTGATGGTCTTGTTTGTTTTTGGTGTGTCATAAAAAGTTATCAGCGTGAATTTCTATCTGCTCCATGAATGTAAAAAACTCCTCACAGGAGCTTTAAACAAATATATCCCTCAGTCAATGAAATCACAGTATTTATCACTACATTATATCAGCCATGATGCCTCTTTCAAAGCATAAAGTATCCTTTTAATGTTAGCTGTAATGTTTAATAATTTAACTTAAAGATGACTTTTGCCCACAGGTACTTACCAAGCTCTTTAACCCTTCTCAGTTTTGTCTCACGGGGCAGCTTCACAGAGATGTGCCTTTCCCCACAGATCACCAGTGGGGACACAACTTGTGAGGAGGTTTCATGACCTGGGCAGAGAGCTATGCTCGTCATATTTTCCTGAAGGAGACGGTCGAAGTAATGTATCCTCAACAGGGGGGGACCATTTCCATCTTCTTCAGTCTGCTGTAAGAAAATATTACCAGAAATTGCACTGCATTACCAAAATGGCTGCTGCAATACATGGTTCAACATAAACAGAGTAAAACATCTCAAACACAATATCTCACAGTGCAGGAAATACTGTTGGATAAAGCATGATATTTGGTACTGATGGAAATAAGCATTTTACCTGCATTGCCATGCGACAGCCAACATAAGGAAGCTCTGCCAACAACCACCCCCCATAAATATGAATCCAACTGCGACATCTTTCAGGCAGAGATAACAACTGAGTCCCATCTATGAAAAAGAATTTGGAGAAACGTATGAGGCTGTCAGTCTGCTTTTTAAAAAGAGATAACATTGTGTGGGAGCTAAATGTATCAAACACACCTTCGAGAGAAAAATGTGTGTATCTGACAAGGGAGAAGCGCAGGAGGAGTGCTGCACTGCTGCAACTGAACTGTGGCTGATTAAAGTCCGATGTTCTTCTACCTCCTGTAATGAAAAAAATTATTGAAAAAAAAAAAAAGGAGAATACAAAATGTGAAAAGTAGAAACACATGGAGATCAAACTTCTTTGGGAGCTGTTTGTTAGGTGTTTAATATTTAGATGTTTGCTAAATTTGAAGCTATAAACCCAACACTGATATCTTAGCACAAAGTGGAAACAGGTGGCTGAGCTCTTTCCAGCTGAGTTGGCAACAAAATCAGCTCATTTGTTCATCCTTAAAAAAACAGTAATTGTTGTTTGCAAGTGGTTTTGTGAAGTAAACTTAATGCAATCAAGTCACTTCCCACTGGACGCATATCTATTAATTTCTCAAAATGTTGAACAAAACTAACAATCAGCAACATCAGTGTGAAGCAAACACATCTTACAAGTTTTGGAAAATTTATTTCAATGTTATTAAGATTTAAGGCATTTATAATAAAATATATTCCAAAATCCTTAAGGTCTTTTTGGGTTGTGTTGTGAAAATAGTAAAAATAGGCTTTTTTGTGAAACAAAAATCAGATATAGTATAAAAACTATTAGAAACTGGGAACCTATGTCGAACTCTTTATGATAAGAGAAATGATAAAAAATGGAATTGCTTTGTGGTGTGAAACACTGTATTTGAATAAAGTAAGAATCAAGATATACTATGAAAAAAAAAAGAAAAAAAAAAAAAAAAAACTAAGATCCATCAATATCTTCAGTGCAAAGATCTCCATAACACACTATTTGACAACTCTTGTCTCTTAGTTAACCAATTAGTGAAAGATCCAATAAAAACTTTAAAATACCACCCATTTTCAGGAACTGGATTCAACATAACCCCCATAATTTCCATTTAATGTTTACATGGATAAAGATAAATATTCAGTCATATATATATAGTCCATTTCTACAAAAGTCTGTTCTGCTAAATTTGTTTAAGTATTACACACTATTCCTTAAAATCTGAAAAATGGATAATCTTTCAGATTAACAAATGGGTTAGAGAGGCCTGTGGGCATTTAGGAAACACAAGGATCTTTACAACATTTATCTCCACATGTCAAGAAAAATGTAAAAGCAATATGTTCTTAGGTCCTACCATCCTGCATAGACTGCCTACAGAAGAAAGTTTCAACTATGAAAAGTCAGACAGATATAAAGAAATATGTTAAATGTATAACCTGCATATTAGAAAACCGTGAATCGTAAATGTAAGAATGGCTGTACAGAGGCTAAATTCATCAATACAGCTGTTAACAGCAATAGCATAGGGCTTTAGTTTATCATATGAGTCTATATGCCATGGTGTGTTGAGGTCTCTGCATGTGTAGGTTACTGACGTAATGTAATCATCGGGTCTATCTTGTCCTTATAAAACCTGCTCTATTACGACGAGTGTCTGTCTTCTTCTGTAGTCAAACCGCAAGATATCAGAATCTACCCGGATACAGCAATGCTGCTTTTTCATTGGCTGTTCAGTAGATATACTTTATTTGATTGGCTTGCGCGTGGCACGCAGCTTGTGAACTCTCGGAGGAACTCAGTTGATTTCTACCTGTTCCATTGTTACAGAGGTGCAACTTTGTGGACATCACCGTGTTCATATAAATACGTGAGAAATACAATGTGTGGCGTGTGAGCGGGTGGGAATGCGTGTGTCACACGCTGAATGCGTGAGACTTGATCGCCTTATTATGTACTTTCAACCGCGCTCTCGTCTGGGGGGCATTCTACGGCAGGGGTGCATTCTACGGCGCAACACCGGCGTGGATAAGTCCTGCTACTCGTTCTCGCAGCTTTGCAACGCTACCACAGGCTCTCCAAGCACACGTGAAGAGTGTGCGCATGATTGGAATAATGGAACGCAGTTTGGCCTATGATTGGTTCTCGTCAGCGAATGAGCCAGGAGGATTTGCTGACCAAGTGTCATTTAAAGGGCCGATTTCTGAAGTGTTCGGTTTACGTCACATATGTCAGAGTCAAGGCCCGCGGGCCACATCCGGCCCGCGAGAAGGTTTTTTACGGCCCCTGGGATGATCTTGATTTATTATTGGAACCGGCCCGCAGACCGCAGCAAGCCGGCAGCCCGCAGATCTTTTACACGCACCAATACTACATTTCCCACAATGCAACGGTGACGCACCGAGCAGCAGGCTGCTTCATTTCAATATTTATTAGCACAGCAGTCGTCAGCATAACAGTAAAATTAACTTTCAGATATCCATTAAATATGGCAAAACGGAAGGTGGACACTGAGAACCGGGGGTTTCAAACAAGGTGGGAGTCGGAGTATATGTTCACGGAGGTAGCTGGAAAACCTGTGTGTCTTCTGTGTGGAGAAAGTGTGGTGGTACTGAAAGAGTATAATCTGAGACGACATTATGAAACGAAACGCGGACAAAAACAAGAATATGGACATGGAACAAAGGCTACAGAAGGCCGAGGAATTAAAACGATATTTTAAAAATATTTCAGTTGAGTGGATGATAGAAAATTGCTATTATTATTTTTTTCTTTGAAGTAAATTTAGCCCACTTTTGCTAAAATAGAAAATATAGGCTACTGATGGTGCCTTGAATAATACCGGTTTCTTTCATGTAATGTTCATGTTATGGGGATTTTTATATAAAGGAAATTTGTCTTTTGTGTCTGTTGAAAATTAAAGATTACTGACAGAGCCATAAGAAAATATTGCTTTATTTATCTGATCATATTGGAATATATTCGTTAGGTTTTCAGTAGGTTCAATTAGGTTCACTAGACTATATGCGTCATTTAAAAAAAATTCAATGAACATTCGATCAGTCCGTCAGATCAGTTTTTATTTGGCCCTCCGTCCATTTGACTTTGACACCCCTGGTTTACGTATTAAGCCAATCACATGATAATAAAAAACAATCCCCCGACCCCCTCCCCCCCTAAAAAAAATTCTCCTCGGATCTACACGATTCACGTAGGTCACCCTTTTTGACTTCAAAATGGCGAATTTCGCCGAAAGGTGAGAGATTTTCATGCCTGATTAGAAGAACAATATTGCTTTTACATTCATATGTGATAACTTTGGTTGTCACATTGATAAACACTGGATGTAATTGCATATTATAGATTATTCCCCCCTTCTTTGATTAAACTCAATGCCTGTGCTTTCTAATTGTTTTTCTAAATGGGGAGCAGAAGTTTGGGCTACCTCGGAGGAAACTCCACACCAGCGCTGGGAAACTTCGGTCCGTGTTCCAGTTTTCCAGAGCGGCGTTTGAGTGCAGGCTTCTGCCGTCATCGAGCCCGTCCTGGCCGGTCAAATGTCCGTGAGCGTAACGGTTGGCTCCTACGCTGTTAAACTGGGCTAGAATTACACCAATCCAAACCCAAGCCATCAGTGCGGATGCCATCACACGGTCCCGGTTAGCTCAGCTCCTCTCTGCCGCCAAACGAGGCCGAAGATGGCCTGCGAGTGAGAAACAGGAGTCACCGCACAGCTGCGCCATTTAAACCGGTCAATTAGACCAGAACCGAAACAGGTGCGTTCGAGGTCTGGGTGGCAGCCGTGTCATTGTCAAAACAATCTTATTTTTTTACCGGGATACAATCATATTATATTATCAAAATAGTATGAAGCAAAAGTATGAAGTGATGAAAGGACTCTGGTAAAGAGATAAAATAAAGAAACTTTGTCCAGCATAAATGAATTGTACCCGAGAGAGAAAACAGCCCCTACACTGACACCAACTGGAGGTAGTTGTTAAAAAGGGAATTCAGACAACCATATGATTCATTGACAGCCCATTGATTTCTGAGTCAATTCTCTTTCCCTCTGATGATGAAAGACGGAAAAAAGCTTACAGCACCTGGTGTTCCCAGGCAAACTCTCCTGAACAATGCCATACCTTCAAAGAGATGTGGAATTATACCATTCCAAGTGAGTAATTTTATTTTATTTTATTTTATTTATTTTTTTTTTGGGGGGGGGGGGGGTTTAAAACAGTATATGATGTATTTTCTTTGAAATTACATCATGTTGTATGTATCTCATTTAAATGATATTGCAGGTGTACCTGGTTGCGTTTGCTGTGCAGTGGAACAACCGCATGGATTCCCTCCGGGTTGCTGGTGGTCAGGGACGGAAGACGTCATGTATGGATGCACGGCAGATCCAGCGCATGAATCAGCAGGCTGAGGTCCTATTCGGCAAGGAACACCTCCTTGAGACCAACTTTGCTGCCCCCATGCCCGACTCTGCAGATCCAGATGAGGGGGAGCTCCTCCGTGTGGAGTATGCCATGTGCCAGTCCACCAACTTCATGGCAAAGAGCTACTATGCAAAGATTGGTACAGTACAAAATCTCATACTTTGACAACTATCCATTATAATATTATTATATAACTATTATACAGAAACCGAGGATATTTTTTAGCCTTATTCTTGCCAATTTGGTCCACTGGGTATTATGAAACAGAAACTAGAGCTATAATTGGCAAATAGGCCTATGAATATAGTGAGTGTTTTAACAACCTTAGCACATTGTAATGATGTATTTTTATGTGTTTGCAGCTGAGGAAGAGCAGTCTCGTGAAGAGAAAGATGATGAGGAGACAGCTGAACAAGGTGAAGAGGAGACGGAAGATGAGGGTGTTGAGATGTCTGCAGAGTCAGAGGACGACCCTATCGACAGCGTGTCGAGGGAACACACCCTCCTTATCCAAGGAGAACAGGTGAAGGAGGAGGACAGTCCTGCTCTGCAGGATGTACTCATGACCCAGCGGCATCTGCATCTGCCAGGGATAGAGGAAGTGGAGAGATTGGCGTTGCTGCTTCTGATCCTGGCAGATAACAGTGATCAACACCTTGTGCCAGCCGACCTCAGACAAAAGATTATTGCTGCTGCCAGCTCCCTTCATGAGCACGACAAGACAGTCTCCAACTTTGTCAAGAAGTACGAGTCCAGGTGGGGCTACACCCTGTTCGGCCGTTGCCTTGGAGCCGACTCACCTGAGACCAGTGCGGCTCAGAAGACAAAGTTTGGGTGGATGAGGTACCCTCAGGCAGCACAGGTGACAGAGGATAGCCGCCTGTTGTACCTCATCATCAAGATGCTGAAAAATCGACCGCCGGCCAGTCAGCTCGCCTCTCCCAGCAAGGTTACCACCTGCTTAAAGGGGCAGTATAAAAGGATTGCTGACCGAGTGAGAGACGATCCCATTCTCGCCAATCTCTCTATCCCTCTGCCCAACATCAATAACAAGTCCATCTCCAACTTCATCTCAAGAGAGGAGAAGAAGGCCAACTACATGGCAACTGTGTTGCCCAAAACAAAGCCCCACAAGACAGTGCTGTCGGATCAACCAGTACCCGAAGCTCCTGACCTACCCTCAATCCTACCACAACCAGATCGACCTCAAGTGCAGTATCAGCACCCTCGTCATGTCACTGGGAGAAGACGTGGTGAGAAGCGACGGTAAGATGTTTACATCTTTACAGACATTAAATTATTTGAGTAAGCTGTTTTCCTGATTAAAAATAAAATATTAAGCGCTGACACAGATAATTGGACTTACATCTATTGAAAAGAACATAGACTGTCCCATTGTTAGCAGATTTACCATTCTGTTGATGTTTTTGTTATGGTTTCACTCAAACCACAACATATCTAGTTGGGCTTAAGTGACCTTAAAGTACAATTAATCAATAATTATATTTTAATGTGGCAAACAGCAATCTATGTGATAATTTAGTGTGATTTTCCATGTCACCACTAAATATTTTATTTTCAATGCTTTAAACAGCCAATTATACCTTTAAATGATGTGAGTAGTCTTACTGTGATAACGGAAGTAAATGCATGTTGATCTTATCATTTTTATGCTTTATATTTGCAGGTTGAATTTTGAGGAGCCGGAGCCTGTGAACCGACCCATTTGTCAAGAGTCTGCCTCGGCAGAGCGTACAACCCTACCCATTCTGCCAAAGCCTGCCACAGCAGACCTTAAAGACAGACCCTTTCAGCCCAAGCCTGGCACGGCCACTTTCATCCGACCATCAGTGGCAGGGGCACCTGTGCTTCTGGTGGTTCCAGCACAGCCACAAGCTCCAAACATCAGCTTTAATGGGCCATCATGCAGCCAGAGTTTCACAGTGGTAACACCGCCCGCTGCACCAACAAATAAACCGGTCATGCCCAACCAGTCTAGGAAGCCGTGCAGTGCTTGCCAAGTACCTCAGTGTGGTGGGCAGCGGAAGCGGTACACACCCTCCAAGGTGAAAGCTGCTGGGAGTAGCCAGAAGATATTCACCTATTGCCCAGTAACTAGGAAATCCACCACTAGTGGTTTTGAGGGTGTTGTGTACACGAGCTATGAGCATTTTAAAAGTGTTGTAGATGAGGAACTGGAAAGAAGAAAGAATGAGGCTCACTTCTGTTAAAAGTCCACAGTTAGACATAACTCATACAGAGATATACCAAGTAATTCAATTTCTCTGACATCTACTAAATTCGTTTGTAAACAGCAGTCAAACAGCCCCACAGCAGCCGGTGACTGTAATTGTCTATGTATTTATTAAATGCAAGGTTAGTATTATTGATTTGTGAGCATCTTGATGATGATCAGGCGCTGAGCTAAGAGAAAAATCCAGAGTGGAAAGATGGCCGCATGGCCACAAGATGGCCACAAGATGGCCACATTTGTTTTATGTTATTTTAATAATATTTAAGACTGTTGATTTGTTTGCAAAGTTATGTTCTGTGTGATTAGATTTTAATTCTGCTGTTTAAACTGTTCAAGTGTGGTGTGTTGATCAAAATAATAAAAATAATTTTGTTAAGGGTTAAATAATTAACCCTCACATACTCTTCAAATCCTGTACCCTCACAGTACCTTCCGGGTCAAAATTGACCCGGACCAAGAATTGCCCATGTAGCAAGTATTTTCAAGTTCTAACCCCAAACCTATTCATAATGTTTAAATGACCTCTGCTACTTCAAAAAATTATTGATTAGTCCTTCCTAAATGTTTCAAAGAGCAGGGAAAGTGTATTTTTTCAGTTTTAACACCACTCGTTTTTTGGTGAAATACATATATTTTGGAGAAGAACATCTACTACATGGGATAATTCAATTCAATTCAATTCACTCTAACTTTATTCATCACCTAGGGGCAATTGAAAAGCATTAGCTGAGCAAAAATTAAAATAGAATAGAGAAAAAGGAGAAAAAGGTATAAAATCAGTATAAATGTCATCATTATAAACGTCAACGTCATAAATATAATGTCATCTAATGTTATGTAAAACATAAAAATATAAAAGTCATAATGATTTGAATATATTTTTATGAACAACAAACTTCATATTGAACACTGTCCTCACTGCTAGTCTCTGCATTCAAAGCAAAGCACTTTACATGTGTGGAGCTTGCACATGTGTTTGCCACTGAAATGGCAGCTGTCTTCACTCTCATAAAGTTACAACTCCCACTGCCTCCCTCCCAATCAAACAGATTCCAATTTGTTTCTTTGCACATTATATTGCAGGAGCAGGTGCACATGTTACATCTGTGTACAGTCTACGGACGAGGCACACTCTGACCTCCGGATGACCTCTGATCCCTTTGTCCTCCATCTTTGATCACTCATGTGTTGTTTGTTTACTATTTCTATATTTTAGGATCCCCCTGCCCCTTCAAAGAGTTCAAAGAGCAGCTTTCTGTCACAGAAAGTTCTTGTGACTGGTTCATCTTGACCTCTGTCTCAGTGTGTCTGCGGGACTGTATGTCTGTGTGTGTGTGTGTGTGTGTGTGTGTGTGTGTGTGTGTGTGTGTGTGTGTGTGTGTGTGTGTGTGTGTGTGTGTGTGTGTGTGTTTCTGTCAAGGTAATGACAGTTTCATAATGATTTGAATATATCTTTTTGAACAACAAACCTTTTATTGAACACTGTTGTTACTGTTTGTCACTTGTACCACACTGCTAGATCTAAAATCCATCTAAATATAGATACGGGTCAAATTTGACCCGTAAGAGCCTTAGAGGGGAAAAATGTGTAGCAAGAGTTAAATGCAAGTTTAGTATTATTGAAGTACAACTGAATGAAGAATATATGGCATCATGTCATATGGCATCATTATAAAACTAGAAGCTTCGGCCTCGGGGATCAAACCCGCGACCTTCTGTTCACAGGGATGGCTGTCTGGCCCGCTCACTTCATGACCCAGGGGATATGGACTTGGGGGGGTCATGGCCCATTCCCAGGCGGTCTCCCATCCAAGTACTAAGCAGGCCCGACCCTGCTTAGCTTCCGAGATCGGACGAGATCGGGCGTGTTCAGGGTGGTATGGCCGTAAACGATGACACAGGCTCCAAATGAGCTATTTGAACGTGCTCCTGTGTGTGCTTAGCTTCCGAGATCGGACGAGTGATTGAAAGTCAACTTTTGAATCTGTTTCGTCAGAGTAAGAATAGAGAGCACAGTCAACACAGCCAAAGATTGCTGTAGACAAGTTTGAGTATACAAGAGTTCATCTTTGACTCTTATTGATTGGAAAAATATACTGAGAAGAGTGCACATAAGGCATAAAGCTAAAAAAAAAAATATATCAGAGGACCTTTGAATAAGTGTTTTTGCTCAGAGGGAGCTCAAGGAAAATAATATATTCACTCTTGTCTTGACTGACAACTTATCTACACTATTCTTGGTTTAATAAAATCATTTGTTGTTAGCTAAGCAAGGAATAGAAAGCAGAGAGCCTCACACCTAACGAAAGAACAGAGCGAATGTCATAGGATTAGCTTTTGTTCACTTGAGGCTAAGCATTAAATCCCTGAGGAAATAAAAGGTGTTTGGAAATGAAAGAAAAATCCTCAGGCTGTGTGTGTGTGTGTGCACACTTTTGTACATGTATATAACTTGATAATGAAGCACAACACAGAATGTGGTGAAAATATCACGTTGCTGTCGGCTGTGGGTTTTTTTTAGGGTTACGTTTGCAAACGCCGGGGAGAGAGTGGGTACAACACAACAACATTGTCATCCCCATGTCAGTAGCTAAAGTGGAAAAGCTGCAGTACAAAGACATCCTCACACCAAGGTAGGAAACAACACAGCCTCTGAAGGAGATGACCATGTTGATGATGAGCATGTTGGTCTATGACAGGGTTCCTTGAAAACTAGTGGTCACTCTCAGACACGTACAATTTTCCATCCTTAGCCTTGAACAAATGCATCCTAATGTACTGATCCCATCTCTATTTAAAGAAGTCTAGACTCTGGTTTCAGGTGCTCAGGAAGTCTGTCTTGTTTCACAGTTGGCGAGTGGTTAACAACTCATCTCTGATAAAAAGGGAGGAAGAAAAGGAAACAAGCGTTGAGGAGGTGCAGGTTTGGAGTGTATCCTCTCTTTAGAAATGAGCTGTATAATGTAGGAAAAAAGAAATGTCTTCTTTTCATTTATGGGTGTATATTTCAGGATGAAGTTCACCGATGAAGTGTTTGTTCTGGGGCATTTGGCTTTAGAGAAGAGGGAGAAAAATCCTGGGGAAAAAGGAGATGCTATTGATGTTATAACAGGTGGAAATACTCATGCAAACATGCTCACACGTGCAATAATCCCATACTTTCTGATCTGGATCTGGATCTAGATCTCGGTGGCATCAAAATGTTGGGTGATCTAAATTTCGAGGAGGATTTTCTGTACATGTAGATTCTCATTCATCCAGGTCATGGTTATCTTGAAGACTTAAAAACAGGCAACTGGACTGTGTAGAGTTGAGAAGACGTTTCGCCTCTTATCCAAGAAGCTTCTTCAGTTCTAAAATTGCTAGTGTGAGGAGCAGTTGTTTATCTTACTGGAGAAGGGGACAGACAACGACTGGGAGGGGTTGGAAAAGAATGGGTCGTAGAAACCCATCTCTGGGTGTGCCCCCCCCCCAAGTCGGATGACATTGAAGCGTAGGATTTTCTGATTTGGCAGACAGGAGACAATAGAACAACATTTAACTCACCTGCTCTGCAGTAGTGGCATTTGCTTCACTTCTGTGCATGTCAGTACAGCCTGTGTGAAAGGAGAATGCAGAGTTATTTTCTTGCATCATGTGGTTTGTTTGTTTTCTTACTCTAGATCTGGCAGCAGGCTGTCAAGCAGTGGGGGTGGGATGTGCACATCAGGAGAGGAGAGCTCTGTGGAGTGGAGTTGTGCTCAGCTGGATGCTGACAAACAGCAAAGCCCAGAGGAGTGGCTGGTAAGATCAAAAAGCACATTGGTTGAAATCCCAAACCCCTGAAACAAAATCTGATAGAGGGAGAGTATGATGCTTCAGCTGCAAAAGGAGGGAACTTACCCTGGGGGTTGCACAGCAGTTTTCCTTTGGCTGTGATGCAATAATGCAATCAAAAAGCAGTGTTTCCCAGAGTCTTCAATTTGTTTCGCCAAATGTAAAATGTTTTACACACCAATAAAGAAACAATCTTAAAGTTAAAAACAGTGATACTATTTAGTGCAAAACATTGTACAAGGCTACAACTTCAGCTCTTCGTAGCATTCGGGGTGTTCTTTTAAACAATCATGAGTCCAGCGTAGTGCTGAATATCCTTTAATGCTAACTGTCTGTATTTGGATGGGAGTGAAAGGAACTTTTATTTGATCCACCAACTGTTGCTGAAAGGATATTTCCTGTAACCGTGCTGCTATATGGAGGCCCAAAACTGTGTAGCAGACTAATGAACACTCTTTCCCAGGCATGTTGTGTGAAGTGTAAGGCTTAAATGTATCCCTAAGAGCCCACAGATACTTGTCTGCTCCAGCTAATGAAGCTGTGATTGCAGGGCTCCGTGCCTCTCGGCTTTGATTGGAGAAGGATTGAGTTGCCTCTCAACCAGACTGCCCTAATCAACCTTCTCCACACCACAAATATCTTCCACTTCACTGTTTATATCTCTCTTGCACTCTGGCAACAGACCCCGATAATAAGGCAGCATTTGATTTTTGCAAAACAGGAATAAGTGTTATGAACACTGATGGCACTGCCTGTAAAGTTTAAATTCAATTTAAGATCTGATTTTAGAGGAAATGCTTTTTGGAGTTTGGACATTTATTTTCAATTTTTATTCTTACGGCTTCCAATTTTGAAACAGTTGAACCCGTTACATTTTGTTTTTTTTAAGAGGTGACACATTAAGTAGATGATGTACTCTGAAATGTGTCACCATGTCAAATGTAAAGGTTTCAGATGCTCAGTTAATTTAAATGTCCTCTGTCCTCCAGCAGCCTCAGATGCCTTGGGAGCCTCGAATGTTCCCTTTGGGTGCTGTTGAGGTGGACGCAGTGCTCCTTGGTAATCTGGAAGAAGTCCCATCAGCGTGGTCAGACTGTAGAGCTGTGTTCTCCACATTTCCCATCAGCTCTGTCCTCTGGTGCTACACTGCCATCCAGCGGACAACACAAGGACTGCATACTCAATAGCAGCAGCAGCAGCTGAGAACAAACTTCACCTCATTTTTAGCAGGTAAGCTGAAAACTTTGCTTAATGTCCTGCTCAATGGTAGACTCATACACTGTGCTTTAAAAGCTTAATTTATTCAGCTGTTTTAAGTGCACAGTCAACATTTCTTTGATAATGCAAGTCAGCAGATCAGTGATGAGGCATTATAAAAGAACAATTTATGCATTTACAGGAATTTGTCTTCATTTTATACTGGAATTAATACAATTTAATAACCCCTGCACTTGATCATCCATCATAGAAGTCACAGTGCAAATGATTTATATGTTGTTCAATGGAAGTCTGCTTTTTACCTTATAAAACATACATTTACTGATTGACTGATGGATGATACTTTCAGTCAGTTGTAGCAATCAAGACAACCCTGTATGTGAAACTCACACATTCCTCGCAGGAAAGTTTTCTTATCTGGTCCCAGGACACAGGATATAAATCTTTCCAGACTTGTTTGCACTTTCAGGCTACCTAACTGACACGACCGGAGGTTGACCAAACCTCTGACTCTTCACGATTGGTCAATTCGGAGAACAGAGACAGAGTTTTTATTACCTTTCAAACTGACTCCAACGCTGACCATCTAAATAAACATTAACGCCTCAACCCAGCTCTCCCATTTGAGATTTACCGTCTTAAAGTGTGTGAACATACGGACCCCAAGTTCTAACCGGAGCAATGCGAGCGAGCGGCCGGGAATAATGGCGCTGTTTTGATAATTTTTTGGGCAGGGCAGTGGGCGGCTCCATGGGCAGTACCATCAACCTGCCAGCACTGACATGACGTCATGTCAGTGGAGTTTTTTTAGAACGGCTGGCTCTGAGCACACAGTTCCTAAATACGGAGATAACTAAAAAACGACTGGATGGAATTTTTTCGAACTTGGGGGGATTGTAGCGGTTTTCTATCCCTGATATGCACCCCTCTCCCGTTACCAAAGTCGGTTTTTCATGCCATGACCCCTTTAATTTCGCGAAGCCATTTTTGAATATTTCCACTGGTCATCGAGCCTCTTTTTTTCTGAGTCATCTGAGTTATCTGAACGCACCTCTGAATGCAACCCAGCAGGCCCAGGTCATCCTCTGTGCCTCTGAGTTTTTGAGTGAGACCAAAGAAGCGTCCAAACGAGCATCCACAGGATCCACAGGCGCTGGCTTTGCTTCAGGCCCGAGTGCTACAACTCCTGGCCCATTCTTCGGCTGACTTCAGTCGTCTTCTGAGCTGAACCGCTCGAACCGCCGGTAGCCCCAGACCTTCTGAAACCTGCTCCATTTTCTCCAAGGACCAGTCTCACTTAAGTATGCAAATCTCCAGAGCTCCAAAGAGGGCTGGTGCTGTCTCATGCGTTCATAACTCAGATATCCACTTATTCTGGTAATCTTAGATTCCTCCAAATCCACATCCCAATTTATCTCGACACCAAAGTTAGTGTAGGTTAATATGTTAGAGCATATTCACTCACTATCATTAACTTTAGTGCTCCTAGCCTGACTCAGAATCTTTATTTATTCACCTTTTATTATTTATCCTTATTATCTTATCATCATTTATTGCATGTGTGTTGTACCATCATTTATCCTGTAATAAACAGATAATTATTTTTCTAAGTTCTGGTCTGTTAGTGTTCTTCCGGAAGTGGAGTCCCCGAAATGAGAATTTCAGCTTAAGATATGAGATTGATTAATTTAAGATTGACTTAATGTTTGATTTCTGAATTAAACTTTTGTTTTTCTTTATTTTCCCACCATAAAGGATGGGTGGTGCCCCTTTCAACGAGTGCATAAATGTCATAACTTGAGATTATTAATCTTCAGACATTTATTATGAATTAAAATCGCTACACAGTCTTAGGCATGAGTCAGCATGAAGGTATGTTTTGATAGAAATAATACAGTATAATTAATACATAACTTTTGTAACATTTGTTTTCCACTCTAGATCTGGAACCACGAGAAGACAATGAATCCTTCTGAACCGAAATTTGAATATACTTCGCTGACTCATTAATCAGATGTTGTTTGCGTCGCACTTGGATGCACAAATATGTATTTTCTAAATATTGTGACTTGTCACCTTCTTTTCAGTGGCTACTGTAGCATTTGCTACACTCCAAAGCTGTACATTAACTAGAGGTACTGTAAGTCAACAACTATATACCAACATAACTCCACTGTAGTCTGAGGTTTGTACTGTTTTAAGTTAGCACATGCACTATTTATTTTTATTGTTGTCTTTAAAGATCTGTACAGAAACACATGCACATATATTTATAAACCCTTTCTTGGTTAACATGACTGTTTTAATTTCTTTTGTCTCTGTTGATGCTGTTGTCTTCGAATGTATGTATTTTTGACAAGGAACTGTGTTTATTAAAATGAAAGTAAACAATGTGTCATATGTTATATATCTTTGAAATTATGACTTTTGTTAGAAAGGGCTAGAGACAGAAAACCTGAGATCATGATATGTCACACAGTATTTTAGACTCTGGAATGTCACAAAGTTGTGCAACTCATCAGTTAGAAACTCTGTTTTTATTTCAGTCAGGAGAAATTTGTCCATAATTTGACCCAGCAATCTACACTCAGCTGAGCTGTCAGTACAAGCTGATAATAGGAGAACAAAATGAGCTCATTTCAGGGATCTGAATGATGAACATTTGTGGAGGCCACTGCTTTTTCAGGCCACTCTCAGTGAAACAGCCCAGGCTTTGATCCTATATGCATAACCTTGTCTGAGAATGTCCTTCACAGTTACTAGGAGACTTAATGGGCAGCTGGTGGTCAAGGTCAAACTTCTGATCTGAATACATGTGTGTCAGTTGCTTTATGCCAGGAATGAGAGACTAGGTGCCCAGTATTAGAAATTATTAAAAGAAATACATTTAAAGAAGGCAATTATCTGATTTCATGTTGGAAAGGGTGAGTAGAATCTGGCTGTTAATGCAGAATCCTGTTTTCTCTGTTTCAGATGATTGTTTATTTAACATATATTTTTTCTCAGAATAGATGTCGCATTTGAGGTTATGTAACATGTTTCCCTGGATATGTGGAAATAGAAAAGGCATTTGAAATGCACAGGTTTGTAAAACTGCTGACAAGGGAATAAATGATTTTCCCTCCCCCTACTTCTGCTATAACCAGGAGGCCTTCTTATCTCTGCATGCAGATGGAGGGAAGGCCAGTCCTGTAGCCTTACCTACTCTGTAGGGGATCACCTTAACACCAGAGTTAAATGATGATGGATTATTAACAAACTGCCATGTCTTTAAATCATTACAGTTGTTTATTTTTACTATTATGAACACTACCTGAGATAGTGCTGGGCGATTGGACGATATATATCGTTGGCACGATAGAAAATGTCTATCGTGCCATTTTTATTCTTATCGTTTCGGGCGATAGGTTGTATTTAATCCATAGAGCTTGTGCCATCAGATGATTCATAGTAACAACAACAATAATTGCACATTCAGTAAGTGTATTTGGTGTCGAACGGGAAAGAAAACAATATTTTCTTACAAAGAAAAGGATGCGTTGACATGTAGGCTTGCATTTCTCTTTCGATTTTGCGACATGACGCCGCTTTACGTGCCCTCTTTATGTCCAGCGCCTCCCGCCGTTGCGGGTTACCTGGGTTACACACGTGAGGGGATCATTGTAAGCAGTGCTTAATTTGTGCCGGAGCAAGTCGGAGCGCGATCCGGGACCTCTTTTGATCGGATCTGGGACCTATTTCAGCCGCTCCGGCACCTGTTTCATCTGCTCCGGGACCTTCCCTGTGGAGGATGACTTTTTTCGGGAATTCCCGTGGGTCACGTGATTCCCGCGGGATGGGAGTCATTTTTTTTATTAATCTCTTGATCGGGACGGGACGGGAAAAAAAGCAACGGGAGTGGGCAGGAGCGGGAACAACATGAAAAGATGATCTTTTTCAGCCGTGTTTAACAACCAGATGAACAGGTGCGTCCATTTTTGTAGTCATCTCTCAGTGAGAGTAAACACTCTTGACCGCGCTAGCAACACAAAAGAACTACAACAGCGGTTTGACTTCCTGTCAGCTGGGAGCGCGGCTGCGCATTTGTACCCTTCAAGCCAGCAGCGAGTAAACGTAATTTTGTGACATTCTGTAGTTTTTCAATCATTTCTGGAGTCGTGGCGAATCAAATCACCTTACCTGTCTGCCCCTGATAGGCGAATAAAGCGCTCGGATTCATGCTCGGGTCTTGCTACGTGCTTCAAGAGTAAAGTAAACAATGATGGAGGCAGAGAGCAGCTTTGGAGGAGAAACATCTAGCAGTGTGAACAACCTCTTCAAAAGAGCCCTAAAGACCTACCTTTTTAATAAAGCCTTTGGTTAGTTTTCCTCTATGCTTTATGCTTTTACTACCTTGCCTCTTACATTGCAACTCTATATATTTTATTTTTTTTAAATTCTTTTTTATGCTAATCTGTGACTGTCATTCTATTGCTTTTTTTTATTGTTGCTGCTCTTTTTTACTGTGTACTGTAGCACTTTGAGATTTTTTTGTAAATGTAAAGTGCATTACAAATTAAATTTATTATTATTATTATTATTATTATTATGGAGTGCTTCGGCTCACACTATCAGCGTTTTCTGTAAGTGTTACATAACTTTGGGTGAGCACAGACATGAACGCACTTCAGCCACGTATTTGTTTATTCATTTTTCTAGTTTTAAGTGCTGGTCTTGTACTGGTACTAGTGCATCTGTATACACTTAAATTTTTCATAGAACTGAAAGCATACCATAGCTATATCGTGATATATATCGTTATCGTGATATAAAATGATCCATATCGTGATATACATTTTTTTCCATATCGCCCAGCACTAACCTGAGAAGTACTTGGGAATTTTTAGAAGGCTTTAACTACAGCAGATGGTCTCTTGATTATGGAACATTCAATTAAAAAAAAAAAAAAAAAAAAAAAAAAAAAAGTATTAAAACGTTCTGTATTAAGAGCATGTATTTCAGTGTTGTAAAGAAATCAAACAGCATGAAAAATGGTTGAGAAATGAGCAAATTATGATTTATTTTTAATGTACATGCATTGCCTTTAAGAGGAAAGATGTCGCTTAGCCAGCTTCTACTGTGCCCTGGTGTATTTAGTCTTCTGTATATATCTGTGGGACTAGAAGAAGAAGATCTTTATTGAAAGGGAAATCCAATAAGGGCCACAGGACAAACGCACTGAGGTTGGCACCAGGGCACTATTGTTATACTGTGGATTTTTTCTTATGCCTCTTTCAGATACATTTTGATTTGCTCTAGTCCTTCGTCCTATGGCTTGAAAAGTTGTTGGACAAAATATATTTGAAAATGTGCAGAAACATTTTTCATTGAAGTCAATGGGACAAGCAATGTTAGGAATCGAACTAAGGCCAGGATCCAAAAAAATGCAGAGGCAAATGCCCACATTTATTGACAATAAATAATAGAACAACAACAAGTGAACAATAGAAAATCGCCGTTTCCGGAAAAAGGCATGGTCAGCTCGGACTGCCACCTAAAAAACATAAAACCAGGGTTTGAAGATAGTCACTGCAGCAAGGCAAAAATAGCTGGTGAAAAAAAAAAAAAAAAGTTCAAATGATAGTGCCACATGGGGCAAGTAACAACTAAGGATGTAAAAAGACAAAGTGCAACAGAAATAGTAAACCAAAAAATCTTCTCAACTGGAGGAAAAAACCCAAACACAAAATCTCCTTTGCTCAAGGGAAAAACTCTCTGGATAGTAACAAAAGAACTCACAAACGAACACTGAGAGGCAGGCTGGATACACAGGCTTGAGATCAGGGCGCTCGGCGTGGCAAGACACGTGTTGCATGACTTGGAAATCATCCGGCACTGAGTTGACAGAGGAGCTGGCATGTAAAGCCAGGTAACTGACATTAATGAGAATCAGGTGCGTGCAATCAGTCCGGGCCAGCCCCGCCTCCCGCCGTGCCTCCAGTGCTGCAGAGAGAGAGGGAGAGAGAGGGAGAGAGAGGGAGACCATACACAGAGGAGAGGAACACGGGAGCCCCAACTGCTGCATAACTCAAAATCCTCACAGGCAAAATAAAAAAGGAACAATTTTTGGAGTTTTTCAAAGTCTACTGCGCCATCCTTTTTTTTTTTTTTGTATAAATAAGTACTTCAAAAGAAAAGTTTGTTGTAGGTGTGCTCTTTATTACTACTAGTAGACTGCATGCAAATGAAGCAGGTGAGACAAGGATGTTGACTGGTCAGAGTTTTCTTGAAGACTTAAAAACAGACAACTGGACTGTGTAGAGTTGAGAAAACGTTTCGCCTCTTATCCAAGCAGCTTCTTCAGTTCTAAATTTTGCTGGTGTGAGGAGCAGATATTTATCTAACATGGTGTATGCCGTCCAGTGCAGCAAGGAATGCTTGGACCTGTACATTGGGGAAACTAAACAACCGCTTCACAAGCGCATGGCTCAACACAGGAGAGCCACTTCCTCAGGTCAGGACCATAGACTGTGGCTGTGTCTCATTTCAGAGACTGCATCGGGATAAGCACGCTTAGCTGAGCGCACTGCCGTTTTGTGCTGTTATGTGCCATTATGCACCGTTATGTACCCTTCCAGTGTCCCATTTCAGATACCGCAACCGTCGAACGGCGCATTTGAAGTGTGCGTGAGGTCATCACGTGGCACGAACGGTGTCCCGTTTGGCACAAAATGCTAAGCGCGCTTCAAATTCGGTCTCAAAACCACACTGCCCCCGCCTCTTTTTCAAGCGTGCATTTATGCACGCTTTCGTGCCGTTGGTATCCCAGAATTCTTTGCATGCCGCTGCACAGCTGCGCGTTTCAGGTGAGAGGCTGGACTCGCTTGGAGACACAGCGCGTCTTTAAAGAAAATGCAAGAAATCCAAAAACAGCAGACTGTCAGCTAAGGCTGTATGAGCGCATGATCTCTGAACTCACTAAAATCTGCAAACCAAACATTATAGATTTAGAGACGAACTGATCCGCTGTGTTACAACTATCAAAAACATTAGAAATGAGAAAGCTGACAAAACTACAGCAGAAGTATCAGGACAACATTGAGTTTTTTTTTCTTTTAAGATTTAGAGATTAAAGTTGTAAAATTAGGAGAATAAAACTATAAAGTAAATAAAGTCATAAAGCTGCTTTTGTGGAGGGGGAAATGACTGAAGCTGGTCATCTGCAGGGTTATCTGTGGATGTATCAGCGGGTCATTAAGAGAGATTTTGTGGTTTCTGAAGAAACAATCAAACTGATGATGATCAACATTTGTGATCCAGAGGGAGTCTCTGACACCGGCGGTAGCCTACACCTGCAGAGACACCAACACCTTATTATGGCATATAGATTCATAACATAAATTAAACCTCAATGTCATTCATGGATATTTACGGCTGCATTGACAGATATATCCGCAGCATATCCATTTCTGCCTCCACAAAAGCAGCGATTTCCTTCAAGTACACCAGTTTTTTTTCCCGTGGAAAAGACGTATTTCTCATATATTCTTTTTTTAAGTCTTTATACTCATGACAATGTGATGCTGATGTGCCAGAGGATGAAGTATCTCCTTGTTTGTGAAACCTATACTGAAACACAGTTCCTTCAAATGCTTCATGGCCCTAATTTTAACAAGTCTCCTCTGAAATAACAGGGAACCTTATGACTTCATTCTCATAAATTAATGACTTTATTCTCGTAAATTCACGACTTAAATCTCAAAGTCTTTAAAGTCTTAAATCTCAATATGGCCCTCATACTCCTTCATACAAAACAATCATTGGATGAATTGTGCTTGTATGTATCTACTATTTTGTGTCTGTGCAAGGTCGCACAATTAAAAAATAAATGCTGCGCTCCGCGGGTTTTCTTTAAGTCAGTCGTGACGCGAGCCTGAGGGCGGGGACATTTGGCGACTCCACCAGGAAGTCCTCCGAAGATCTCCAAATGTCCCCGCCCTCAGGCTTACGTCACGACTGATTAGAAAAAAAGCTGCGGAGCGCAGCATTTATTGTTTTAATTGTGCAACCTTGCACAGACACAAAATAGTAGATACATACAAGCCCAGATCATTCCCACAAAATTCATCCAATGATTGTTTTGTATGAAGGAGTATGAGGACCATATTGAGAATTTTTTTCGAGATTTAAGTTGTGAATTTATGAGAATAAAGTCATTAATTTATGAGAATAAAGTCATAACCTGTTATTTCAAAGGAGACTTGTTAAAATAAGGGCCATGAAGCATTTGAAGGAACTGTGCTTCAGTATAGGTTTCACAAACAAGGAGATACATCATCCTTTGGCACATCAGCATCACCTTTTTTTAATAAACACTTTAGAGATGCACCGATTGCAATATTCTTGGCCGATACCGATTTCCGGTTTTAAAGGAGGTCTGACCTGCCAAAACCGGTTTTTCCGATACCGATTTTCTATCTAAGAAATAATTATAATCATATAATAGACACCATATTCGTTTGGCTTGAGTACCCATTCCCAATTTTAATTTAAGTACCCCTCTCCCAGACAACATTTTGCTTAACTGCAATTAAAAGCACAACTAATAGTAGGCTATATGCTATCATAACCCCCCTTTTCAAGAATAAAACCTCACAAATAAGAAATAGAGTGAGAGTTTCGACAGGGCCTCCTGAGCAGATTTATTTTCTACACTGACCATAACATTCAGTCCAGTTTACAGGTCAATAACTAACTTACATTCAAACAACATTCAAAAACGTCCCAGCATTTGCCTGGTACAATGTAATTTATTGACTACCCCTCCAGTACCTCTCTCAAACGACTATGGCAGCGCTGTGTCAGAAAAGTACCGCCTACTTGGTAGTTTGTTCCAATCAACGCCTAAGACATTTGGAACAACAAACTTAATATGCCACTTGGAAAAGAAGCACCCAGGCTTGTTTAGCAAATATAAGGAGGGATGCAGCAGAGTCGCAGCGACCACAACAACCCTCCGCCGTGGCTCCTATGTTCGACATCAGCACTGAAAAGTCCAAAGCCACCACTAGGAAAATAATGGAGTTCGTGGCACTGGAGGACCAGCCGTTTAGCGTAGTACAGGATAAAGGCTTCGTAAATCTGATGAAACACCCTACTTGGTAATTTGTACCGTGGACTCAGGTGTTTCACCAGATTTACGAAGCCTTTATCCTGTACTACGCTAAACGGCTGGTCCTCCAGTGCCACGAACTCCATTATTTTCCTAGTGGTGGCTTTGGACTTTTCAGTGCTGATGTCGAACATAGGAGCCACGGCGGAGGGTTGTTGTGGCCACTGCGACTCTGCTGCATCCCTCCTCTTAGCGGCAGTGTATTCCTTATATTTGCTAAACAAGCCTGGGTGCTTCTTTTCCAAGTGGCGTATTAAGTTTGTTGTTCCAAATGTCTTAGGCGTTGATCCTCCACGGCTGACTATTGACTTGCAAGCATTACAAACAGCGTGTTTTGGGTCGCTCTGGCACACAGTGTCAAATCACCGACATGTTTTCCTCATGAGTCTTGTTCATTTTTAGCAGTTTTGCTCTGAGTTGATACGCACCGCGCATGCGGGTCAGTTTGCTCGGGGAAAACCGGCAAGTTACGACAGTGACTGGCCGGTCACCGGTTGGGGCCGGTTGGATATAAAACCGGCTTTTCAAATCGGTGGCCGATTGATCGGTGCAGCTCTAAAACACTTTCAGAATTCAGGGTTTTTTAATGATTTTAATGATTTTCTGGAGAGCACCTTGTGCTACATCTTAATATGAAAAGTGCTACACAAGTAAAGCCTGATTGATTGATAGTCTACTCACACACTAAACAAAAATTAAATACAGAGTTCAATGCAGTGTTCAGCTACAATGAGATCACTGACATCAAATTTTTACTTAAAAGGCTTTCCATACCGCAGTTAATAGCGCGGACATCAAATTTATGCTCAAACGGCTTTCCATAGTACAGTCACTACGTTAAGGCTACAGTAGGCTGCGGAGCTTGTGTCCGACAGACCTGGAGTTGCACTGAAAGACACTGCGCCGAACAGGTAAAGGAAAAATGACTTATTTGATTCTTTATCAGCATTAGCACACAGGCAAATGTGTATGAATGACAACACCTTAACAAAAGCTTGTGGTTTGGGCAGTCAACGGGAGTCTTTCGCTCGTCATTGAATGAGCAATTCAGCAGGCACTGAAGCTGAAATGATGAGGTGCCCCTCTCTGTGTGGATGGAGAAAGGACGCATTGTTCGTCTACAGGAGAACTGGGTCTGGCTTCTTATGAGTCTGTGCTATTTAATCTCTGTTTTCAGCTGGGTTTACATGAGCAGTGTTGCGGAATTAGTCCGACATGACATCTCAACGCAGCAACAGATTTAGGAACCATGTCTCTGAGATAGGTAAGCCGTATTGATTGCCTTGCCTGTTACTGGTCCAATTACGCACTTAAATGCTAGTTTTGTGGACCGGTTGACTTGATAATGTCAGCAATATGCTACAGAAAAACTCAACCTATTGCGGTCACTGCGGGGACTTGCCTTACTGCGGTGGCAATGCACAGCTAAGTCCTTAATAGGTTTTTCAACCAATTATTTATATTATAAGATCTGCGTGAAAATCCTGGTGCTTTAATCATGATAGAATTACAGTGGTGGTTTATAATCTGTAATGGCAGCTGGGAGATAGAGAAAGGGGTTCCAGCACAGGTGCTGAGTCATATTGGCTTCTCATATTAATACAATTAATCAGTAAAATTAAAGCCTTATGTATGTTTGTTACTGTCATATTACCAAAGTGTTGAAATGACCTCTATTAGAGCTGCATTTCAGCTTCAGTGCTGATTGTATTCCATATGAAATCTTGTTTGAAAGCAAGCTACATAAGGATGTTATCTCTTCATTGAACACCCTACTTCATCATGAAACCAACTCAGTGAATGCAGCTGAATCATGTTATGCTGTGACACCTCGGCTATCATTAACCTCAAACATTTAATAGGTATTGAATTGTGAGCTTAAGAATGATATCTTAAACGTTTTTTTGGCTTCAGCCCAGCCTCATTTACATACAGTAGCTGGCTATGTCATGTCCTCTCTCCCCGTGTGTGCAGATACATTTATGCTTTGAAACCTGGGCAGCTGCTCAGGGTTCCTCCTTGCTGAGGGAACAGGCTTGTCCTCCTGGAAGTACAGGCTTTTTTGTTACTGTAGAGGTTGAGCACAGGAGCAGTTTAATATGATTCTAGCCGTTTATTGCTCCTAGGCTGATGAAAAGAAATGAAAGGGGAAAGGATACATGTCATTGTAAAAAGCAAAATGAACGTTCTTCTTTTGTCATGTACTTGACATCCATATTTTTCACCAGCAACAGTGTTCATATATTTTTTTTAAATCAGAGGTCCTGTAGTTTAGAAACTCATCCTGAAATGTCTTGGTATAAGTTGATTTACAGGACTAATCTGATCATCGGTGAATATTCATTAAGTATTCATTAGGTCCACAGACAGCAGCAAAGGGTGCAGATGTCAAGGTGGTGCATGACTGGTTTATATCTGTGGTAATGGATTACTGTCTGTTGTGTGAGGTTTATACAGTAGCTGGTTGGATTGAAAGACTGTCTACTGATGCTAAGAGAGGAATCAGAAGATGAACCAAAGCTGTGAGTGGTTTCTTGGGGTCTCTTTTATAGTTTCTTTTAGCTCCTGTTGTATCAAATTCATGTCCCAGGTTTTAGGAAATAAATTAAGCACAGGGTTAGTGTTGGTTTAACCATTTTGCTTCAGGCAGGTTTGCTCTGTGCCTGATCACTAAGCTAATGTTTGTGAGGTTTTTGAGTTTATGCAGCAGTTAGGTTTCCTGTGTTCCTCTCCTCTGTGTGTGTTCTCCCTCTCTCTCTCTCTGCAGCGCTGGAGGCACGGCGGGAGGCGGGGCTGGTTTGGACTGATTGCACGCACCTGATTCTCGTTGGTGTCAGTTACCTGGCTTTATATGCCGGCTCCTCTGTCGCCTCAGTGCCGGATGATTTCTCAGTCATGCAACACGTGTCTTGCCACGCCAACATCCCTGATCTCCCGCCCGTGTATCCAGCCTGCCTCTCAGTATTTGTTTTTGAGTTTTTTTGTTACTTTCCAGAGAATTTTTTCCCTTGAGCAAAGGAGATTTTTTGTTTGCGTTTTTTCCTCCAGTTGAAAAGATTTTTTGGTTTACGATTTCTGTTGCACTTTGACTTTTACATCCTTAGTTGTTACTTGCCCCACGTGGCACTATCATTTGAATGTTTTTTTTCACCAGCTATTTGCCTTGCTGCAGTGACTCTTTTTCTAACTCTGTTTTTGTGTCTTTTTAGTGGTACTTTGTTCTGTACTTTGTCTTATTGTCAATAAATTTGGACATTTGCCTCTGCATTTTTGGATCCTGACCTTTGTTCGATTCCTAACAGAATCATCCTGCCAGAAGAGACTGGATCCAGCAGAGGCTGAACATTTAAGACATGCTGGCGTGTTAGTAGGCAAACACGAGTCTACCCTCATGCAAATCATAGAACATTTGCAACAGCTCACTACCAGTTAAGATGCGGTCTGGGAACTGGCCTTTGTTCGATTCCTAACAATATTTGAAACAAAAATTGAAGGAAAGAATATTTTGCAGTCTCAATACTGAAAATCTCCCCTGGGTAGTAATTGGCAGGAGTGAACCTCAATGTGTAATAAAGACAGAAACTGTTGAAAAAAATCAGGACTTAAAATAAACTGTAGCTGGTTCACTGTGAGGGGAGGCTTGTACAGAGGAATTCATGTTGTCTTTCTTTGTGCCAGTTAGGAGCCTGGTGGCAGGATTTTGGACCACCTGCAGGGGAGAGTGCTGACATCCATAGAAGCTAAGATTTGCCAGGTGTAATAGGTGTCAGTGCTGATGATCTAATGGTGGGACTGTGGATAATTTCTGTACTTAAATATCATTCACCTGGTTGCCCCTTCTCTTACATAATTGGGTTAAACAGGGGATTTGTTGTGTGATCACATGAGCTGCTTGCCATAGTGTACAGTTAGCTGTCAGTGGGTATTCCAGGCACAGGTGTTAGCTATGGTAAAACCGCAACAAGCCACTTCAGATTTGTGGGACTGCCAGGCTGTATGTACAGCTGACCGACGGGTGGAACTTTGTGTGTCAGTGAGACATCGTAATCCTTGTTCCTACAAAGACACTTAGTCAGCTGGAAACAGGCACATAAGAACACAAATATATAGAAGCAGGCAGTCCTCAACTGTCACAATGTTGATGTAATGCTGTGTGCATGAGTGTGTTTGAGAGTGTGTGAGACAGAGAATGTGAGAAAGGCTCTTTGTATGAAGAAAGAAGAGCACTGCAGTAGCTTTGGCAGCAGCACCAACACAATTGACCAGTATGTTTGCCAGCTAGCTGCCAGTCTCTCTCCCTCTGTCACGCGGTACTCTAGAGGTACTTTAGATTTTTTTAAAGCTGAGCTCATTGCTCATCATACTTACTAAATAGTCTTAATGAGATAAATGCAAAACTTAGGTGTCAACCTAGGCTACAGCTATTATTTTAAGTCTGATTAATGTAAATGATTGACATTAGTTTATAGTTTATGAATTGATGGTTTGATCTCCACAAGTGCAGAAATAGCCAATCACAATTTATAAGAGCTCAAGGGGCAACTTACCATGTCCTGTTTTTTTTACAGCATAGTCAATGATCCTCCAACACAAGGCTGAGACAATTCGGCAAATGTATTGCTGAGGTTTGTAACAACATTCGCTTTTGCTTGAAAAATAGCCACCAGTGAATGTGGGCTCATTTATTTATGTAGTGAAGTGCGAATGCTGACTCAGCATCCTGTTCAGATGACATTCCTTGTCAATCACACACATGTCTCCGTTTCAGTATAAATTGTGCCTTTACTGTGGCTCAGTGGTAATCACTTGTCTCTCAGCTGGAGGGTCGGGGGCTTGATTGATCCCTGGTCCTGCTGTTCACATGCCCACATGTTCCTGGGCAAGACAGTTCAGCCCCACTTGTCCTATAGTGGCAGAGCCAGCAGTGTGTAAATAAGATTAGGAAGTACCAACGAGTGCTTGACATAGCAGCCCCTGCTATCTCTGTATGAATGTTGTGTGAATGGGTGAAAGTGACGTATAGGTGCTGTATAAAAACAAGCCTCTTATTATTTTTGCTATGAAGCATAATAATACATGCCAGGATGAACAGCAGCACATATCCAAACTTTAAGGATCTGCCAGGAGCACAATCCTTTCAACTTTCGCTCTATGGCATTATACTGCGTTCATTGGAAGTTTGATGTCACAGCCTGGAATTGCGTCACACCCGAGCTGACAGCATTCTGTTAACAAGTCAGAGAACCAAGAAGGACGCCTACTTTTGTAACCATGGTTGTAACATTTAGCTGATGTTAGCTGTTGTTGGCTGTACCAGTTGAAAACAACCCATAACACTTTATTTCAAAAATACAGACATCATAGTACCACAGTGCTACATATGCTACATATACCACTCCTTTAATGTCACAAAAACAAAAAACAAGTGCTAATAAATTCTACATTAAGGAAGCTTTGACAGATACTGTTTGCAGTTAATGCATAATGCTGCCACCTTGGATAATGATGTTGTGGTCAAGACGGGGTTAGTGAGGATCATCCGACATTCTGAGTCAGAAATCTGACTTCCTAGTACGACTGGAACGCAGCATTAATACATCCTCTTTTCACTCAGTGAACTTTGTAAATTATCTTTAAAGTATGGAAAGACTAGATGTAGTGTTGATTTGAGTGAGAGCTGCGTGAAGTGGCAGATATTGAGTAAAAAAACAAATACAAACATATTTCCTGCAGAGATTGCAGATGACCTCAAGCAGCATCAACCCAAGTACTAGAGTCCCAGATAACCTCTTTTTCCTCAGCTCTTGATTTTGACCTTGCACTTTTCAAGGGTAGGGAGAGTAAATAAGAACCAAGGTGCACAACATGGTCCATTACCAGCTAGCATGTCATTGATGAAGTACTTGGCATTGTACACGGGCTAGCTGCTAATGTGCAGCTTTACAGGAGAGGGCAGGGGGCCAAGGATACTGAGATGGCATTAGTCCAGAGTCTTGACAGCACATCAGGCTTCATGCTCAGTAAATACAGAGACTATCGTTTTCAGAGTTCAGGTTTGAGCATTTTTTTTATTACATTTCACCTATGAACCAATTAATTTTAAGTAAAATCACACTAAACAGTATAACTTATTCTGTTTTTTTTTTCTTCCATTTCCAACCTTCCAAAACTGTCAGTTATCAACGAGCTTTGAATTTCCCCACCTCATTAACCTGTGACATACTCATGTCTATGTAAAGTCCATCAAGTCCACTGCCAAAGACAGTAAAGAAATTAAAATTATAATGAGAAATAAGCCTGTAAAGGCTGATTGACCGCAAAATGCTGACCTCATTGTTGCACACATGACTGCTCTGTCAGGGATTTAGACAGCACAAATGCGAAGTGACGTCATTTCCATTTTGGCTGTGGTTCAGATGTGCCTGACCTAATCTGACCTATAGCTAAGGCAGAGCCACTCTGTCCACAGATAGTTTCTACCTGCTTCACAGTACAGTGAGGTGCCTGTTTTGGGGGGGCTTCTACTTCTTAATGTTTTTTTTTTCACCTTTGTGCCCTGTGGCATGTTTGGGTCAAGCTAACTTACCTTTGGTTTGTGGGAGGCTGAGACCAGTCAGATCAAATCCACCAGGGTCTGTCTAACACAAGACTCCATCTGTCTTTGCGACAGCCCTGAGTCCAGCTCAGACCACAGCTGTTTGTAGCAGACTGATCCTTTGTAAGTGTATCATTTCAGTAAGGTGGATTCAAGACCTAAAAAAATTTATACTTGAATCAGAACTGCTCTCATAGAATAAAAATAGAGTACAAAAACACAACACATGTAATACAGCCATTACAGATGCTACTTTAGGCTTTTTAGTTAGTGTGGGACAAAGTAAGCTGACATGTCATACGGACAAAAGAAAAAAAAAGAAAAATCTCAGTATATCACTTTATTCTTGTCCTTAGTAAAGCTGTCAGCCCAATAAAATCAGGAACTTAACAAAAACATAATTTTACAGCTTAAAACAAGTGTCATTAAAGGAATTTTGTAAAAGGCTAAGTTTTCTTTTAGATAAATGGAACTAAAAGAGTGGAAAACAAGTGTACCAGCCATACAAGTATTCTGTATTCTTGACAATATCCAGTATACTGATGAAAAAAAGTTTTGTATTGCCAATACGAGTTTGGACTATCCCACATCTCTCAATAAAGTCACACTACGTATATAAATAGTGTACAAGACTTAACGGCAGCAAGGTCACAGGGTGACAGCATCGGCAACAGGCCAGCTGCAAATGCTATATGTGTTTGTGGACTCTCTCCACAGCAGTGGTGATTTCTCTAAGACTGCAAGGGAAGCTCAGCTCCCCCCAAAAATGTAAAAAAAAGTGTTGAAATATGTTTTGCTGTGTGTACATTTCATTGACTAAATATGCGCTAGACCGCGTTCATCTTTTGTTCACAGTCAGCTACTTATCACAGGTAATCGACACGACTTTCCTTCTCATTCATCCACGCAGCGCCTCGAGTGGGTTGTTCCACTGCATAAAACCCGAACACTCAGCTTCTGCATGATGATTGGATGATCCGTCTTAGGTGGAATCCCTTTTTGATTGACAGCAAAATGATCGAATTAGCAATCTTAAAGTATAAACATCCATCAGAGCATTTTCCAAGTTTTTCATTCAGCTGTTCTGAACTGATCCGGAGACTTTACTGATCCCCAGCAACTTTGTCTTTGTTAAAAATGACTAGCGTTGTGTTTAGCGACTCTCTTCTGTCACAACAGTGGCACAGATTATTTTCTTGAAAAGGAACGGAGGGTAGAATTTACATATAAATAAACAAACACATTTACGATGTAGGTCAGGAAAAAAATGAGCTCCCCCTCCTTGACCAGCAGCTGCCACTGCTCCACAGCTAGAAAAGGCATCAAATACTTGAGAGGGCTTTTTTTAAAAGTTTATTTCTGCTGCATTAAAAATGTAGAAAGAGGTCAGTAAATGGATGAAAATGAAAATCAGTTTGTTTTTGATGTCTACAGGATGTTACTATTTCAACTGAGCTGGATATTCTTGTTACAAAGCAGAACATAACTGAGCAGAAAGGGCGCTCATAGAAAAACATGTGTGGGCTGAACCAGGAAAACAGAAGTGTGAGTCACAGCTCACCTAACTATCCAGCGTTGCGTTGCCTCTTCTCTTCTCCTCCTCTTTTCCTCTCCTCCTTTCCTCTCCTTTAGGAACAGATATTTGTTATGCCTCTTGCTTCTGTGTGATTGTTCAGTGTGTGATGGTGTTTGTGTTTGTGCACAGTGTCAGTATCCCTGTGTAGGAGTGCTGGTGTGTGAGTATCATTTACAGAAAGGAGAAAAATCTCCAGTGGTGTCTTTTTCTTTGATATCTGCCACGCGTTAATTTGAAATATAATGCCTAGTTTCTTTTAATCTGGTTCATTCAATTCAGTGTTTTCCTGCATGCTACACAATTCCCTGTTTCATAGAAGTTTGTGTGGGCATAAAAATATTTCTAAATACCCCGTCAGTGAGCTGGATCTCAGGTTTATAACAGTTTTTACAGGGTAAAACTGCAGTGTGGTTGAACTGGAAATATCAATGCTATAACCTTGCAACTAATGCAGTTGAAAAGGTTTGTTAAATCCTTATTATCCATCAGTGTGTGAGAATTGCAAAGACTAGGACTTACTTGAATTATTACAGTGAAACAAACCCCCTGAGAGAAACCATAGAGGGTGCAAAGACAGCTATCTTCCCACCAAGTACCCAACAAACTTCCACCACCCACCACTTACATGTCCACAAGCCTTTAAAAAATGAAGATTTTATTCCTGTATCTCTAATTTCCACAAGCTTTCTCTGGTTTATACTCTTTCACATATCTATCAGGGATTTTTAATTTTCTTGCATCTGAATTTAATCGTCAGGATAGGGCAATCCAGGTTTTAAGTTTAGATACCAATATCCGGTATCTGTATCAATCAACACCAATACCTGATCAGATACCAGGATAGAATAACAACCAGAATTCTGCCCTTGCTGAAGCGTTTCTTTAATGGCAGTCTGAATTGAGTCACTGTGTGATCTCAGATAGTTTGTACTTTCTAGCTTGTAGCTCTGCATGCTGTTGTGTAACTCGTGTCTAACCAGTGTAGACTCAAGAATGACACCACATCAGAGCTCCAGAAATCTGAGGTGACGCTCATTGCTGTAAAACATCTTTTCTCTCTGTAGGTGTCTCACAGCGTTCAATCAGAGCAGTGTCTCAAAAACATTTCAACTCTACCTGGATTCAAGGTCTTTAAGCAGGCAGAAGAATCCCCTGTTTTTGACTACCAACAGCTGTTTCTCATCCAGAACAGCCAATCTGAGAAATCTGTTATTTTTCATGCTTGCAAAACATCTCTGGAAAGATTTCCGTGTCTTTGCAACCTAGCTGACAATGAGCACTCTTTTCTTTAGGCTTATGATTCTTAAGATGCCCTTGTTGTGTTATATTCTGTTACTTAAACAATCATCTCACGACAAATGAACTTTGTGCATATCCCAAGTTTTCATTGGTTGTTGGCAAGGCAAGTGTTTAATATTGACATGCTGAACCTCTGCATTTCTCTATGCTACACTGGCTCTCTGACTAACCTGTGCACACACAGCAGACATTGGACAGCGCCACTGATCAGTCTGAGAGAGGACTTATATCAGGCTTCTGAGTGCTCGTTGTGCCTCCACCAAGCTCTTGCTTATGCTAATCCATGCGTTGGCTTTTGTTTGCATGACACTAGCTGCAGCAGCCGGCCGCCGTCCTGAGCCTCTGAATGACATGTTCGTGTCTCCAGGTTCAAGGATCAGATTGGACAGGTTGTACTCAGGTTTTTTTACTTTCAGATGCAGTAATTTTGGCGATAACGCTACTGATGTCAGATCAGCATAGCCCTGTTTAATAGCAGAGTATGATCTTGATGTTGAAGTCTTTCACTAAGCTGAATAGAAAGAAGTTCACAAAAGTGTCTTGGTTGGCTTCCAGGTAGTGCCCAGCAGAGTTACATAAAAGTGTTAGTCCTGTGGAAACAGTATAACAGCTGTACATGCAGATGCTGAATGTCAAACACATAAATGTCTGGTTTTACAGCCTCAGTCAAGATAATTGCATCTCGCCTTCCTTTGTTGAAGTGCCCTGGTATTACCACTCTTTCTTACATCCCACTTCACTTAATCGTTTGTCTTGATGGACCACAGGGTCTGATGATGACGCCCCCTAAGGTCTGCCAGAAAAAATAGACACAGTGACTGCCAAATGACAGAGCAAAGAAAAATGATCTTTTTTTCTTTCACAAGTTAACGAGAGAACAGACAGAGAGCACACAAGAGAAAAGCATATTATGACCTTTTCTCACCTGCATTAACACACACTGGGCTCTAAATTTCAGGTACACATGCACCACAGATACGTGAAAGTTCATTTATTCATGCCAGGCTTAGTCAGAGATGCATTTACACACATCAGCAGCAACAGGGGACTAATGAAATGTCACTGTATTCCTTTGTTACATAAAATGTCAGCATTTTTTGTAGCTAGGAAACAAGCAACATAAGGATTTTGTTATTGATTCTAAGAGAAAAAATGGCACTCAAGAAAGTGATGATTGGCATATTGATGTAAGGACATAGCATCTAAACTTGAGGTTCGATGTAATGCAAACTTGAATAATAGTATATCAGTTCATTATTTGGCATTTGAGCTACACAGTTAAAAAAAATTGAGTAAATGCTGAGTCACTGTTTAGGCACAGGCACTTCTGATTTTTGTGTTTCACTGCTCAGTGTGCTGGCTTTCCCCATTTCCCACTGTATTTAATGTGAAAGTATCATCAGATTCTCTGTTTAGTGTGTGATCTGTTTTTCTGAACTTGTTGAAAATCCTCAGGAATTCATAGCGCAAAAGCTTACAAGTTAGACATGCGACGAGAACATTAATTATTCTCTTATTGGTTTGAAGTGTTGACTTTTATCTTTTCTGTCTTCGTCTCTGTAGGAAGTAGGTTGTCTTTTTTAGTTGGGCAGTAAACTCTCATACATACACACACAGCTGAAGTAGACGATCGCATTGACACACACTTTCATCACAAATTTCACCTTGAAGTCAGTTACAATTCATGACTTTTACTAGTTTCAGTTTCCTTTGTTTGACAGAACAAATTTACTTCAGGACTATTTCTTTGTCTGTGGGAATATCAGGAACTGTCTGAGATCTTTGTGCATGTGAGTGTATCTGCTTCTCCAAAGTCGCCTTTGGGTGGACTCTCCAGGGGGAGGGTAAGTGCTCTCTGCTTTTAGGCGTTAATCTTGACCATCTGCTCTTGCTAAACCCTATTTCGATCACACCCTGCCTCACACACAATGTGCTTCACCTAACTGACCACACATCAGGGTGCATATTTGGTTAAATCACTTTAGAAGGTTACAGAAACAAACAGCAGAATTAACATATGGATGAAAAAGGAAATATTTGGCACATTGAATACCTCACACCTCCTCAACTCCTTTGTTAGTAATCTCTATCACTAAAAGTAAATTTAAGAGATCATTCAAAAATCAGCATCTGACAAATCTTTTGCATTTTTTCCTGACCAAGTTTAGGGAAATTTAGGATAATGAAGTTCAGTGTCACTCAGTAAAGGTTGAGCAGATATGCACACAAAAGCAGAAATCACTTTTTGAATAACAGCAGGCATTGCATCCTTCAAATGACAATAAAGAAATTGCAGACCACATGGACAATCCCTGAACAAGTGCACTCAGAACAAACAATTCAAACATGATGCTTGTCCATGTGTCATTATTTCTAATAAATTCTTCAAGTTAAAAGCAGCAAGAGCTCTGGCCACCCCAGGCATGTTACTTCATGTTGGTAATGAAACATAAAAATAGACTTTTTTGAATATCAGATCACAGTGCCTGGTAGAACAATTTAAATGTAATAACAGAGTGAAGGGTAAAGTGTCTCCGAGTCAGGTGTAAAATTAATTTAGATTTCATTTATACTAAGTGTGTGTTGATTTCATTTTGGTCACATTTAATAGATTCAAACATTGGAGAAGGGTTAGCTCGCATCAGTAATTGGATATTACCTCATCTGGCTGTAATCTAATCTCCACAGAAGATGATGAATTGAATTTAGTTCAGCCAGGCAGCTTAGGGAAAGATCTGCACAAAAATAGTAACAAGGACTGAACCATTAAATCTCAAGCTAAACTTTGAAACCATCCATTCTATCACACGCCTTTACTAACCCCTTTACCCCTCACATTACCTGGTTCAATGCAAAGATACCCTAAAAATAGGCACACACAGCAGCACAGTAAGTACAATGGTTATAAGATTACAAGGATTAAGAGCTAGTTTATACAAGATCAAGTGTGAGTGGGTACCTCTTTACAGGAGGAAATTACAGGATTACTCCACTAAGAATGTTATTATTGAACTGACTGGAATATATGCGCACACCATCACACACTGGCCTCTATCTCTGAAGTGAAAAATGTGAATAAGAGATTAAAGCTTAAACAACAGGCTAGTTAGCAGTATGACCTCAACCAAGCACATCTAAACAGACTAATCCTTACTGTGCAGAGGATCAGCCTATATGAGAAGTTCCTCTCAAAAAGTAAAAATAACTACCTTAAAGCGAATGAGATTTTAGGGTTCAGATGTAGACTGGTGCAATACAAAACAGTCACTCTCTCTCTCTTTGGTGAATTTAGTTGCATATTTGGTCATTAAATATTGTATCGAATTGGTAGTAATGGCGTTGAATTGTGTCTAAAGGTTAATTTCAGGACTGTTTTCAATGGGCCCCTCTTGGATTAGACCAGCTAGCTTAGACCAAAACATTTGGTCTACACATTTAGGGCGGGAATCACTCGTGGCCCCACGATATGATATTATTGCGATTTTTAACATTTTGCAATACAGTGAGTATTGCAATACAATATATTGCGATATACATTTTTTTTGTGTTTAGCTAATTTAGCATTTGTCTTTCCTTTGTTTGTCTTATTTACACTGTATTTTATTTTCATAGCACATCTTACAAACCTTATACATATTTGTTGCACTGACTTTCTCCTGCTCTATAATGTCACCTCTGCCAACTTCACTTTATTCAATTATTCAAGCAATTAGCAATTAATTTGAAAAATCGATACTTGAACAATAAGACGATGTGATCACCAGACAAAATATCGCCATACTATGCTTTATTGATTTTTTTTCCCACCCTTACTACACATGCATCTTAAATGGGTGCTGAGTCTTTCTACATTCCCCCAGTGGAAACCATTACATCAAACCACCTATCCTTGCACTCACACACACACACACACACACACACACACACACACACACACACACACACACACACACACACACACACAGTAAAGCTGGCTGCCCTTTTACTGCCTCCAATCCATGTGCCTCCTGTCAGCAGGCACGCCTTCTCTTTGATTTGCTCATTGCAGTGCTCTGTGTTGTGGTGCATGGGTTTATGTGCCTTTCTCTTGTTTTCTGCAGCAGGTGCTTGAAGGCTTAAGGAATCCTGGAGAGGGAAGCCTTTTCACCCTGCCAACTCTTCTCCCATATAAAGTCTCTTCTTGCAAGGGACAGGTTTAAAAATGCATGACTAGATCAGTAGGATGATCCACCTCTCTTTGTTCTTCTCTCGGTGTATATCTCATTTGCCAAGTGTGCGTTTGCTTAGCCTTGCATTAAACACCCCTTCTGCTCCCATGGCAACCAATCCAGTTGTGTTACTGGGATAGCATTGCTGATGATTGCTCTTTGGTTTTTGGTGGCTTGTACATACAAAGACGATGACAGTTAACAATGCACAGGGCTGACCTACTAAAACAGTCATTGAGCTGTTTTTATATATTTTTGTTATTTTCCATGGATCTACTTGAAGCAGGATAAAAAAATTGCCAAATCAAGTTAACAGTAGCAGTTACATATGCTCTGCAAGACAATTCCACTTGGGCTCTTTTAATTGTACGGTGGTGGGAGGGTATCACTTTGAGTCTACGTCATTTATGGTGTAGAAAGTGGCCATAAAATATAAAGTGCACAGCAGCCTTTATGGAGTAAATGTGATCATTTTAACGACTAACATTGACTGTGCTGCTGTCCGTCAATCAGTTCACTGTTCAGCTGAAGAAAAAGGAGGTGTGATGACTCTCAGTGACTGATTGTGATGGAAAGCTTGATTGATGATAACATTTAACAGTCAGATAAACTTCTCTTCCCTTTAATCCAGCACTTTTTGAGTGGCCTCGCTGTATTTTATTAGCTGTATCCCTGTCCCCTCTATTATCCTTTGCTTATTTCTTCTCTGACCTCACTCACATCCCACCCAGTTGCAGGTCCTTGTTTCCTACGCCATGATAAATGTGGTGTGAGTGGAGGAAATTTAAAACCAAGGTCGAGTTATTGTATCCATATGATGTGGGTTGTGTTTGTGCTAATTGGGTATATATTTCATGGGGCGTGAGGAAAGGTGCTCCTCCATTTGTAGAAGTAAGGCTTGGTCACTTCTTACAGATTGTTTTAAGCTGCTTGGCCTCAAAGGCTGTTTGTGTTATTTTACACAAGCGATGTTACAAAGACTGAAGTGTTGGGATATGCATGAAAATGTTTTGCTATAATTAAGCATTTAGCAATAATACCTCTTTGAGTCTTTTTTCTGTGCTATATTCTGTGCTTTTCCCTCTGTCTTGAGGTAATAAAAGTTGAACAAACATTCAAAACAACCACTTCATTTAGACCAGGAAAAAAGTCTTATGAATGTGATTTCAGCATGACATTGAAGAGATAGGTAAAACTCTGATGAAGGGATGAGTATAGAAAAGTGGCATTTGAAAAAAATAATAAAATAAAAAGTTACCCCGTACATATTAGAGCTCTGCTTCAAGAAGAACAGGAGAGATATACTGACATTAAAATGGAAAGAATACCCAGCTCTGCTCTTGAGACAACACTACCTAAAAGCTTTAGTTTGAATCTTAACCTGTGAGTAATAATAACAGCCTCTGAACACTGTACAGTTCAGAGTTTGTTAACCAGTTCACAATAATCACTATATTTACAGTTATAAGCTATTGTCTCACTTTATCCTTGCGATCACTGTCCTGTTGATCTAAAGTATAGGTGGATTAGTGGGTAATGTATCCCACCAGTCCGTGCTCACAGCATTCAATTGTCATCAGCAGTTTTCATGAGAAAAAGAAAATATGAACCTTCACTTAGGCTGAATCAGCTAATGCTGTTAACTGTTGCCATGGAGACTGACTGAGTTGAGATGTTGCTGTGGAAACTGAGAAGCTGCTCATCGCCACCCACAGCAGCCCTCCCCACTGCTCTCCACCAGCTATGACCACACCAACACATTTGAAAACATACTAACATATACATCTGTACACATGGACTCATTCCTCTGTCAAACATGCACATCCCTATGTTTTTCTTTTTTTGTATGTGTGTATAACACAAATAACACAGATATATGTTTTGTTTTTGTTTGTTTTTTTTATTCCAGTTTACAGACACTTTGTGGATTTCAAATGTATGATGAACATCTTTAGCTCTGCTGTTCACAGTGAGGCCTAAACTGAGTTTGAACAGAACCACTCATTGGTGTACCTAACTGGATGCAGACCAGTTTTAGCAGCTAGTTTTAGCTTCAGGTTGCTGATTCACAACCTGAAAATTGAATTTGAACATAAAGTGGGATCCAGTACCAGGAACATAAACCCAAAACCCGAATTTGAATTTACAGGTTAAAACTGAACTATATGGTGCAGATCTTCCAGAGTCAGTTAAAAAAGCAGTGAATAAATAAATACAATAATTTCATATAGAGAATCTCTTTTAATACTTGAAGAAAAACCATCTAATTCAGCTCATTGAATTGCAGTAACTAATTGAGCTCTATTTTTGGAAGGAGAAAACCTTAACATATAATTCAGCTTTTAAAAAAACCCAATAAAAGATTAACGATGAAGGATTGCTCAATTGATAAACCACAATACCTGGACACAATCCATGATAACATTAGAAAGAACTTGCATTGCCTTTGTGATTTTGTCTGTTGGAGCATTGAAGAAAATTTGTTCTTTAATGAAACGACTGTATTTAGTTCTGTTAGATTCCATTCTACCACTACATTAAAGTCATAAATTACAGCTGCCCAGGGTGAAACCAAATTTGGTGACATATACATCAGAATCAGATTCAGAATCAGAATGCCCTTTATTCTCATTATACTGGAGTACAATGAGATGGGAGAGCTTCTCCATTTCCAGTGCAATAGAAGTAAAAAAAGAAGATTTACTATGAATATGATTCTTCTCACTGGTTTTGCAGAGCCCCATCATGAGCTGATAAACTGTCATGCTTGAAGATGTACTTGTTTACTTGCAAGTAGCAGAGCATTATAGCATGTCGGTAGTGCTACAGCTTAAACCAAGTGCATGACCAGTGTTTTGAGTCCGTAGTAATAGAAATATTCATGACTTGTTAAGCTGATCTGTTATTCTGGCACTAACTGGTAAGGATGACAATGAGCACATCCCTGTTAAAAACACTTGTTCTGTAAAGAGCTACAACATCTCATGCTGATGGACTAAACATTACATTAGTTTTGTCATGTATTAATGTTTTTTGTTATTCTGTGAAATGCAGCTGAAGCAGAAAAAAGAGCACAAGAGACCGGAGATGTCACTTACTCTAATCCATCTGAAGCATTAGTTATTGTTCCTACTCTTTCCTTCCTCTGTTTAAAACTCATAATTGTCATGATAGGTTTTTGCTAGTTTATTTTCTCCTGCTTTTGTAATTAAGATTTATTTTCTATGTATTTTCCTTGTGTTCCTATTCCATGTGTGTTTTCAGTTTGTCTATGAACCTGTTCTCCTTGTGTTTTCGGTGTTTTATTCCTGTGGTAATTTTTTTAGTGTTTCCTGTTTTATTTTGGAGTTCCTTCTTCTTGACTTCCTGTGCTTTCCCTCGTGAATGATTGTCTGCACCTGTGTTTTAGGCCCAATCCCAATCCGACCCCTACAAACCCCCCCTCCGTTTGTGCTTCCCTGCGGAGGCTCGGACATATTGAAGGCCGTCCCAAACCACAGAGTGTTGAGTGCAAGTGGACCGTTCAGCCCCTACATGGCGAGTCTGCACCTGTGCACACTTATGGCGGGATGTGCAGGTAGTGCACCGGCAAAAATGGAGGATGAGATAACAACATACAAATATAAGTTCCGCATGTATCCATTTTTGTCTCACTGACAAAAAATATCACAAAAGAAGTGGTTTGGAAAGATCAAACAAATCTTACTCTGTGCTGAGGTTTGATTTGATTGTGCATGCACATGTCAAATAGTAAAGGGCTTCAAAGACATGTTGAATCACTTACAACCAGAAGTATAACTTAGCTCCTGTCACTGTGATGGTTTCTGGATTTATGATTTCAGTGGGACAATGAAAAATGAGGCAGCCGGTGTGGCTCAGAACTGCACATAATGCTCATTTATTAGAAAAGAAACACTGCCATGCACAGGACGTGTCCAAAATGAAATTACTCACAAGTTTTTGCACCGAGTATTCACTGTGATAGCATGTAAATTACAATACAGTCTTCCACCTGCATGTAACGAACACCCAGTGAAAAGTTTTTCTATTGAACAATATAACATGTTTTTCTTTTAAAGAGTGTTTTGAAATTCTTTCACACCATTTTTTACACCACGTTTAACACTTCTCCAGAGTTGTGGCCTCATGAAAAAGCTACAATAAATCCTTGTCAAATAAACAATTAGGAATGACAGTCATGAAGTGAGAAATAAACACAATTTAAAACTATGATAAATAGTAAATTATGTTGGGGTAAATGAACTTTCTGCTGCAATGAGACTTAAGCAAGAGCCTTTGGTTTAAAGGGCAGCTACACAATTTTCAATTTGTTTTAACATCAGCAAACACAGTGGTTTCAAATTTCTGGAAAATGTTTGTTATACAGAACCTAGGCTGTATAAACCTAGTTTTATTTGTGTCAGATTTCACAACTTCATAAAGTGAAACCCAAATTTTGTCATCATAAAATAATTAATCAAATAAGGTAACTGTTACCCGTGGACCTGTTTGTGGTCCAAATTAACAGCTTAAGGCAGTGTCTTTAAACCCTACCCAACTGCAGAGTGACTGATGTGGGTTCAGAGCAGACCGTAGAGGCCTTGGTGGATCCAACCAAGCGCCTGCCATGCCTCTCTATTTCTGTTTTTGTCCCAGCAGTTGCATAGAAACACACTTGGAAAAAAAAGAAAAAAAAAGAAACACACTTGAACACAGAACTGAGGGAACTACCCAAATGATGCTGCTTAAATAGTTTTCAGTCTTCAGAAGTTTTTGCATGGAATCTTTGAAACGTTGATAAAACCTTTCTCACTTATTTTCTCTTACTGACAGATGGATCGACTGCTTTAGCTCCATGTCACCAAATTGATCATATCCTACTATATTCCACTGTTCCATACTTGTGTCCAGAAATACATCTGACTCATGTTCTGCCTATAGCCTTGATTCTTGTGACATTAATTTTCCAAAAAGACTAGTTGAAATAACTAGGATGAAACATTATCCCTTCTGGTGTTTTTTTTCACACTTCTTCCATTTCAATGAACAGTTGTAATTATGGCACATTTATTACCTGAATACAGGAGAGAAAGCTTTCCTGTGATAATAATAGATCTTTTCTCCCAGTCTTAGCTAAATCCCAATTAGTTGCCTGCTTGCTCTGTCCTGCTGCATCCCAGTGTGTATATCCTGTTGGCATGATGAGCTTTTGTTGCTGTTCTTGGAGAGCAGAGTCATTTCTATTTATCGTAACACATGCTGGACCGAAACGGGTCTTTGTGCTGTTTAGTGAGAGCTGGTATGCCGAAACATATCAATGATGACATCCATTGTAAATCTCCAGTGACACCTCAAGACATTGTGAGATTTGAACTGTACAAAAACATTTGGTATCTGAAATATATGTGTACTTTTACAAAGCAGTTATTATCTATAGCATTAATTAAACATTATTAGAAAAATAGAATATTTGTGTGCAGAGACAGCTCCGTGTATATGGTAAAACAATAGTTAAGAGTAAAGTAGTTAAGTAGCATAAATATGTTTTCCTACCAGGCCTTTGTAAAGGGAAAAGTTGATCGCGTGCCTTTGTGATTGAATCCATTTATTGTTCACCTGAGTGTTGATACCCTCTTATAGTGGATAGTTGGATTTTTCAGTTCCTTTTCAGAGTTTGCTAAACCAAGCATGAATTGGATGAAGAACTCAAAACTGATCTTATTTATTCTTTCTTAAGTTTCCTGTATTTAAAGTTATGAAATTGGAGTTAAATTAAAGTAGGGCTGTAGCAAGTAGTCTAAGAAATTGAGTAACTATATTATGTATATATCTAAATCTATACATCTATATCTAAATCTATATAAATCATTTGCTTTCAGCCTTTGTTTAAATTCAGACTGTACAGCACACTGTGTTTTGCACAATGAGCCATTAGTGTGTTTTAATCACACTCATTCTCTTGCTGCTTATTAATCCTCCTCCCACCAGTATAGGACTCACCTATTTACTGTCTTTCCGGGACAGAAGTTTGGCTCTCCTCTCATGCTTTGAAAATCAGATGAGAAATATTCTTACAGCCTTTGTTGTGAACACTTGTCCGCCTGACAGCTCTCAGATCCCACTGCCCCTTTTTGACTGGGTTGGGTCAACTAGAGCACTGTCATTGGAAGATGTGGTCCGCACAATGAGCACATCACCTGCTGCCACAACAGCACAGTGTTTGTGCATATAGATCAAAACTAAGAAGGCAGCTGAAGCATTTTTAGTCATTTTTCATCCTTAAAAGAACACTTTTTCACGATCAATAAATGAGTAATCATCACTAGCTCCTTACCCCAGTGTATACTGTGACTAGCGCAAAGAGACAGACATCGTAGCGCCCTCCTTTAAATGTACACTAATGATTAAGATCAACATTTCCGACTCGAGTTAAACCTTCTAATACTGCTGTTTTAAAAGTATTACACAGTTGGCTTTGTATTGTTGTCACAACAAGTGTTTGCCCACACACAGATCACCTGCTGTGATAATCAAACATTCAAAATATGAGTTGTGTTGTTTGCTGGTGAGTTTTTCCAAACCTTTGGACACAGAAAGGTTTAAAGGAAGTGTAAGGTGAAGACAGGTCACAGAGCTGCTGAAAGATGAGAGATGCAGGTGTCAGGTGGACTCAGAATATGACAAGGTGTGTCCTAATCCAAACCTCAGAGACACACCTAAGAGACCTGAGACTTGACTTGGACTCGCAAAAAGTGATTTCTGTTGTCTTTGGAAAATTGGATCACCCACAGCAGAAAATGTGATGCTGATAAAAGCAACACAGCTCTTGCATAACTTTAGTCATCCTAAGGTGAAATGAGGAACCGAAGTCTTCATTTCAGCAGAGGAAGACAAACCGAGAGTCTCTAAAACTTTTTGTCTCAATGCTGCAAAACCAAAAGGCATAGTTGTTTAGGTTATGCCAGTTGTGCTACATCCGCTCCAGTAACTTCTGTTTATTGAAAACCATATAAAAAAAAAAAAAAAAAAAAACAGAAATGAGAGGCAATCCTATATCAAAGAGTGAACATGTTAGCCACCAGTGCACTGTTTCTGCTTGCCTTTATTAGGAAATTGTGTTATATTTCACTTAGATGTATTTAATCACCCATCCAGCACTGCCTGGTGACGGTATGAAACCCTGATGTCTGGGGCAAAGCGATTGGGTCCAGGGGTTTAATTGTGAGCTGTGTCATGTGAGTCTAGCCTCCTTGTCAAACAGCATTTGATCAGATTAAGAATCGCTATTGTTGGACAGACAGAAGGCTTAGCAAGACATCCTGTTGATGTCTCTAATGAGTTGTGAGTTGCCATCAGTTTGGATCTGTGAAGGGCAACTACATTAGTAAACACTGGCATTTACCTGTTCTTGTTTGATGCTCACTGCTAGCAGTCATGGAGTGTTTAGACTGTTTATGTGATTTCTCCTCGTTCATACAAGAACTGTATTCCTTTTTTCATCTGAGCCTTTGAATAACAGGATCATTCCTTGCATAAATGTCTTTTATGAGAAAACGTGCCTCACAGATCCTCACATGAAGGGGAACAAATTACTGACATTTTAGATTATGATGTAAATGAGGACAGACACTGTGAGAATGATGCAAATCCCTGGGAATGGTTGTGATCCTCAAGAGCTGTCTCCATTTTGATCAGATACGGAGTGGCATCAGCCTGACGAAGTTGTGAAACGGCACTGTCACTATATAAATGATTGGTTGGTTGGTTGACAGGTCCACTGTGCTCACCAGTTAACTGTTGAAGTCTGCAGTAATCCTGGGAAATACATCCCTCCTGTTTGTGACAATTACTGAAATTTGGTCATCAAATTAACAAAATTTTCTATCAATCCATCTGTCAGTTATTCTTTGATAGTGTATGAGTATGCATATGGACAGCATCCAGTGTCACTGATGTTAACATGAACACCAAAGGCCCTGGTTGCCTGGTCATCCTGCTTGTAAAAACACAATAGTAGGCCTGCACGATATATCGTTTGAATATCGTCATCGCGATGTATGTGTGTGCGATAGTCACATCGCAGAGCCTGCAATGTCGGAGGTGAATGAACTCAGTTAATTTCATGAGTAACTGACTGAGATACACTGCATGTGACTCTGCATGTGCTGTGCAGCGATCCACCAATCACCTTAGTTCTTTACTCAGTTGCCAATCAGACTCAATTCTCAGTTGCCAATCAGACTATCCTGCCAGCTGTCAATCAAAATCAGATAGGAGGAAACCCACCCCTGCACATGTTCTGCACATGGAGTTAGACGCGTGTCCGCTGAGAATTACTTTCGGAACATTCTTCATCACTGTTTAGCCCAACAAATAAGAACTGTATGGGTTTTAAATTGTACATTTCCGTGGACCACTCTACTATAAGCAGTGCGCGTTTTGTGAGGTGCATGCAATTCTCGGAGGACATGCGTTTCTCAGCACAACCCCGTTAACAACAACAACAACGATCGCAAACTAAGCAACAAGCAGAGAAAACCACAGAAAATTAAGACTTGTTGCCACAAAGAAAAGGAAAGTCAATTATCTGGAATTATTTCGGTTACAAGATGGATCGACCAAAACACGTGTTCTGTGTTCATCTGTTTCCACAATAACGTCCCAGAACAATAAAAGCTAAAAATATCCCCGAGACAGACAGAAGCCGTTCTACTAACATTCACAAAAAGAGGTAAGATCAGTGCAGGTTAACTGTCCTCAAGATTTCAGCAGTGCAGCACAACATTAAGTGCTATTCAGGTCATCTGGTGAAAATTCCTCTATATTTTAATATCGCAATATATATCGCAGGGTTGAAAAAAAATCGCAATATTAATTTTTTCCAATATCGTGCAGCCTTACACAATAGTAAGAAAAAATCATCAGGGTCAACCTGCCCTCCATCAAGGATTTATACAGGACCAGGGTTAGGAAACAGGCAGGTAACATCACCCGTTTCTTGACTCTGGACCGGGACCCTCACACCCAGGACACAAACAGTTTAAACTAGGGATGTCCCAATCCAGTATTGATATCAGATACCGTTTCGCAGCAAAAATAAATAAAAAATATTGGATTATATTGGCCTGCATCTAAAATCTCCAATATCAGTACTGTGATTCAAGTAGTCCATTCCAAACTCCGCTCCAGCACCTCTTTCTAGCAGCGCCCAGATCTAGCATGCAGAGTCCATGTAATCACAGCTACAGTGGGAACTAAGGTACTAACAAAGTAGCAAGGAGTAGGAGTGATGTCAGCTGTGTGGCAGTATTTTTCGTCTAAGTCTACAATACCGATCGGAATCGTAAGTGAAAACATTGTATTAGGACACCCCTAGTTTAAACTCCTCCCCTCAAGTAGGCATAACAGATCACTGCAGACCAAAACCAGCAGACACAAAGACAGTTTCTTCCCCTGGTCTGTTGGTCTGATCAACTCCTAACATTCACAAAACTGCAAGAAGACCTCTGTGACTGTAAATGACTTTATAACTGTTACACAGTTTATCTATAAACATTCCTGTCATCAGACATGTAGGTACCTCTGCACACTGTTATTTAATATTTATTTGTCATGTTAATGTGATAAAACATAATGTATATTTACCTCACGTACATAAACCACCAGTAATATTATAACTATAATATTATAACCTGTAATATAAATAATATAACATTTTAATTGTATACTTTGTAATTTTTGTAACATGTCATGTTTAATGTTTGTACAGAGAAGGCAAAGTTTACCTTGAGTCAAATTCCTTGTATGTGTACACATACTATGCCAATAAAGCTGATTCTGATGAGATCAATAAGTTTTATTCAAACTGTAAATCATACGAAGCTACTCTGAAAGGTTACACTGAGTATAATCGGCCTCCTCTAATTGAAGAATGCTATTGCTGCTTTGGGCCACTCTTCTGTGTTTTCTTAGGTCAGCTTATATCATTGTCTCAAGAATGTAACCTCCAGCAGTCCCTGCCTTTACTGGAAGTGGTAGTGAGGTGCAAGTAGCGCATACTGATGACAACCTTGAGCTCAGATTATCTTCAAACCCTGTACCGTCTTTCAGATTCACCCCATGCTGGCTAAAATGTTTGATCAGGTTTGATTCTCAGGCAGGACTTGCAGCTAATTTGCTGCACACATGCACTTTGCGGTATTGTTGTGTTGTGCGTTAATGTTGAGCCACACATGTAATGGTTTACTGAGATGCATCTGTGATGCTTTTGCCATGCAAGTGGGCCAAAATTTTAACACATGGGCTAACTGTTGCATAACACATCAAACAGAAAAGTATTGAGTCTTTTCAGAGCACTTCACACATCCTTGCAGATTTGGTTTTTGTCTTGCAGGTATTTGTCAGAAAGGATTCAAATTTTGAACTGAATTTTGACTACCAATGGCTTTTACCAGAAATGTCTGAGGCAGAGTTTGCCGAATAAGTCCTATAAATAAGCATCCTCACACTTCTCATCTTGCAAAATAATGTGTATCAGCTTTGTGTACTAGCCAGCCAATTACTGAATAATAGCTAGAAGAGGAATGTACTGGAGATAAGGTGTTGAGTCATTTTTCTTCTTTTTTTATTACTCAATATTTTGGACATGAACTTTGAGTCAGGGGGGATGGGTATCATTAGGGCAACATGTAGTCATGGACAAACCTTGTTTCTATCAGTAGCTGCTGTAACATTCACAGGTTTTAGACTTTTTTGCTGTGGCAGCCATCTTTAAGACTGTAGCACCATCAGCTGGATAACACAGTCAATGGCTGGTTCAGGTAAAAAAAAAGATTTTCAGATGAAAGCCAATCATTTCTCTGCTGAGAAAAACCAACACTATTCAAATTATCAAGATATCGGGGTTCAACAATTGTGAACCCAGACCTCAAGAAGCATAGTCTAACTTTCGCTGTGGGGTAGCTGATTTAGGAGTAGTACCATGGGCCATAGGAACCATGTAGTTCCATAAAGAAAAGATCCTGTAACAAATAGTTCTGGGTAATTTTGGTTGAAAAGCACTTTTATTTACCTGAAGGTGACCTGTGTGGACTCCACTGCAGTCTGATGAGTTAACAGGCATTTGCGTCAACAACTTGATAGAGCGTTTAACCATAGTTTATGATTATGACACCTGTCAGACTGTCATTTGAACTTACTGTTATGTGAACCAACAATTCATGTTTTTTCTTAGGCTATATATGTTGCTATAGCCTACAGCTTTGATGGTGGATTACATAATCACACTATGAGGAAATTTGATTTTAAGAATAAAGTCATAGTGCTCTATTTTCGTGCCTCGTCGGAGACGTGCTGCAGGCGCGGCATAAGTCAGGTCCGCCGTGCCGACAAGGCATTCCCAAGTACATTTTGGTATTTTGGTGAGCGGTGCAGCCCAGCGTAAGTATCCCCCCTCCCTAACTCAGCTCCTCCCAGCGGCGTAAGTCGTAGCGAGGGAGGAGAAAGGGCGTGGAGTGGGTTTAACACAGCCGAGACCTGTTTTCACCAATCACATAAGCTCCTCTCCTTGCCTTTAAATCCGCCACCGGCGAGGTGTATTACTATTTTCGGGAAGTAGTCAAAGAGATCAAGAGATGTGTGAAGACAGTAATGCCACATGATGGCGACAGAGGGCAGCTCCTCAACAAGTGTCACTTTAAGCGCTGCATTGGGCGTCCTCCACACTCTCTCATATGAGCACAGATGGATTTGGTGTGTATAATGTTGGACCCACTGGTAAGACAAACACCCTTTTCCACAAATAAAGACACTCACATAAAGTTGCACATATTTAAACCTCACGTGACAAAGGTGGGTTGAGCGCACAGATCACAACATAAACTCCAAAAATGGCATTAAAATCGGAACCATCTGTGCATAAATGACGCATCGCGCTCCGTGGCCTGGCTCTTTCTTTCATAGATGTTGGCATATAAAATAAATTTGGCTCACAAAACTGAATATTATAATATCTGCATGTAGGCTTAAAGTAAATAACTCATCTGATCACTGAAACAAATCATCTGTTCAGCTGCCGCAGCTGCTTCTGCTGCTGCTGCAGGACGGAGAGAGGACACGGAGACGTGTCCAGGTCGAGCTGCGCGAAAAATAAGAGGAAGAGGAAGAAAGAAAAGGAGGGAGACAAATTAAATATATATTCTATCTCAAAATAACTAACAGGCTAAACACAAAGTAAATATCCTTTTGTATCATATTTTTAAAAATCAAATTTCATAACTTAACTTGAATCTCAAAATCCAGTTTCTTTTTCATATTGACTGATCCTTATACTCCTTTGTTCAAAGCACAGCGGGTAGCAATTGTGAATGTCCAGTCCCAGGTTGGTCCCAAAAAGAGCGTAATGTAATTTTTTACTTAAGATTTAGTTAGTTAAATAGGTAACCCATGTTTAAACTAGGCTTGTTATGAGATAGCACTTTGCAACAATCCAAAACTAGGACTGCAGAATGACTAGGCTACAGTTTACTTGGGACAACTACCTGGGTATTGTCTCTCTCCCTCTTTCTCTCATATTGATAAGAATAGATACTGATAAGTGGTATTGGAATTATTAATAGTTTAAGCAAAATCCTCACGATAGTCATCTATTTGTCTGTATGTGTTTGGCGCATAAAGCAGATGTTTTTCTCTTATAGTCACTGCTCGGGTTTATAAGCCCAGACTCATGCTGAGGTCATCCAGCCCTGCAGTCACTGTGCAGCCACTACACAGAATAAAGACATGGCTTTTGTTCTATGTCCATAAAGAATACAGGTTTGGGGTCTGCCTCTTTCCTGTGATGGAAAAAGCAATAATATAAATGACTTTATACCACATATTAACAACAGCCTCTTTTTCAATCAATACTTGACAATATACAGACAGCATTGTTAATACATCTCACCTGAGACTTGACTCTCGTAACAAGACAGGATATTCAGAAATACAGTAATGCCAGGAGTTGGCTATACACTTCTTTCTTACCTTTACCCTCAGGATACAGGAAAAACAAATCAGTCTAAATGGATCACAGGAAATACATCTGCATTGGAAATGTTTCCTGTTTAGCATTTTGACATAAATGATTAATGTAGTCTCTGACAAGCTCAGTGCCAATCAATCCACAGTGAACTCATTGCCCTCTTGCAGAGAAGCCCACTGAGGCTTACAGTGTCTCTGTGTATCAGTATGTTCATACTGTGGCTGCTGGATTGACGCCAATTAGTGTGTGTGTGTCTGCTGTTCCGTACAACTGTGTATCTGTTGAATGGAGCTGCATGGTGTTGTTTACTCTCTCTCAAAGTGTGTGAGTATGTGTACGATTGTGTGTGTGTGTGTGTGTGTGTGTGTGTGTGTGTGTGTGAGAGAGAGAGAGAGAGAGAGAGAGAAGGGAGGGGAGATATGTCTGAGTCTTAGTGGCAACAAGCACGCATGCACACACACGCACACAGAGTGATAAGCACTGCCTTTGTCGCTGTCACTTTCTGTCTCCCTCTCGTGTTTACTCTGCTGTTCCCAGCTGAGTGATAACTCAGGACTTTCTTTAGATCCACTCCTGATTGGAGGGCACTGTCAACTATACTCTTCCATACTCTTCTCACTACTCTTACCTTATCCTCGACCCCTTTCCATCTGTCCATATGATACACTGGCAGAGTGTGTCTGTGTGTGTGTGTGTGTGTGTGTTAAACAGTGCCACCTGCCACTGCACTCCCAAAGTACTTGGAGCCAAATCTAATCTCTCTCTCTCCCTCTCTCCCCCCTCTCTCTTTCCCTTCCCCTCACTACTGTTTCTTTCTCTCATCCGCTCTCACCCTTTTAGGTCTCGGATGTTTCCTTTCTTCTGAGCTGTGAACAACGTCCCATCTAACCAGGTAAGTGTCTGGATATCTCCCCCTCTCTCTTTGTTTAGTCATCGTACCCTCTGTCTCCTCCTTTCTCTCTCTCTCCCTCCTCACTGCATAAGATGCTGCAAAGATGCTGCGTCACTGTGTTGGTGTTTGTAGACAGTTGTAATTTCACTGTAACAGGAAAAAAACAGATGCTTTGTCTGCCGTCCCTACTGTCTTCCTTTCTATCTCTTTTGCCTTGTCATGCAGAGTAGTATGTATCTGTGTAAAACAACAGGCAATTTAGATAGTATGCACACGCGTGTGTGTGTGTGTTGTACGAGAGTGTATTTGTGTCTAGACATTCCACATAAGTCATTTGTTAGTTTTATTTGCACATGGCTCAGGTGCAGTGAGAAAAGGCAATTTTTTTCCTCTCATTGAGACACTGTAAATTCACTCTGTGTCTTGTCACCTCTCCACCAGCAGAAGTGGCAGATCTGCAGGAAAAGGGAGAAATTGTCAAACTGAAAGATGAATTCATTAACTTGACCTCTTTTGTCTTTTGATTCCCTCAGTCAAACAGCACAGTCTGTCTGGTTTGGTGAATTATTGCTGAGACACTGATTCGGCTTTCCAAGACTGCCATAACCTCAAGATCACTACTTCAGCTTGAACAATTTCCATTTAAAGAGCATAACTTCTACCCAAATTTTTGGCATTTACTACAAAATATTTAAAAAGTATCTGTTGAGTGAGAGCTTAAGTATTAATGTGGATGGTTGAGGCTAGGTGGCGAGCCAGAACTCTTTTTATTGTACGAGAGCAGGTTGTCCACAGTGAAGCAGCAGATTGTTGGGTGCTTCACTTACACACCTGTTAGCCCAGTGGTAATAGGAGGATTCTGAGAATATATTCAACCAATCTAATCATGTTACCCTCAGACTTAGAGCTTTTGTCAGCTTTCCCCTCTGTTCCTAGGGCATTTGTATTATTATGGCAGATAATACTTTGTGCCTCTGTCCCAATCCTAACTATTGAACAAGAGCCAATCTGGGCATTTTTTAATTGACCTGTGCTTGGCAACTTGAATCCATCATCACACCTTGATCTATGACAACAGCAGTCACTGATCACAATTTACAACTGAATACAAACAGGCTAGTAACTTAGTGTAACCAGGTATTGGCCTGTTTAAACTGCACACTGTATATAGAACGGACGCTGTCTGCCTCCTCACTGGGTGTAGCCACCGCAAGAACCGGACCCTCTGGTGACGGGCTGCAGTATAGGTCATAAATCCTGCCTCCTCCAGCAATCTCTATGGAGCTGTAGACAAACTTTAGAAATTAATTACACAGGATATAAATTTTTCTCCCCCCCCTGGTTGCAATGTTGACATGTGGTTATTATAAGACTGGTTTGTGCTCAGGTCCTCTTTTTTTCTGTGCAGCTCCGTTTTTAAGTTATTAGGGGGTTCATGTTTTCTTTGATTGACACTTAATACAGCCTATGGGCATTCGAAGATTGGGTAGCTCACCAGGGGGATACACTGTTTGAGCCGAGTGTCATCACAGTGACTCTCAGCGACTCTCCCGCTGAATGCATACAATGCTACTGCGCAATGTAGGTTTCAGGAAGTGGAGAAAATCCCAGAAATACCGAGACTTGTCCATAGTATATACAATCTATGGTTTAAAGTACTTCAATGCCAGCAGTGTGCAAATATAAAGTAGTTCTAGGAGCCTTAAAGAGACAGCAGCTAAAATGAAGCATTTCAGATAGGTTGAAATAAAGATATTTCAATACACCACTGGGAGGAATTTAAGGCTTCCTTATCTGAAAATGATGTAAAGATTTGAAAGAGTTATCAGAAAGGAAGTATAGAATTCTAAAAAAAAAATCCATAATACCCCCCTCCTTATGCAGACAACAGATTTCACTCATGCAACAGAGGAAAGGCTGCTGTGCTGAAGCAACAAACTCTGGGCTATATCCTTGAGAGAGCAAAAAGGCCAAAAGGATTGCAGAGAAAGGGGTGCAATCAATAGCCTTGGACAAGCAGCCTGTGTCTGCGGTCGAGAATGCAGGTTTTTTGCTGTCTGTTGGACCATTTATATGTCCTGCTGTCTTGATGCGATTGGATATCAAAGCTGTACAACTAAGTTTATGACGTATATATACATATATAGATGACATACCAACCGTTTTAAAACATGATGAAATTGCTGTTAGTTTCACAACATAGATTAGATTCTTGCAGGGCTTCAGGTCAGTTGATATTGTGAACTGGTTTGTGAAAAAAAAAATACAAATGAAGCTGGAAAAAGACTGAAGGAGGGGTGTAATGTTTAGTATTGATGTTAGGTCCTGCCATTGTGAATACTCTGACTACATACACTGCAGCATTACATGGAATTTAAGCATCCAGCATGCAGTTTGTCTCATACAGTTGAGCACGTAAAACAGATAACATGAGAGTTTCACAGTGATACTGGTTGGACTTAGTTGAGTGATATAAGCTCAAGATTTTCTTTTTTTCCCCAGCTATTTATCTGTTTTATTTAGGCAAAGACTCGTATTGGAAATGGACTCTGGGCCAGTAAAGCTGATTTAGCCATCCTTACTGTTTGCATTTGGCAACCTGGCATGAGAACATTTTGATTTTTGTTCACCAGAGCAGCTGACAATTATGCTTTGTGGTAACAAGTAACGATGGCATTTACTGTAGATACAGAAAGAAATACTGTATGTGTTATAATGTGAGGCTGTTTGAATGGTGTCCCAGATGCAGAGAGGTGATAAGGCTAGATCTGTTTGCGTGTCGATCTTTTCAGGAAACTTTGAGGTGTGTTCCTCACTACAAGCTGTTGGATGGTAAAGTAGGTGGCTTTTGTTTTGAAATCCCCCACTTGACAGGTGAAGCCAGCCAAAGTTGATCTGACAGGGGCTGGTTTGTAGCAGTTGTTAATAAGTGCATTAGTCTTGGGTCTGATTTCCTCATAGTTAGCTAAACAACTTTGTTCAAGCAGCCTTGTCTGTGGTGGTTCATAATTTAACTTCTGTGCTGGTGGGTTGTGGGAGGGTTGTTAAGTACACCATGTGAACAGTTGATTGAAATCAATGCAGGGAACCCGAACATGAGTTCATCTTCAGAGATTAGAGGAGGGTATCATATCCTATTCAGAGATACCACAAATCGCCACAAGCTAACTCAGCTTCTTTGGATACCTCCACACATCCTCCTTTTTGAACACACTTGCCAAAATGATGACAGTTGTAAGTTTTAAAACTGATATTCAGAGTAGCTTCATGTGGCGCTTTTTGTCCGTTTTCAGCAACTACATCTACAGGACATTTAAGTTTAATGAGAGTATCTGATATAAAACCCTGTAAACCTTCCCTTCCTCTTTCCCCTCTGCCGTCTTCATGAAGTAAAACATTTGTGGCATTTGCCAGCAGCTCCATTTGACCTTCTGTTCTTTGTTTCGCTTCACCTCTCTGCTTTTTTGCTCATCCCTCTGTCTCACCAGTGGCTGAACCACAGAAGCAGGTGATAGTGACCCAGGAACATTTTACTTGGTTTACATTTGTCCTTTGTAAGCTACTCCCATTACAAATGACACAACCAGTAGTTCAGGTGGATGTTGAATTTAGCAAAGGGTCTGATCTAAACACCAGGGGTATGCCTCAACCACCACAGTCCACACTTAGTTGTAACCACAGTCTATGTCACGCTGTAAACTCAGAGCCACATCATTAATGTCAGAGTAATTATTTTGTCTTCATTTAGTTTTTCATTTTCTGTATGCGATACTATCAAGAGCGTGTTACATTTTGTGAATAGTATTTCGGAATATTAGTCACAGTAATTATGGGGAATAGACTTTTTTAATGGATGCAGTCATTATTCTGTGTTATATTATTTAGAGAGAGAGAGAGAGAGAGAGAGAGAGAGAGAGAGAGAGAGAGTGTGTTAGTAATGTTCATGTTGTCAGCCACTGCAGCAGTGATGTAATGGCTGAGACTCCCCCCACTCCTCAGGCTAGACTCTTTCATTTTCCTTTCTTCTCTCTCTCCACTCTTGACTACCCTTCCCAGTGCAACTCTCTTCATCTCTTTGTCTGTCTCCTTTATTATTCTCAAAGCAGTCGTTTTACTGTCTTTTGGTTTCCTTTGTTCTTTGAGGCACTCAAAGAAGTCAAGAGCAGCATAGGTACGACTGTGTTAAAAAGAACACCCCCACAGTACTGAAGGTAGCAACATGTTTGTGTGTGTGTTTATACGTGTGTGTGCGTGTGTGTGTTTAGATGCCACTTTAAAGCAATTTGTTTCTCAAACCTAAAGGAAATCCTAGTTTCTGTCCCTTTGCTAATAGACTGGACCTCAAAAGAGCTCAGTTTCTAATTGCTGATCAAATTTAACTAGTTTGTATCAAAACTGCAGTTCCTTGAGTGTCCACTTGAGGCCGCCTCCAAAAACTAAATTATCTTCACTAGGCCCTATATGAAAACACCCAAGAGCAGCATGCCACAGCAAAAGTATACTGTTCATGACAACTGGACAGGGGGAGGGGCAATTTTCTTTAAAACTCACCTGTTTTACTCAATCTAAGCATTTAAGCCACTGAAAGGGATTGAGTCTGGTGGTTTTGATGGTTCATAGGTCACGAAATTGACTTTTAAGGTCAAAGATTTTTTTTGCTTTTAAGGTAAGGAAAAAGATTGAGCCTTTTTGTGAGTTTTACAGTGCTCACTGGCTGTGTAAGATGTCTGGGTTAAATTTTTTTATCAGGCAAAACTGTGGTATGTTATTTTTGTACTAAGTAGCTGATAATCTCCTCTCATCCTATCTTGTGAGCTTATTAAAGTTTTTATAGATATGTATTTGTAGGCCAGAGCATAGGAGTCAGGATTGATTGTTGTCTTTTCACCAGAGAATTCAAAGCGAACAGCAGTGAGAAGTAACCTGTTATTTTCCGGTATAGGCATGCGTTGGTCACCTACCAATATTTCACAGGGAGTCGGTGGGCCATCGAGCAGCAATGCTGATTCGATCGTCAAGCTCTGATCAATAAACTGCTGTGGTCAGCAACCACCACAAATGTAGTAACGCCTCTTGGGAAACACATGGGTAAACTAGCTTATTTACACATTAATGAATTAGCAGCAGGTGTTGGCATTTTGACTGTAATGACCTCCTCAAACCATCACACAAAATGTGTGTTTTATCAATAGAAAAGAACAGAATAGAATTGAACAAAATTGAATAAAATAGAAAAGAATAATTCTTTATTGTCCACTGAGTTGGGAAATTGTCATTCGTTCACCAGCACAGGGGACAGACAGCGCTTAAGTACAGCTATTGTCATACACAAAGACATGTAATAGACACGATAAATACAGAGGTAAGATATGGTAAAAATAGAAATAAAAGTGGAGGTAAAATTAAGTTATTTAAATTAAGTTTTTATTTATTGTTAAATTAAAGTACAACATATAGGTGTTACTATATAAGGTAACTGTAGCTCCACAGCAAATTTGACAAATTTGAGGATTTGTACTTATAGTTAATTGGTGATGTCACAGTGACAACTTTAATGTTCATACGGACCAGGCAAAATCTGTGTATTCTGCTGTGCCTGTAAAATCCTAGTAAGCAGAGTGATGTGCTGTTGTGCTAAAGTCGAGATGTTCCTGCTGTGTAACCATAAAGACTGTGACTGGTTAAAACTTAAAGTAAAGTAAAGGAAAGTAAAAACTTGAAGAGATACTGTTTTCTAAACATCAACATGGGTAAATTTTAAAGTGTATAACTCTGGTGCCCATCAGCAATTCACAAACTGCATCTGTCTCGTGCCCTGACCCTCTCAGAAGAGAAGCCTGAAAGATGCTTTGATTTGTTGTATGTTGTTGTATACCTAACTTGAGAGCCACATGAAGTAGGCTGTATTGGCTGAGCGAGATCATGTTGGTTCGTTCTACTTCAATGGGGCAACATAAACTGTGATTCATAAAACAGCTCTATTGATAATAAATACTAAAAAAAAATATCTACTCATGCCATCTTGTCGATTTTTAGTAATCAGTGTTTCGGTGTCGAACTATTTCCTTTCTGCGGCGTAGTGATACTTGCACACGCGCAATCGAATATGCAGAGGGGTGAAGCGATTTTTGTCACATGGACCAATAGGAGCCAAGTCTCGTTGCCATAGTATCAGAAATACACAAACATGGCCACAAGTGCATCTAGCAGCGAGACTGCATAATTTTAAAAAGCCCTCAGCAAAAAAAAAAAAAAGTTGAAAACTGGATCATACTGAGAAGTGAAAGAAGAATGAGTCCTGCTCTTAGTTAAATTGACGTACACTTCTCATTTAATGTCTCATTATAATTCTGAACATGCATGCTTCATGGACACTTTCCCTCCTGGTATTGCACTTGTACTTCTGTGAGACTGGATCACAAACAATAGCTCAAATTACAATGATAATATATCTTTGAATAATGTGCTGTGAAATGCAGATTTTTGTAATAATGAATGGGAGAGTTGTAATGTCTCATTCTAGCATAGAAAAAGTTGAATGGAATAGATTCATAAAAAAGCTGATTACTACTTTGATACCCCAAAGTGGAGTTTCATCACCATGAAGAGACATAGCATCTCATACTGACAATACTCACAATCAGCTCGTGCCCAGCCTCAACAGGATGACAGCGCTTTGACGTGCTTGTCAGATACAAAGGATTCCAGCCAGACGCCATAAACCGAAGCAGAGACAAGTATTCTGAAATCACATTAATACCAATAATACCAACTGCTGTGAATGAAGCCGAAAAGGATTTTTAAATCACATAATATTACTGAAACCATTTGAAAGGACAATCTCTCTTCTCTTTTCATTCTTGTACTGCAAGATACCGCACATTAAACTCACTTGATAAATGGGCCCTCAATTCATTGTCGAAACCAAAGGAAAGCTAAAATCTGACTTTTGTAGTCTGGATGTCATCCTCTTGTAGTGATTGAAACTATAAGTTACATGCACTCACACATCCTTTAGTACAGGGACACACAACGAACATTTAGCAGATCCCAGCATCCAATAATCTGATGGAGAAGAGGTAATTGAGGTAGAGGATGATAAATGAGGAGGATATAAGGAAAGAATAATCGTTGTGCAGGCCTAACCTCTGGGAAGTTTATGTTGGATAGCAGAGATTTTTTAAGTCAGTGTATCAATCTTGTTTCCTGATGGCTGAGGAAGAACGTTACTGAAGTGGAGATTCCCCATATTGAGTAATGACTTTTGTGTAGTCTGGTTTTATTGCTCTGAGTTGATCTAAGTCTCTGGGCTCTATTTTCGTGCCTGCCGGCAGCACGGCGGAGGGTGGCGGACCCGCAGTGCTATTTTCGTCTGGCGGAGTCCGGCGTAAAGCCAGTTCGGTATTTTCGTAGACTGAGGCTCACCGAGGTCCGCCAAGCTGGGCATGGTGGTGCGGCAGGGGGAGGTGTCAACAGAATCAGCTGGCGCAGTGACATTTTTGTGCCCGCCGGGGGTGTAGAAAGTGCGCTGAAAGCTCGCCGATTCAAACCTGGTCAGCTTTCAGCACAGGTGGAGCGCAGCTGGTCTAGTGGTATTTTGGTAGACCGGGGCCGTAGTGTGCATATGTCACTGATGTCTCACCGGCAGGTTTCCACAGTGTTAGGCACATCTCAGTGTAATAAATAATCAACAACAACTAATAATCTGAGTCAGCACATACATTTAGATCTATAGATATATTCTGATCTATATCTGATCTGATGAGTGTGTTTGGCACGCATTTGGACACACAACCTGACCGAATCAACACAGCTGAAACCGCATTAAATTAAATTAAATATCTAGTAAATAGACACGCATGATGAAGTTAACAAGATATGTAATTCGTCTCCCTCCTTTTCTTTCTTCCTCTTCCTCTTATTTCTCGCGCAGCTCGACCTGGACATGTGTCCGTGACCTCTCCCCGTCCTGCTGCAGCTGCAGCTGCAGCTGCTGCTGCTGCGGCAGCTGAAAACAAGATTTATTTCAGTGATCAGATGAGTTATTTACTTTAGGCCTACACACGAATATTATAATATTCAGTTTTTTGAGCGAAATTTATTTTATATGCCAACATCTATGAAAGAAAGAGCCAGGCCACGGAGCGTGATGCGTCATTTACGGTTCCGATTTTAATGCCATTATTGGAATTTATGTTGTGATCTTTGTGCACAACCCACCTTTGTCACGTGAGGTTTAAGTGCAACTTTATGTGAGTGTCTTTATTTGTGGAAAAGGATGTTTGTCTTACCAGTTGGTCCAACATTACACACACCAAATCCATCTGTGCTTATATAAGACAATGTGCAGGACGCCCTCTGCAGCGCTTACAGTGACACTTGTTGAGGGGCTGCCTTCTGTCGCCATTGTGCTTGGGCACGCCTTTTCAGCGCGGCAGACCTGACTTACGCTGCACCTACGCCACGCAGCTGGCGAGGCACAAAAATAGAGCCCTCTGTCTCCCTTCTTATCAACATGTCTTTTACTTTCTATAAAAAACAAATATTCCTTGATCTCACTTCAGGAGAGAGTGACTCTGCATTTTTCCTTCTCTCTCAAAACTGCCTGAACTTGCTATAAAGTTGATTCTGCTGTTATTATTTGAAGGATTTTATTGCAGCCTCAAAGGGAAATTCCTCCACTCTCAGCGCACACCCTCATTAAAAATTAATGCTTTATATAACTATATGATGCCGAATCACACCTTCAAGGAAGCGGTCTTACAAGGTTGCTGAAAATGTCTCAACTTTAAACTTTCTTTTTGCATAAATGCCTCAAGTATTCAGCAGATATTTTTAACTCCTCACACTGTTCCAGTCAAGTAGCAAATGACGCAGTTTTACTTTGAAATACAGGATGATTGTTCCATTAAAGCACACAGACATACATTCATCACCCCTTGCTGAAAGTATTAAATATGAGCTGGCAAGTGGCTGCTGGATGTGCAGAACAAAGCAATTTCTTTGTGTTTCTGTGTGTGTGCACTTAACTGGTGTAGTGTGATCTTTGTGTACACATGTGGAGGTATGGGGCTGCGTGAGATACGAGCAAGAAAAACCTCCACACTTCAGGAACTGAAGGGTAGCTTATAAGGATTTCTCCAGTTTTTTTTTACATCTAAGTCCTTCTTGTGTGTTCTTGTACATTCCTGAATAACACTGCATTTGAAAGCAGGTGGATATGCAAATGACACCAGACATAAAATAGATAAGTAAAGCAGTGTTCAAAGGCTCCATAGTAGAAATATGAAACTATACAAAATAGGGGTGTGCAGATTGTGGTGTGCTGGTTCACTGCATATTGGATCAATGGCTTTTTAAAACTGTGACTGATATTTTGCAGTTATTTCTGTGTACTGTGTTAAGTGCCTTCAATCTTTGGATTTGGATGTTGAGCTTCCAGGGTGAGGTCAGCTCAGGCAGTTTTAGTTAGCTTACAGGTGATCAGTAGCACAGTTTTACACCTCCACCTCAGAAATAAAAGCCGAATATGAAGGACAGAAGAAACACAAATCATTGACTGCATGATTCTGACTGATCCTGTTAGCATGTCTGAGGATTTCAACTTAAAGTAACAGCATGGTGTGATTGTAGTCAAGTGGCAGAACATTTGGCCTCTCCAGTGAGCTGCAGGATGCAGAGAGATTGGATAAAGTCACTTGATTAATCATGTAAGAGCCAGGTGCGCCTGCATTTATACACATGGCACAGCAGTTAACTTTATTAAGTATATCAAACTTGGGCACAGTGGCAGTATTGGACAGGATTGAATATGAAGTGACATCCTGTGTGCTTTGTATCAAAGAAAAGGTCCAAAACGTGTTTTTCATGCACATTTGATATTGTATAGTATCTGTGGAAAAACGCAAAGGATCCAATTACTGTATGGAGCAGAGGTTGTCTTAAGTTGTTGTCGTTGTTGTTGTTGTTGTTCTTCTTCTTCTTCTTCTTCTTCTTCTTCTTCTTCTTCTTCCTCTATGTCTATAATTGCATTTTCTGAATCTTAATATCTTCTGCTTCAGTTCGGTCATGTGCATCTATGGAAACATAATTTTCTTGTGTTTTCCAGGGAAGTAAACCAGTTTAATAGTACTATGAGATTTCAAACTTGAAAAAAACACAACAAAAATAATCATGAAGTGCAAGACAGGATTAAGTATAATTAAGACAGGTTTCCAGAAAAGAGCGTAACTTTCTCTTTCAGATTGTCGCTGAGTGCTTGGCTGTTGTATAACAGGATGACTTTCTACCTGTTGCTGTTGGATAAGAAATTAAAGAAGTTTTTTTTTTTTTTTTTTTTTCCCTCAACAACAGTCAAAAATGACTGGGTGAGTCACTCTAGTAAAGGTTATATAATTACCAAAACTTTTGTTACTTGTTGTACAACTATGAACAAAGTTTGCAGGACTTTACTGAGGGTCACAGCAAATGGAAACACACTTATTTCTGTATTTAACAAGAGACGGTCTGTTCTCAAAGCTTTACTTTGTGTAACAGTCTGTCAAGAGTTTTATTGCTGCCACATCAAAATTACTGATGGCTTTTAACTCCACCAGATTGTGAGCATTAAACTCTTGTGTTTGGGAATGGGTGTGTTTTTATGTTTCAATAAGTCATGGAACTCAAGTTCAAGTTGAATGAAGTTTAGCTTCAGGATGCCTGGAGCTACTGCTAATGGCTAACAGCCAGGCTAGCAGAGCTTGATTGCAAACATGTCCATGTTATCTGAGCCAAATACTGGGCAGTCAGCTAATTTTACTGCTAGCTGTGTGGCTAACTGGGGTCTGTGGCTAGAAGAAGCTGCACTCATCACCTCAATGAAGCTTTTGCTGGGCTAGATCTGTTTATCATGGTGTGTCACTTAGTAAAAATTCAGTTCCCCAGTGAAAGGAAGAGAGTTGAGGCCTTGTTTCCATCCCTACTGTGTCTTCTTTATCCCTGGAGTAAATTTCCTGGCTGCAGTATCAATGATCCAATATGTATTTTTTTTCTTTTAGTCATTTGTTTCCTGAGCTAACGTTAACACTTCTCCCAACTAACTTGAAGATAATCCAGAAACTTTATCATGACTCACTGTTATTCCTGTAGGCCCCAGGCCAAACACCAGCATATCCTTGTACTCCGAGCCTGATATCAGGTAGCCAATAGCACCATTAGCAGCGGGGCTAACCTAGATCCATAGACAACCAAAGCTACACCTAGCTGCAATAGAGTCAGTTTCTGTCATAGTCATAAACCCTTTCTCTGTTAGGTTGATCAGATCTTTACCTACATATGCATATAGTTGTTATTTGTCATAGTAAACATGGGAACACTATCATTTGACACACTATGCACAAATTATGTTTATTGGTAAATAAATTCAGTGTCTGGTCAATACTAAATCTGTGTCACCCAGAACCTGGAGCACTTTAATTCTAATTTACTGCTTCCATCTTGTTTGCAGCTGCTTTCTACTTTTGTGAATTTTTGCTTTGTATTGTTCGCAGTGCATTTTAACCATTGCGAGTTTTGGTCTGTTACATGTGTCTTAAGTTGTGTCACTTATGCATTTGCTGCTTTTCTTCCAAGGAAGATCAGGCTGATGCAGATTGTTTGCAGATTGTCAGCTGCCGTACTTATCACCCCCCTGGTCTAAAGTTAAGTTATTGTAAAAATGTCTGCATGGTCTGACTGTAGCCCATTAGCCTACCAGCATTATGAACTCTTATGTCTTGTCTCTCTCACATCCCTCTGCCTGAGTGAATATTTATGGCTATGAGAGTTTTTTTTCTTTTGTTTATGATCATTGAATTCTACAACATTACTTGTGCAGCATGCTAACATGCTGTAACCAAGACATGAGGGCGCTCAGTATTAGTTTTTATCAATGTTTAGACGAACTGTATTACACTCAAATGGTGCTGGAAAGAAATGGAGACATGCGGAGTGAATACAACAGACAAATTAATAAACTGTTTTGGTGCGATGCTGTAATTGTAGTACAGAGGGAAAATATGCAAAGTGCTGCCCATGGTAAACTGCTCCTCCTGAAAACACCTGTCTGTGCTGCGTAGGGTCTGAGGCAGTGACCACTGACTGACCTTTTTATACAGGAAAAGTCACGCAGATGTTTTAAACTCCTCGACCTTGAGTCTAATTTTTAAGTTCGATATTTACCTCAAAGTTGTAAGATCTACTTTATCTAAATGAACAATGTTATTTCTTGGTTTGCTTGGAATAAGGAGCATTGATCAGTTTTCTGGTTGACCTTGTAGAAGCAAGATTTCTCTTCAAGGTGACCTTAGCTCTAGTGAAAAAGGAAACACTGGCAGTGTAAACACATAGCTCAGCAAACACAGTATTAGCATCTTGAACAAATGGGTGAGTGTGTCAGTGACTTGCCACTGCTCCAGAGTGTCACTTGAGCTGTGTCTAGTTTCTGTCTGCCATCTGCCACACAGCTCCTACCAAAAGTTCTTCTTATTTTATTTCCCTCTCTTTAAATTGTGAGTCATTTCCCTTCAAGGGATTTCATTTGCATTTTTATTAGAAACTCTTGACCAAATATAATTGAAGTTAGATTTGTTGATCATGTAGGGCAGTAAGGTTTATCTCACAAAAAGCTTTAACAGCATGTTGTCATACAGATAAGTGGCAATATTTGGCCCAACAGTTTTCATTTGGTGTTTATCGAGACTCTTTTTAAAGCCAAAAATGTTCATTGCTGTAAAAGAATGTACCATCTTTCAACTTTTTTCTTCTGTGAGATAGGGGTGTGCTAGAAAACAGTGTATTCAGCAAACTATGACCATCTGCTCCCTGCCAAATGCACATGTTGTAGATACAGCTGCAACTGCAGTGACGACCCTTTTGAAAAGAAGTGTATGAGAAATTGTGTTCTTTAAAAAAAAAATGGATTTATTGGATGTGTTAAATTTAAATATTTTTTCTAGGGGTTGAACAATTTTGAATTTGGAAATTTAAAAATATGACAGAGCAAGCCAGCAATACACTTTGATATACGTAGACCACAATATCAAAATCACCACAATATCTTTTGCGTTGAACTTGCTACTTTTCTGACATGTTTGTTGGTTCAGACTGAATAAAAGCTTAACAAAAACAAATTGGCAGTTCAGTGTGGTTATCAGGCCATGAACCCTCTTTTGTAAGACCCTTCTGTGCAAGCTTTTTGCTCACCTCCCTCCCCCAGAACCCCTACTTACTCTCTTATTCAGAGGGATTACAGGACTGTTTTTGTTATTGTTGTTGTGTTGTAAATGAAAGACTCATATAGCTGCTGACTCTCCACTTGAACTCTTTTCTTATAAAGATGGGATGAAAAAGTGGCAAATTCAATAGCAATTCAATGTGCAATTCAATATCTGATTAGTCATTTGATGTAGCAATGGATACGTGTAAAAGAAAGGTCCTTACATATAGCCTTCATATGTAGCCTGCATAAAGCCAGTTAATAAGCCTGTTAATAAGTCGTTTCTTATAACAATCAGGGGTTTGATTAATCTGAAGCTGTTTGTGGCTCAGCCTTGTACATTTGTGCTAATATGCAAGAAAAACTGTTGCTTTTGTTCTGATGTGTGTAGTTTCATATGTTTCAGAGCATATTGTATGTTCCCACAGTGAAATCATTGATCCCTGTCCTGTGTATTTCTAACTGTCCTTATAAATAAGGCTTCACACTGAGTCTAAACCTTGAGTCCAACAATTAGCCTGATTGCTTTGAAACAGATGCATCAGTTGTGATGAAATAACTTTAAGATCACTTTTAGGGCTAAAGATAATTATTTATTCAGAAACGCGTTGCTCCCTTACACTTTGCTGAAGGACAGTGATGTGACACTCTAGACTCCCGAGGAAAAACCTGTAAACTGTAAACATTTGCATCTTCTGAGTTTTTCAAACTCACTTACTGTTAAATAGCCTGAATTTAATTTAGTTGAAAGCTCCTACTCTGTATTTGATAGGTACGGCTTTAATTGTCTCACATATTGGCAAGAGAGGCAACACTTTCATCTATTCTCACATAATTTGGAGTGAAGACTAATGTTTTGATCTACTTGCAGCCACCAGCTGGGTATGAGGCAGTTCATGGCTTGATACTGATATGTGCAGCTTTGACCTTTACATCAGAAGTAAAGTAGCAGTTTCTATTAAAGAGAGATAAGAAAAACAGTTTAGTATTGAAGTAAGTCTGTTGTTAATTCATTATGCTGTCTGAAAATATCAATATTAGTGTGTCTGTAAAGCTTTATGTTCAATGCTTTTTATTTTACTGGTGTTGTTTTTTTAAATTAAAGATTTCTGCTTATTGAGCTAAGGGCTGTTTTTCCTCCTTTTTTCTGTCTACCAGCTGAGAATAAAATCAATGTCTGCATGGATACTGTGGAAAATTTGGATTGATTTAAAGATCCAAACAATAATTGATTTGATTATCATTATTTCCAGGTCTGGTAAAAGGGCTGTCCTGTCTGGCTTTGATTTATCATCTGACAACTGTTACTTCCACTCTGTGAGATCTCGAAGAGGAGAGAGTTTTCTATCCAGCTTGACTCATCATCTTGTCCCTGACCACTGACCCAGGTAAGGCCACATCTGATTCTGATCTTGGAGGCCAGGTCTCCAATCAAGTATGAGTTACAGGTAACACATGTAAGTCTTAAAGGAAAACAAAAGCTCTTTTTCACAGAACTTGGTGATGCTTGCTTGAGTTATCTTGCAAAAACAACTGAGCAAAGTTATCTATTATTTGACAAACAGACAATAGACAGATGAACTGTTGGCATTCCCACTAATGCTTTTAATAAGTTTTCCATTTTTTTATATTCTTAGGAAACAATCTAGTTTACTGCAAGACTCATCTAGGGTTATCTAACTAGAGGGCCAAAATTTCATGGGGACAATTTTAAACACAGACTCGAACACATAAACTGTGTTCTCTTATGAGCGACATCATAAAACATAGCTAGCCACATGTTGATAAAAAATGGGTATTATTTGGTATCATTGGAGGCTTGACATACAGTATTTGAATAAATGGAGCCAAAACCAAACTCCAAACGATCAAAAGCCTGTTCAGACCTGTATTGGTTTCTGGTGAACATCTGAAATGTGCTGAATACCTGTCAGAAAGAGAAAAAGAAACATTAAAAACTGAGAGGGTGAGAGACACAGAAAGAATGCTTGCTACCTCCGCAGATGAAATGGCTGTGTGGGTGGATGTACATGTGAGTGCAGGCTGCTAGAAGCTGTGAGTGGGAAGTGGGTACTGAGTGGGAAGAGAAGAGCTGCTTTAGTGAGATGATCAGCACCAAGGCCTGCTGAAAGGCAGTCACGCTTTCATGGCTTCCCTTTGTTTCCTGCACTTGCACAAAAACAGAGTTTCATGAAGTGAGGTTGCCGATGGATGGTGGATAAGTGTTTTTTTTTTGAGCCTGCTGTTTTTCTGCGTTCTTTATGTGAAGCGGTCAGTCGGTGGCTGGTTTCCTGTTACTTTTATGCAAAATCGTGACGTATCCAGTTACAAGACTAGACTGAATAGACTGGAAATAGCACATACTTGTAAATGCATAGTTTAAGTGTTTTTGTTGACTTATTTATCTGTTTGTTTTTTTAAGAAAGACCAACCAGATTTGTAACTTGTAATATTTATTCTTGTCATTTTATAAAACTGATATTTATGTATGTACGCGTTAAACAGGTTTAATAGCACCTTATACTGCAATGAAACACTTATACAGACTTTCACTAGCTTTACCTGCTGTCTAAACCAGCGACTGGTCCAAGTCGAGCCTGAGCCAGACAAATTTTACTGACAGAAGCTTTACCTCCCAATGGAGCTTTGTAGGCCTGCATTCTCTGAGTGCAGTGCTTTGGAGGGCTAATACGGTACAAGTAGCAAACAATAGACTACAATAGACCACGCAAACTAAAATAATAATGAATAAACCTAAGTATTTATCACACACACTTGCCCAGTAGTCTTGCCCTTATCCGTAATATTAAAATCGGCACATAAATCCTGGCTACTCTGCACATCTGCCTTCATGGACACTGTGAAGCTGTGAATTTATTTTCAAGTTAAATAAAAAAATGAGAGCAAATTAAATAGAAGCAAACATAAGCAGAAGAATGATACATCTGGAAATTCATGTTTAAAGCTTGCAGGAAAGTCTTTTTTCTCTGTCACGAACTTGATGAAATGCTATGTGCTAGCTATTTTGTCATGAGGTCGTGTCATGTGGAATTAGTCTAGCAGCAAATGAACATAAAATCTTGTCCAGTAAGCATACAGATGGGCAGATTTTTGTGAAGTCTTCTGTCCTTTATTTCTAGCCCACGACTTGAGGTAACTTAGCTAGAGGCTGAAAATCACCTTCTCATTCATGCTGTGAATCTACCAAGACCACCTAACTAAAAGTCTTAGAACATGCTTTTGCCTTTTTTCACCTCATGTCCCACTCTGGTCGTTTGTTTTTTACTATTTAAAGTGTTCTCAGTGGTCTTTAAATTGTGATTATGAATTTTTTAGCCAAAGTCATGTGACCTGTGTCATTCTCAAGGGCTTTTCTTCTGAAGAGCTCCAGTCGCTTATTAGCAATTTGCCTCTGAGTCGTGGGCAGAGACAGCGCTGCTCTGCACACTTCTCTTCGCATTAGCTTGCAGCCTAACATTGCAGATGCAGTAGAAGTGGCAGGTAACATAGGAGCTATTCAGCTCTCGGATACTAATGTCTTAAGGGGCATGATGAAAGCTGACATCATAATTAGCTTTCTTATGAGCATTGCAATCCGCTAACGCACACGCTTCCCCCGCGATTGTCTCTGTCTATTTCTCTGAGTCTGGCCTGCATAGCGGGGCTCGGGGGGTGGAGCTTGGATTTGTGACGTAGTAAAATTTCTGCCAAAGATTCACAGCGATTTAAATGCAGAAATACTCAGAAATGCAACTTCGCACTTACTTTTCTCATGATATTTCCTGTAGCATCAGAAAAAATGCCATATGAACGTATAAAAAACAAGAAAAACATAATATCATTGGATAGAGTCTTTAAGAACTTCAAGAGTAATTTGACTTTTAGGTGGGCTGTTTCAATGTCACATTATAAAAACTTCAACCAGCTCTTGGAGGTAGTCAACTAAATACACGTCAATATGACAAAGCCTTAGTTGCTCTTGAGTTGCAGTGGCTGTTGCTTGGATTGTGTCTGCAAGCACTGGTCATGGACTGATTAGGAAATCTCACAAAAAGTGGTTGAAGAACTTTCAGTTGATCGTTTTTAATAAAATTACTTTAAGTTTAAAATTTCCTTTTGATTTTAAAATTGCATGTAGAAGTTCAAATGCCACAAAAAGTGGTGTGTCGAAGAAGACAGAGGTTCTGTTTCCAGCATTACAATCGTGAATGTTACATATTTATCTGCTCAAAAGTGGTGATCGGAAAAAATCAAGAGACAAATTTCACAAAAGTGGTTTTTCTAAGTTCAACTGTAACAACTATTTTTAAAATTCTTATAAGAAAGAAGTGTGCCGGGAAGCAATTAAGTGGCAAATGCCCCAAAGTGCCGTGTTTAACTGGATAGTTTTTGCTGCAAAGTGAGGAAATTTATATGGGCACAGTGATTAATCTAAATAAATTTTTGATAGATGCATGAATGATAAATATACCATATAGTATATCAACAAGTTATATATGGTTGTATTCATTACAATACCTTGTTTTACTGGCGATCTGTCCAGACTATGGTAATGAGTGGCTGTTGTTTAGGGGCGGCACAATGGTATCACTTTGACCTTACAGCAAGAAGATCATGAATGCATGTTGGGTCTTCTGCCAGTATTCCCACTGTCACCGCAGTCCAAAGACATGCTTGTTAGGTTAATTGGTGACTCTTGGTTGCCTGTGTGTGAAGTGAGGGTGAGTCAAGGATGTACCCCGGCCCTGACAGCTGGGATTGGCATAAGCCTTAAGCACCCCATGGATTAATGGTGGGATTTATAGATGGAATGAGTGTTCTGTTCAGGCAACAAGGAGGGATACTAAGATAAGCTAACTGGCCCCTGCCTCAAGCTTCGGGTTACTGAAGCCTCTGTAAAATCTGTGTCTCATAGTTTAGAGAAAATAGGATTGTTGCAGATATCTCAAATCACTCTATTGGGAAACATTTCTTATCAAATATATATGTCTGTCCATACATCAGCTAACATGAAACCTTAAGACATGTCCCACACATTCACATCCACACGCACCCACACCCACACACTCCTACTCTAATTTAATGTTATTATAAAGAATTATATCTTGTATTCTAGAGCTCCTCTTCTGCTCTCTGGCTCCTGCAGTGAGACGGCCCTGAGAGGAGAGCCCTGCAATGCAGCATCTGTGTGACTCACACATGCACACACACACACACACACACACACACACACACACACACACACACACACACACACACACACACACACACACACACACACACACACACACAATGAGACAGTGGCGTGTGAAAGTGCTCAGATCGTAGGAGGGAGATGAGGAGAGAGAGCAAGAATAGAGTGAGGGGAAAGATGAAGCCTGATGAGAGGTGGAGGTGGAGGAGGAGGAGGAGTGAGTAGGAGGAGGAACAGTGATGTGAGGAGGTGGAGGAGGAGTGAGTGGGAGGAGAAATAATGATGGGAAGAGGTTTAGGAACATGTAGGAGTAAGATTTATAGGTGAAAGAATGTGAAGAAGTCAGACAAAAGAAGAGGAGAAGCAGCAGATGAGAGTCAGGGACCACATAATTGACGACTTAATTAGCTCGTTCATTACCTTGTCTTGGCAGAATTTTTATATGATGTGTTCAAAGATGGATTATCAGTCCTGTTGATCTCTTTAAGCTGGACACATTGTGATAGCACCTCGACTCACAAGGGGAATATTATTTAAGAGGATCCAGAATATTCTTACTCCATCAGCAGCTGACAATCGATTGCTGTATGACGTCCCTGTTAGATTTTGCATACTAATTGCTATTTGTGCCATGAGGAGATGTTCGGTTGGAGCAGCCTGTAATTAGCCTTCAATTCACTGATGTATGCAAGCTTGATAATTTGTTGAGCTAAGATAATTTATATTTCCTCATAAAACCCTCAACAATGCAAAACAGAATTCAGCTATAATGCTCCAGCACCACTATCAGTTAATACAGTGATTCTTTGGTGGATTGTGACTATGACAGAAACTAACCAAACACTTCAAGAATCCTTCAGTCTGCTCACACAGATATGGACATAGCACAGTCACTCTGACAATCATTAGCTGCTATGACAAACTTAAAGCAACTTTCACCGTGACTTCAAAACCAAACTTTTCAGGTAAAAGGTCAGTTTTGCCTTTTTTCTCGTTTCCACCTCACTAAGCGCTGATCTTTGACTGCTGGCTGCTTGGAGCCTTGGTCAGGAATAGAAACTTTTAGCCTCTGGAAAAGCATGAATTTCTACTTAACCAGGCCCTTTTTGCAATGTGAAAAGTGGCGAATGCATTTAAGTACCAAATTAAAATTTTAAGTTACTCCTAATGGACTGTGTTTCTGTATCAGTCACTCAGACCACCTGCTATTTTAAGGCTGTAGAAAGGCCAGTTTGATGCTAGTCCTTTGTGTGTGAGTTCTGTTTTGACTGTTCATAGCAGCAGCAGCAGCTGACTCAGACTGTCTGGAGGGCAGGGGCAAAAGGTAAACATAAGACTGGTAACCAACACAGCAGTCATGATGCATTTATGTTTGAACTGTTTAAAATATGTAAAGATTGCAATTTCATATAGGCTAGATCACACTTACAGTCATCAGTTTTATAGCACCACAGTTCTCTTTTATGAGGGCACCTGTTAATGCAGAGGATCACATTTTTACCACTGAAGCTTTTCAAGGGATATTCCTGCGTAAATTTAAGTTATGGTCAACACTGTAGTTCCTTTAGCAAAGAGCCAAAATACAAGTTTTGCAGCCCAAGGAAGAAAATTTGTGATTATTACTTCATGGAAATGCAATCAGACCGAGACGCTAAGGAAGTACTACCACGACCGCAGTGCAAAATGATTATTACTTCATGGAAATGATCCGCTGCACTCGACTCGTCAGGGCTCCCCCACAAACAAGCTGCTGCTGGAGGAGAGTGGGTGAGTTGTGTTTGGTGTCTTTGCTAAAGAAATCAGGCAAAGCTAAAAAGATGTTTGATGGCTAGTACTATGGCTGGGACTCGATATGTACTGTTGATGAAGTTAGGTGCTGTTCTGAGCATTACTTGTGGCTATAGAGTGGCCTTTTGGTTGAGGTTTGCACGTGGGGATGTAGACCGCTGTGTATTGCTATCGTGCGGTTGTTGCTGAAGTTGGTATAGCTAGAGAAGCACGCAGTTGGCAAAATTCATCTCTTCGGGGGGTGTCTAACTTGGTGTTATGGTGTGTTTGACCATAACTCAAATTTACGCCGGAATATTCCTTGTTTATTCAATCACACATTTGTGCATTTATGCATGCACACTGGGCCGCCACACTGTCCAGTTCTTCTATCTTTGTGTCCTTGTTTCTATTTCTTTGATGAAATGACTGAACATCAGTTATTTTTGTTGTGCTTTACTTGGAAAAAATGGCGGAGAGGTGCTTCTCTTGGTAACCACTATCAAAGTGCTGAAAGGTTAGGCTCAACCGTCCTCTTACTAGATCTCTGAGTTTTCTACTCTCTGGGCAGCTCTCTCTCAGGGCTGCCCAGCGCTGTGCTCATCTGCTCACTACAGATCTCCATCTGTCTCTGGCACAGAGAGAAAACTTAGCAGCATCCACCATCCCTCTGGCAAAAGGCCACAGGCTTTTTGCCAAGTGCAACAGACCTGCTGTCCGCTGAGACGACTGACGTCAAACTCTATCATATCACCTTCTAATACAGTCTTAAGTCCCTCTGCATATAATGCTCTGGGGGCAGTATATTATCTGGACAATATACTGAAGATAGTCTTGTATCCTTTGATCGATAATGTTCTGCTTTTGACTTTCTCTGTCATTTTCTCTCTAAAATAATCTTGACATCTCTCTTTTCAGTCTCCTCTGCTCTATTTTATCAACCCTCTGCACTCCTATGAAATTCATACTTGTCTTCTTGTCATTCCTAATTTTATGTTCAATCTGTATCATTTTATAAATGCATACCATATAGCATGTTTATTAGCCTGAATGGGACCTTTCACTGCATTGCAGCCCACAGGAGGTCTTTTTCTGCCTAGTGCTGCCCTGAATCTCGAGGTGATGTGTGTGACATTTTTTAATGATTTGTAAAAAGAATTTTTGTCTTCTTTTAAGCTTAAACCCAGCAGGTGGTGCTATTTAATCCAAACATGCAGTACACCTTTCCTTGAAAAAACTGACAGGCCTCCAGGAAGCCTGGCCACACTTCCCCTTCTCATGAATTACCAGTGACAACCTGATTCTAAGTCTGGAAATCAGCCACAAAGCTCAATGTGACCTTCGCCATCAGACTTAGGACATGAAGACAGTCTCATCTCCGTGTTTTATGACTTTTAATATTGAGAGTGCTCTTGAACGGAGGCTCCATCAGGGACTCAGTGGGCAGACAAGCTCTGGGTGAAGGAAAATATACAGCTCTGTCTTTTGGACAGAGACAGGGTGAGTATTTTATGGGGATACTGCACTGCTTTGTTTGCCGCGGAGTCTCTGAAGAGGCTTCATTCACAATGATGTTCCCCTCAGAGCTGAGTCATGCTAAGCTCCATTGACTCCTGACTCTGATCCCTTTAGGTTTCAAGGGCTAACAGCCGTCATATTCTTCTCACTTCTATTCTACACTTTAAGGCTGTTATATACAATTCTTCTCCTGTCACTAACTTTTGGTACTCTGTTACTGTGATGTTCAGTTTTGTGTGTGAATTCAGTTGTCTTTTGTGAGTTTGAGTATAATCAATTTTAACAAAATAGGTGAAAAAAATTCTAAAATACCATGTGTTTTAAGCGCAGATATTGCCCATGCCTGGTTAAAGTTTGTTTTAGCTTGTGTGACTGATGAATTTTAACAACCTTGTGTTTTTTCCCAGTGCTTCTTTACTGCTGGTATATAGTCATTATCTGTTTCATACAGCAGGTATTGTTTGAAAACTCTCCGAAAATGGTTGACATTTTTATCAGCATTGGCTGTACTTGGTCTGTAGAGTTAATTAACAATAATGACACCCTACAGTTTGCAACAAGATGATAAATATGGTAAACTTTATTATCGTAGCATTGAGTCTGTGAGCGTCTTAGCTTGCGTACAGTGTAATTGAGCTCAGGTCAATGTATCCATTGCTTGCAGGTATCTGCGTCTCTGATCACATGCTCACTACTTTTCATTAAAATTTGATAACAGCAAGGTAACACGGTGTAACATCAGACTCTGGATCATCAAGGCTTGTTGTCTTGTTATTATCTGACATCTGTTCTTAATGCGTGTGCTTTTCTGTGCTTTAATAAGTAGATAGAGTAGATAAATGGGAGCGGAGAATCAAACCCTGGCTGTTCACGTCCAGAACTACACCCTCTGCACGAAAAATGAATGAAATGTTTTCATACTTTGTTGTGTTCTGTCCTCTGTGTTGTGTACCCAAAGTTGTGCAGAGACAGTGAGCAGTGTTTTTAACGTGGTGGCTGCAGTGACTAGTGCTCACTGTAGCAGTATCATAGTCCCAGGCTTGAGTTATTGACTCCTATTTTCTCCAGCAGACTTCCTTTCAGTGTCTGGGTCTCTGTGGACTGCAGAGCTAAATGACAAATTGCTTCTTCACACATCCCGTTATGCACAACTACACAGGCTGCTTCAGCAAATGCTTGAAGTACAGCCGGCCTCAACCTCATGCAAAAACAAAAAACAAAACATTAAATCCTCTTGGAAGCATTTTGTCTTTGTCGCCACTCTTCTACAAAAGCTGCATGATCTTGAGGGCTGACTAGGTTACTGTTATTGTAAGACTTGGACTGCCGTAGATAGGAGCCGATGCAGATGTCATTGTCATTAGTATTAAGGAAATCACAACAACCTAGAATGGAAAAACAGAGAAATTTCATTGAAAATTGTCAATGAATTTATCAGACTAACCAACAAAACAGAAAAAGGCCTTTTTGCAGACTGCAGAAACATGACCTGAGAGTATCAATTTCCCTCTAAATCCAGCTCATTTTTCTGCCTCCTCCAGCTTCTTTTCAAAATGGTCCCAGAGATCATTGAATCTTACTGCTCAGTGATCAATATTTCCCTCTGCCTGGTTTTCTCTATGTATTGTGCTAATGAATCTTTCACCTTCTGCATGGGATTTCATTCAGCACATAATACAAAGCCTATGGGTTTAAGGTTATGGTCAACAATGGAAAAAGCTGTTTAAAACAGATTTTAAAGTAGTCTTTTCACACTTTTTGCTGTGATCTTATCTGACGAAACAAGCCCAAACAAGACTACACTGACGGCTTGTCAGCTTCAATTTGTACAAAGTCGCCAGATTTTTTGCCAAATCTAGCAGAGCCTTCCTTGCAGCCACACCACCCCGCATGAGTCATACAAATCCATGTCGTGCTGTGTTCATTTCCAGCTATTGTGGTTTCCACCTGGGCCACAGGCTTTATGACTCCAAACACACACACCCACACACACACACACAGAAACACACAAATCGATAAGAGTTTAATCCAGTAGCTGTCACCTGCGCACCAATGTCCAGGGACAGAATTTTACACAACCCTACTACACACAAATTCACACAGGACACAGATGCACTTTTAGGATTGTTGACAGTGAAGCTCAGCAAAGCCGCAGGGATTACGACTGACAGAAACAGATTTGTGAATGTGACTGATGCAGCGTGTCCCACAGCCTACAGCTCATTCTTCTCTATGGATCATTGCTAACATTGCAGTAAATAACACTGACATGTTAAGTTTTGACCAGGCCTTGCCTCTTCTCCTCTCTCCATCAAACCCTTTCCCATTTTCAGCCAGACAGAGAGACCCCATCCTTGGCCCACCCTCCCCTGCTGCTAGCTAGCACCAGCATGGCAGACAGTCGGCAGCCCGAAGATGGTGCCCCCCAATGGGATCCATCAGGGGGGCAGGAGCCCACTGGAGCCAATGGCTTCTCTACCTCCACCTTTAGGACTTGTCAGCAGCCTGGAGCAACCCACACACCTTACCCCACCAGGGAGAATGGCTTCAATGGTGAGCTAACTGGTGCTCATGCTGTCACTGCAGGTGAGATATATTTTTTTTCAAAATTTTCTTGTTTCACTTTGTTCTGCTCTAAATTTCTCTTTTTTTATTGCATTGTTGTTGTCTATGTGAGGGACCAGTGAAATCTTATGAAATCCAATTTTGATTCAGGGACAAACAAAAAATTCAAACCTACATTCCTAACAAAAAAAAAAAAAAACAAAGAACAAAAAACAAACAAACTGTTAGAGCATATCAGGTTTTATTTGAAGGCATTTCGCAAAGCTTAACCTGGAAGTCTTTGCCTAAAGGGCACCCATTTAAATGTCTTAACTGATCTTCACTTCAGCAGATATTCTTGACATTAGCACAAATAGCTGTACAAACCTTGATTCCAGTGAAGCTGGGATGTTGTGTCAAACATGAATTAAAAAAAGAATACAATGATTTGCAAATTCTTTCCCTCCTAAATTCAATTGAATACACAAAGATGAGATATTTAATGTTCAAACTGATAAACTTGAATGTTTGATTTTTTTTTTTCCCACAAATTATAGATTTACTCATTTTTGAATTTGATGCTGCAGCACATTCCTAAAAATCTGGTTCAGGGTCATGTTTCTCTGTGTCACTTACTTCACCTTTCTTTTAACAACAGTCAGTAAACCTTTGTGAACTGAGGACAGTGACTGTTAAAGCTTTGGAGGTAAATCCTGGAGTAAAAAAACATTCTAAACAGGCAAATGCCATCTCATCCAGCACACATATGTTTTTCCAAGCTTATTTTTCAAGACCAGAAGTTTCAGCTTGGTTTTACTCTTTTGATTTAGGTGTGTGATGGCTGTACTTAAGCACTATTTTGAAAAACTCAGATAAAGCTCATGCTAGCAAGCAAGGTCCAACAAAACTGCTTTCTGGATTTATTTCTAGTTCAGCAGAAACATTTATAATTTAAAACATAAAGACCACCAGATTGACCTAGAACTGAGTTATAACTCACTGTCTATCTGCTCTTAATTATTGTTCTTTTCACTGCACTTGAAACCATCATCACAATATGAACATTGCAAGTTTTTCTCATATTTTGTAGGCGTAACTGTTTGTGTTGATGTTAAGTGCAAATTTGGGGCAGTACAATTTCTAAAGTCCAGCTTTAACCAGATAAAAAACCAAATTGAAAGCCAGTGGATAGTCAGAATTATCGAAAACAGAAAACACTGTATATCTACTATGTTTGCAGTTAGTTTGCAGTCAATTTTAAAGCCGTAAATCTCACACTGGGTGAGAGAAATGTTTGTGAAATAGATCCTATGTGTTACACATCCATGCTCTGTTGGGTTTCTCTTTGCACATATATGCACCTCAACTATGTGTAAGCTTTGTGTATTACTTTTTTTCAGTGATTGTGTGTTGTGTGCTAGTATGTGATTTTGTGGGTCCTGTCTGTTCTTCTGCGTAGGTTTGCAGCACTCGGGGGTGCTCAGAAGAATCACATACTGTTATTAACAGGGCTGTTATTAACACATTCAAATCTGTTCCCTTAAGGCCCCTCAAATAGACAAGACTATAAATGCACTGTTGGTATAACCACCAAAATGACTCCTCTACAGTTTTCTTCTTGAGGGTTTTGTTCTCTACACCTGCAGCTTGTTACAGATCAGCATATTCTGTATGCTACATGATAAGAGTGCGTTGAACATTTTGTCTTCCTGTTATTACGGTGAAACTGACACAAGCATGAAAACACTGAATGAAAAAGTAGCTTCCTATTGTCGTCTTACTGCTATGAGCCTAACTCAAGATATTAAGTGTAATGAAGTGTTGATTGTGGAAGAGTTTACATCTGTCTCCCTCAATAGTTAACTTTTTATGTTTTATTTATTTATTTATTTATTTTTCATATATACAGTAGTTCTGTCAAACAAAGGTGTTAAATACAATTGGGTGTACAGTTTTTGTTGTTATTAAAAAACAATAGACTAGTCATTAATTTTATTCACACAGACACTTTTTTCAAGACTAAGAATGCAGGAATTAACCAATTTCACTTTCAACCATGCCTTCACATGTCAAGCTCCTCTGCACCTTGGCTGTTGTTACATTCAAAATGAGGCTGGTACATGACATTTTAAGCAACCTGCACTTAACAGTGACAGCTGTCATCAATGATACTTTCGCAGGTTGCTCAAGTGTATTTTTTGGTTGTCTAAGCATAATTATGACCAATTTTTCTTTATTTTTTGTCCAATTACCAACTATAATCACTGATTTAGATGATCCCCTTTTGCCCTCTATCCCTAAACGCTTAGCAAAAAAGCTAGTCTTGACCAGACTCTGTTAAAAAAGACCCAGGGCTCTATTTTTGTGTCCGCCGGTGAGGAGGGAGGGTGGCGGACCCCGCGCAGTGGTGTTTTCGTGTGGCGGAGCCCGGCGTACAACCAGTTTGGTATTTTCGTGGACTGAGGCGCACCGAGATCCGCCAAGCTGGGCGTGGTGGCGTGGCAGAGGAAGGTGTTGACAGAATCAGCTGCCGCAGTGACATTTTCGTGCTCGCTGGTGGCATATAAAGTGCGCTGAAAGCTCGCCGATTCAGAGCTGGTCAGCTTTCAGTGCAGATGAAGCGCAGCTGGTCTAGTGGTATTTCGGTAGACCGGCGGCGTATCGGCATACGTCACCGATAGGTTTCCACAATGTCAGGCACATTTCAGTGCAATAAATCATCAACAACTAATAATCTGAGTCAGCACATACATTTAGATCTATATAGATATATTCTGATCTATATCTGATCTGATGAGCGCGTTTGGCACGCGTTTGGACACACAACCTGACCGAATGAACACAGCTAAAACCGCATTAAATTAAAATAAATATCTAGTAAATAGACACACATGATAAAGTTAACAAGATATTTAATACCTACTCCTCAACACCTCAAAGACAAAGGAGATGGTCATAGACTTCTGTAGATCAAAACCCCTTCTTCAGCCAGTGAACACCTGTAGAGTGGACATCGAAGTGGTGACATCATATAAATACCTAGGTGTACATCTGGATAATAAGTTGGATTGGTCTAAGAATATAGACTACATCTATAGAAAGGGGCAGAGCCGCCTTTTTTGCCTGAGAAGACTCCGATCAATAGACGTCTGTAGTAAGACGCTGCAGATGTTTTATCAGTCTGTGGTGGCAAGTGTTCTGGTCTACGCTGCAGTCTGCTGGGGAGGAAGCATCAAACACAAAGATGCAAGAAGTCTTAACAAACTGGTGAAAAAGGCTGGCTCTGTGGTTGGACTCAAGCTGGACTCAGTGGAGGATGTGGTGGAGAGATCTACACTGAGGAAGGTGGAGACTATTCTCAAGAACATCTTGATGGACCAAAGGGCCAATGGTGGTGGACGGCTCCTCTCTCTTCGCTGCAGGACAGAAAGATTTAGAAGATCTTTTGTACCAACAGCCAACAGCCATCAGGCTTTATAACTCTTATGTAAATAATAGATAACTTGTATAGACATATTACGTGAGACAACAGACAATTGAATTTCCCTTCTGGGATTAATAAAGTTCTTCTTCTTGTTATTATTATTATTATTTCTCGCGCAGCTCGACCTGGACATGTCTCCATGTCCTCTCCCCATCCTGCTGCAGCTGCGGCGGCTGAACAGATGATTTGTTTCATCTTCTCATCTCATCTTTGATCAGATGAGTTTTTTACTTTAAGCCTACATACGAATATTATAATTTTTAGTTTTGTGAGCCAAATGTATTTTATATGCCAACATCTATGAAAGAAAGAGCAAGGCCACGGAGCGCGATGCTTCCTTTACGCACAGATGGTTCCGATTTGAATGCCATTATTGGAATTTATGTTGTGATCTTTGTGCACAACCCACCTTTGTCATGTGAGGTTATAATAAGTGCAACTTTATGTGAGTGTCTTTATTTGTGGAAAGGGTGTTTGTCTTACTAGTGGGTCCAACATTACACACACCAAATCCATCTGTGCTCATATGAGAGAGTGTGAAGGATGCCCTCTGCAGCGTTTACAGCAACACTTGTTTAGGGGCTGCCTTCTGTCGCCATTGTGTGGCATTACTCTTGATCTCTTTGACCACTTCACGAAAATAGTAATACGCCTCGACGGTGGCGGATTTAAAGGCGAGGAGCTGATGGTATTGGTCAATACAGGTCTTGGCTGTATTAAACCCACTCCACACCCTCTCTCCTCCCTCTCTACGACTTACGCCGCTGAGAGGAGCTGAGTTAGGGAGGGGGGATACTTACGCCGGGCTGCGCTGCTCACCAAAATACCAAGTTGTGCTTGGGAACGCCTTGTCGGACCTGACTTACGCCGCGCCTGCACCACATCTCCGGCGAAGCACGAAAATAGAGCCCCCAATGTAAAGATGGGATCAGACTCAGCCTCATTCAGAAAGATCAGACCCGCTCCCATCCCATCTTCAACCACATGAGGAAAACTCTTTACAGCATTTCAATAGTTAGAGTGGAGAGAAAGAACTTCCTTTAACAGGCAGAAACCTTGAGCAGAACCAAACTCATTTAAGACAGTCATCTACTGAGACTGAGCTGGGTTTAGAGAGGGAGAGAGGGAGATGGAGAAAGCGAGAGATGGACAGAGGAGAAACTGATAAAAGGAGATGGGAGAACCTGCCGTTCATACTTATCACCCATTTTGTAAAGATGTATTTCTGTCAGTCCAACATCTCACCACATTGCCTTAGTGAATTGCTACCTTTACTCAGTGGGCCGGCTTAATTAGCAACAGTCAAGGCATGATACGTTCCTCTGGGTCTTGATTAGCACATATCAAAGACATGAGAGCTGTATACAGCTTCCTTTCAACATCAAAGTAAGGCTTCAAACTGACATCAACAACAAAATGACTTGTTCCTCAGAGAGGGTAAAGTCTGGGATTTTCTAATATTATCCCAGCATTTAAATACAAAAAAATAATTAAGAAAACACACACCCATGGCATAAATTCTTTTAATACATCATATATCTCAAGGGCAGCGTACTGAAAGGCTGTGAAGACAACATCCAGTTGGTAGTGTGTCATCCACAAGAGACCATGAGATCAAGTTTAAGAGCATGTCTCTAAGCCAGGTTATAAAATACCTCCATTGTTCCAGAGGGATGTAAGACTAACATTATTATAAGGCTCAACCCTTAAAAACTTTTACAGATCACTCAATGACAACAACCTATGAATGCATATTTTCTTATTATCGCCATGAAAATGACATCCTCTTTGCAGCTGTGTAACAAGATGAGTGTTGTGTCTGCAGAGCATCTTGTCAGCATACATTAATGTTGCTCCAGACCAGGGCAGGGTGTGGGTAAGTGGGGCAGGATGGGTGACAGAAGGGCTGATGCTGGCACTCAGTTCCCTCTCTCTCCCTGTGAAAAGCTCTTCAGACACAACGAGAACTATTGAGGCACGAAATTGCCCTCTTGACTTTCCTTTGAGACAAAGTTGAAAAAGGCAGCCAGCCATTCTGCTGGTCAGGAGAGGAGCTGGAGAGAGGGAGACAGACAAAACATACTGAGTTAATAGAAAAAGAAAGGGTTATTAAGTTTATTTTGCATGGACTGAGGACACTCTTGTATAGTATAAATAATATTGCATCAACTAAAATCTGTGTCAATGACCTAAAGTTGGTAAATGAACAAGAGCCCCTGTCCTGTAACGTATCCTTCCAAAGTGGTATGTTGGCAGAAATTTATCAAATAAGATTCAGGTGTTTTCTGGATCTTTAACTCTGACATAAAAAATTATGGCAAGTACCATGACCAAGAATGGTATTTAGGTTCTTTACAATCAAAGTATTCCCAAATATTATAAAGTCGTCTTTATCTTTCCAAAATTTAAGAAACTTACACACATAGTACTACTTTAAAATGCTCAAAAGTTGTGATATATAGAGCCAGAGGAGTAACCTCTTGAATTTCTTTTTTCTTCAGAAAAATCAATATTTCAATTTTATTTTATTATGTGTTATTATGTTTTATTTAAACATTTCCTTTTTTTTCTTGTAATACAGTGTTAATTAGCATAATCTGGAATATACCCCTTTTTTATTAATCTAAAAAATGAAATGGACAACTTTACTAGAAATGAGAAGTGACTGTATTATATATTTAGCTTTGTGTGCGCGCACACACACACACACACACACACACACACACACACACACACACACACACACACACACACACACACACACACACACACACAAAACTGCTGAAATAAAATGTGGAGAAGCAATATCATAGTTCCTTTAAATAGCCTTATCAGCAATTTGGCATTGGACCTTAAACTAAATATATATTCTGTGGAAATTTAAAAGGGGTGGTATCATGCTTTTCCACATTTACAGTGGAAGTTACAAAGTTTGGTGTCCACACTAGATGTATGCAACATTTCCTTTTAGAAGGTATATGTATGTTGTCATAATCACAGAAAATAGATGTAAACTGTTGAAAACGGGACCTTGTGAGAAAACTCAAGACTAAGTAGTTGCATCAGCATTACAGTCTCGACTTACTAGTTCATGTGAGCTTCTTGCACAGCTGAATTGTGAGGTGAAACCCACAGTGGAGCCGGGTAAGGCTGCTCTACTGATTGACCACAATAGAGGGGGTGGGGCCAAACATTGAGCCAAAACAAAGCATTTTAGACAGAGGCTAAAATAATTATATTTTAACACACTACAGTGAGAAACACTTTTTAGTCAAATTGTACATTTCTTGCTTTATTGCTGATATTATTACTGATAAGGATCAGACTTAACCATCATGTCAATCTTATAATTGTGTGATGCATTTCTCTCATGTCAATCTTATAATTGCGTGGTACATATCTTATCTATAAGACATTGTGCCATATTTACAAGACAAAATGAATGACAGTCTTCTGTAAAATTGATTTTTTTTCTAGTTGATTTTATGTTAGGATTGTAATAGCAAGTTCTCGTTCTCTTTTTTGTCTTCATGACTGTTTAAGAATTTCATTCACCAGGATGTTATTGACTATACAAGAGATTTAGTGTACGTGGTGTCAATAACTGTTTGGTGTCAAGTTCCCAACAGTTGGAGGCTTGAAACAGAGAGGCTAAAACAACTGCAGCATGGTGCTGGCATATGAATAACATTGGGACCAAATTAATGGTTCACCAGTCTGTTGCCATGGCAACCTCTTGCTTTACACATTTTGGGTGCTGACTGGTAGGGTACCAAACGGCACTTCTGCTCTCTCTGTGCCCTCTCAGCCCTGCTATTTGTGTGTGTGTCTAGCTGTGTATTGCAAGGACTCTGGACTTCCAGTTGTAGTCTCTGCAAAGAGAGGGAGCATTCTCAGCTTCTGTCTGCCTGTCATGCAGGTAATTCATGATTTTACTACTTAGGTAGAGTGTGTCTGTGTGTATGTAGATTTTATGTTTGGATATAGAGGTTAATAGGTGGACAAAATGCAACTATTCTGTGTTTCAAAGCCAATATTCAAATCAGAATCTGGTTTATTACCAAGGACGTTTGAACTTAGGGGGAGATTGGTGTTTTGGTGCTTGAATGAGCACCAAAACACAATGAGCACAGCATAAGGATAGATATAAAATATATTCTATCTTCAGAAAGGTAAGACTGTGGTTTGTGCAGGTGGTTTACTCTTCTGTCATTTTCAAACATGGCAGACTGCTGTGTCCTTTGACATCAGCCTTTCAGACAAATGCTGAGGCGACCAGATCAGTCTAGCTGTCATCACTGCTGGCTAGCTCTGTGGATGTGACAAGGTCACTGTTTACAGTGCCTGTACTTTGTGAATGTGCCTTTTTAGGATTCAAAAAGGACTTATTTTGTCTCCACTTCTCAAAGGCAGCTATATGAAGAACCTCCAGAATTACAGTCAGGTATGCCCATATGGATTTTCTCTTTTTGGGCAGTGTTTTTGAGCTTGCTTATATAATCTGCTCTGGGGGCAGAGTAGCTCTACTGTACTGTACTGTCGACCGTTTTGCTTGAGTTTTTTGTATGACCCTCTGGGAGTTTTTTGTGCTGTGCCGTAGTTTTAATTAAAATAGGTCATTTTCTGGGAATTGAAACTCTTACGTAACCATGAAAGACAGGTTACCTCTTCAACCTCTTCTCAAGCAAAGACGCTGTTTCTGAAGCAGTTAGCTTACTGAGGAAATGGACGCATTTGACCCCGGTATTAAGCTTTCAGGGATGTTGTTTGTTGTCACCACTAATAATGATTTTAAAAACCTCACCTAATGATGATGAGGAACCCAGTTGACGCTCTTCAGCTTTACTTTTATTGTTGAAGGAAAGATTTTGGCGTGAATAAGTGGTTCACGCTTGTTGAACTTAGCCATTTAAAATGGCTTCTTTGAGTTGGTGAGTGGGTTGTGTTGAGTGTTCTCGGAAGATGTGTGCACAAGTGTGAGTGTAATTGCATGTGTGTATGCCAGCCAGCTTGTTTGTGTTGATGTGTGGGCGATGCTGGATAGAAAAGAGGTACTGAAACAGCAGCCGTAAAAGCTTCACACTGCCGCCTAATCCTGCATAACTACTGTTACTATGCAAATGAAAGCTTTGATTAGAGCTCTGCAGGCTACTTATGGCATGCCAGGAAGCATTTGAATTAATCTCAACATAAAGACAGGAAGACAAAATGCAAGCTCTTAATGTGAGACAAAGAAATACATGTCGGATAAACAGATCAGTGTCACAGACTCAGCCCTCTCTTGAATTAGTCTGTTTGTTCTTAGTTTGTATAACTATCTATCTTTTCAGCTCACATGACTGTCCTCATTTAGCCGTGGCTGCCCACCAGTGATGCACAACCTGACATTGTTGTCTCCCTTTTTTAACCCATTTCATCATACATACAAGTATTGTCTTTGAAGAGTGTGAATGCTACACAACCAACAAGTGTCATTCATTGACTTTCATTCAAGGTTTTGCTTTCTGCAAGCTAATGTTGCATTTCAGTCTCAGCTCTAATGGAGTAGAAACCACAACCTTGAATAGATAGAAGGGACATTGTAAATGGCATCTGCAGTCAGGCTGCTGGCCATCGACTGCAAGCACACAGCTGAGTTGCAGTCATAAAACAGCCTACACTTTCTCTCTGTGACTTCAGTGGTTTGATCTGCTCTGGAGAACTATTGTTGCAGACCCTCTGTCTTTTGCATATTCACTTTTCCTATAAAAGTAACATATGAAAATATGATTTCTATATTGACTTATGATGCAATGTGTAATTTCATTGAGATCATTTGTAGTTGAATAAATCAGATGATTTCATTTTGAATATTGGTACACACAGTTTGTTTGGCTGCAGATGAGTTAAAATGCATGATTCATTACTTTTGCTTGAAACCAAACGTCTAAAAAAGGCCTATTATATAAATATATTTTTAAAACTGATAATATTCAATGCAACTTTTCAAACACATTTTATGAAATTATCCTTGGAAAGCTGCAAGCTCTGTGTTATGCATATTGGTGTCTCTTAGTATAGGATAGTCACTGTCTTGTGTAAAGCAGAGGAATTTAGTTTAAGTATCTAAAAGTAGGACAACAACAAGTGCATTGAAAGAATGATCTCTTTTTATCTCAAACTGTTCAGTCTCTCATAGCTCCAGCTTCATTTTTAGCCTGCGCTTGTTAAATGATGCTGGGTTTCCATGGTGACACTCAGCCTCCAGCAGCCAAAGCATCCCCTGCAGTTATGGAAACAATTTCAGCTGCCTCACACTGGCTTTCATTTCAGGTTCATTTCAAACCCAGTTCAATGGAATAAATGGAAGGTGATATTTTCAAAGTTAAAGAAAATGTGTCTGTGTGTGAGTATATAAACAATAATAGTTGACCTTAAAACGCACATCTGAATCACACCTTTTTCTATCACCACACAGGTGTTTCACAGATTTTAACCTACTTGGTAACAGTGCTCTGAGTACGACACAACTTTTCCAACCCAGTCTTGGGGTTGAACTCAAGTTGATTACATTTATTACTTTAGCAGCCTCCTCTAAACAACTGTTTAATAATGTCTTAAAGTTGATTTTACTGTGTGTGTGTGTATGTGTGTCTGTGTGTGTGCATATGTGTGTGCATGATGGTTTGTTTGAACTGTTGTCCAGAGCAAGTGTCAGCACGGATTGTGCAGGAAGTCACAGCAGAGGCAGTAGCAGTATTAAAGGGAGAACAGGAGACTCAAAGGCTGCCATCAGGTAATCAGCACACACACACACACACACACAGGCACACTCACACACGTACACACACACACACACACACACACACACACACACACACACACACACACACACACACACACACACACACTTTTATACTTGAAAAAGCTCACATTCAAATAATTATTGGTTCTTCTTTGGTTCTTCCTGATAGGTCTTCAGTCTTATTAATGACGACATGCCAGCAAGAATCATAAATCTAGTCAGACTAAACATTGTACACTCAGGTAAACAAGGTCTGCAGTTTGTATTATTGAAGGGAAAGCATATTTACAAAAAAACAACAGTAGTCAGGAAGCCTAAACAAGCTTAGCACAAAGCAGTTACAAAAAAAAAAAAACTATCTTAGCTAAAGTTGAACCTAAATTCAAAATATCAAACTTTCGTATGCAACAGAGTGTCCAACTGAGCAGTGCAGCAACATTGCAAAGTACTGAAAAAAAAAAATAAAATAAAAAACCTTGTATTGAAAATAGCATAAAAATGTGTTTCTGGGTGCTTTGCTGTTTTCTGAGGATAGAAGAGTACACTACATGAGGTTTCTGTCTGCCTGAACTAACTCATAAACTTTGATGGTATGGGCTGTATCATTCTAAAGGCTGGGTGAAGCGGTGAAAACACACAATAAAGCGTTTCAAAAGACATTTTAAAAATGGAGAAAGAGACTGAATAGTATTTATTTCACTATATGGAATCAGCTGCCTGGAGTGATTTCACTTCAGTCAGAAGGGGATGGCTCTGACTTAAAGAGAATTTAAAGAAAAATAAGATTGTACAGTGAGAAGGACTCAATTTAACCAGATATCTGACAGCAAATTTTCATTTCTGCCTTGAGCAGGGGGCTCTATAGAAATGTAAGTATCAGGTTTGAATGAAGAAGAAAGATCCTTGACTTTGACTTGTTTGTATTTGTATTCAAAACAAATAAAAACAGATGTTTTCAGAAAAAATCAATGAAAAGCTCATTTGTAAGTCTTACTGGTTACTTACTGGGACTGGAATGTGATTGATTTTAAAGTAAGGTTATAGCTCCTCTTTGTTTCTGGTTCATTTTTAACATGGGAACAGTTTTTCTTCAGTGTTGGTTAAGAACATATTTTTGTCCTATATCTACACGTGTCTAAAAATTTTCTGCCATACTTTAAACTTTTTCCTCACAACATGCTGATAATGATACAATATCCATTATTTTTACTCCTGACAATGTATGATGCTGGTCTGTGTTCAGTGACTTTTTCTGCACCAGTACTGTAGAAGACTGGTCGTACATTAGTTCGTCTTGTTGCTGTGGCACTCTTACTGGTATCATATTGAAATGAAAAGTCTGGAAGCATGACTGGCTTACATTAAATTCCTTAGTAACTACTGAGCGTCTTTCTTTTTCTTTTCTTTGTAGTTGAAGACACCACAAATTTGCCCCCTTCTCCTCCACCCTCACCTGCTGCAGAACACTTTGGTCCTCTGGAACAAGGTAGGCCAAGAATACAAAGACTATGAGGTGTATTAATTGGAGTACATCTCTGATGGAGAACAGTGTGATGACTGATACTTCTAAAGAGGGCAGGTTGTCTCCACATTGGGGTACTGATGTGGCTCTGGGGGGTACTCTTATTCCTACCCAGGACAGGCACTACTTGTATGGGACAAACCACATATTTTAAAACTACATGGGTTATGAAAAAGCAGGAACATGTTTTCCATTTTCAGACATCCATTCCTTCTTATATCCTACTTCCTCCTCATCGTACTGAGAACTCAACTGAAAGAGATACAGTTTGTATCTTTTCTGCATCATCATCATTTTTTATCTTTAAAAGAAAAAAAAAACTCAATGCATGACCACCTCACTCCAGGTATGCTCTCTATTTATTTATCATCCTCTTCTTACAGTCCCCTTTCTAACTTTCACACACTTCCCTCTCCTCACACACTAACATGACGGCCACTTTAGGTAACTCTTGCCTTCCGCTTTGTCTCTTCAGTTGTGTATTTAGTTTTGCATGGTAATCATGTTGCGTTTTCCTTTTCATTGTCCACTGTCAGTCTTTTTTGTGTGTCCTTTGCTATGGCTGTTGATCGGAGATTTAGTCCTTCGGGCACTCATTTAGGACACGGCTGTGTCTTAAGGTGAAAGAGATCTAGAGACTTTGTGGCTAAAATGGCAGCCTAGTAAAAGAAAGTTAAATGTTAGGGAAATAAACTGATTGTACACACTTAAGAAATACTGTTTCCATCAAGCTAAAGCTAGTTAGCCTTGCAGGGCTCATTTGACTAGCTTGTGTGTGAGCTTACCTTCTGAGATGACAGGTTATAAACCATCTCACTTATATGCTACATTTGGGTCCTTTGTTTTGAACCAGTGTTTTCATTGTGCAGATGCCTGCAGGAAATGACTACAGTGTTGTGCTATCTCAGGGGTCGGCAACCTTAAACACTCAAAGAGCCATTTGGACCAGTTTCCCACAGAAAAGAAAACACAGGGATCCACAAAACCCCTTTGGCATCTAAAATGAAGATAACATTTGCATATATCATTTTTTTTACCGTCATAAAAAGTTGCATTTATGAAATAAATGAACTGCTGCAGAGAAAAAGAAATGTTATTTCTGCAGGCAAACAAAAATATTTTAAACAGTTTGAAATAGCCTTAAAGACCACTTCAATGAAAATCAGGTTATTCTTGTTGTATACATGCTCATACATAATTTTCCAGAAGCTACAGGACATATCATAAGTAACACAAGAGCGAAATTGCATCTCTGAGTATTCCTGCATTCAAATCACAGTGAGTCACTGGCAGACCCAAATGGTAGTCTCAGATGCAGGGAGATTTCCTACTTTACAACTGCAAACTCCGCCCTCAGAGCCCTGCTTTGCAGGCCACTCTCGAAGGAATAGAAAGGATGATCGCGCAACAAGCGTGTGCGTTGAATAAAAAACACAATTTCACTGAACAATGTAAGACACTATATATTTGCAAAATAACAGCTGATTAAAATGTGAAATTTACTTGCTTAATGTGACTTTCGCTCCTGAACCTCAGCGCACAGCATCTCCACATCCAGGCTGTGTGACATCACATTCATCTTCACACAGGTTTTCCCTAGTCAGCAGTTATGATGCAAATTTTGAGTGATAAAAATATTGAACATGGTTTATTTAATGTTACAAGAGCATTATAATCTTTACATTTAGAATAACACACATAATAAACTAAACTAAAATGAATTTTAATCAAATATTTATAATTTATTTTCCAAATCCACAGGGAGCCGCAGCTTAGGGGAGAAAGAGCCGCTTGTGGCTCCAGAGCCGCGGGTTGCCGACCCCTGTGCTATCTCTATGCTTGATATTTGTCTCTGTGTTTATGGTCAGTTTTGTTAACATGGTGATACTCATAGATAGTCAAGCAGAAGGTGATAGGGTTTTGTTTTCTTGAGCAGACTGACTAGTACCGAGCCAGAAGTTGGTTCTCCAATTTCAGACCTTGACTCAAGCAACACTTAAATCACACACAAATTTAACTGGAGACTTGACTTACTCCTCTAAGGATAGATATTTGACTCAGACTTGGCAAACAAGACTTGTGCATAATCTTTTCAGTTTGTATTTTTGGCACATTAAGTTACAGGCTAGGTATTGATACCTCATTTCATGGACTGATACCATGTCCAACACAAAATAAAGGATGTTGGATCTACCACCCAATTATACCATTAAAGGTAGCAAACATGTCATCTACATCAGATATCTAATATTTGCTTTGTGGGATTATTGTTTGTTGGATTATATTCTGAATTATCTGCTTGTCGGTGCTGGATTTGCTGTGTCATGTCTCTCAATTTCATCCATGATACTGCTCCCATCATCTGTAAGCAAACTTGTTAAACCTACAGCGAACTGCTGCAATGTTAATTATCAGTGTTGACTAAAGGCAAATTAAGGTTCAATGTTAACCACATGACGTCATAGTTACTAATTTGGTTAACATTTCATTGCATTTTGGTAGTTTGTTTATTAACAGGAAAAGGATCAATGTATGGTGACCGCAGGTTTTGACAAAAGATTGGGACCCTGAGACAATGGATAAGACCAAAATGTAAAGCAGAGGGATCAGGGCATGAAATTATTAGTTTGAAGCTCGTTTAATGGTTTACAGATGATTTAATTTCATAGCCAAGAATTAGACCCTCTGATTTCACAGTTGGTTGCAGTTTCATGGCAGCTGCAACTAGACAGATATTCTAATCAGGCTGCTCTTTGTTACAAATAATACTGCTTGGATTCATTTTAATTTGATCAAGGTTGAAACATTAGCCTGGTTTACTGTTGTGAGTCATATTAAACTTCACATTGTCGTTCATGATAGTCAAAACACTGGTGCTTTTCTTTTGGCATTTTGACACTACAACACTAATACATGTCCATACTGTGCTTTGTTTTGTGTTTGATTTGTGTCTGACAGCTTTTTCATTGAACTCTTTGTGTCTGTTAACATCTTTGCTGTTTCTCTTCTCTCTTTCCTTTGCTGGTGAGCCATCAAAATGGAACATTGAACATTGAATGTTAAATTGAAAAAATCTGTCATATTGTTTACTGATTTAAAAGGCTCAGGTAAAATCTTCTGCAACAGCGTGAACAGTGTGAAATGTTACGTAGGAACAGAAGGTCCTGTTCTTATTCATGTGCGTATGTTGCTTAGAGCATAAATGAGCTGCTGGACAGTTTTCATTGTTTGTGTAGATTTTGTAGGTCAAAGACAAAGAGCTTATTTATTAACATTTTGATAGTGTCATGCAGTAAAGGTGAAGCACACCTTTTCTTTCATCTCGGCCACCTGTGAATTCTTCATCTCTACCTCTTTCTGACAATAAAAACCTGAATGGGGTTTGACTTCGACTTGCCCGTCATATGCTTAAGACTTGGACTTAAACTTGTCAAAGAAAGACTGGGGACTTGACTTTTGGGCTTACAAAAAACGTAGAAGCTTAACCTGACTGAATTTTTTTGTAGTTGTACTTTGACTTTTTAAAGTACACAACAGTTACAATTATGATTGGTTGGCGTGTTTGGTTGCATGCAGGTAGGGCTGTCGTGGTAACTGCCAAAAATAAACTACCATGGTACTAACAAACTTACTGCTGAGTATGGTTGGCCGCTGTCACAACAACTCTGGTACCCAAACCAAATGCAGCATTTTTTTCCTTTATGATCCCTGTAGAATGATAGAGCAGTAAGATATACTTGCAAAATCTATTTAAAAATTAATGGAAGTTGATGATAACATTAAAGCATGCGTCTTAAATGATTCAAGTCCAGTAAAAGGCTTCAACCAAACATTCTATTTTCGTGCCTCGCTGGAGACGTGCCGCAGGCGCGGTGTAAGTCAGCTCCGCCACGCCGACAAGGCGTTCCCAAGCACAATTTGGTATTTTGGTGAGCGGCGCAGCCCGGCGTAAGTATCCCCCCTCCCTGACTCAGCTCCTCCCAGCGGCGTAAGTCGTAGAGAGGGAGGAGAGAGGGCATGGAGTGGGTTTAACACAGCCGAGACCTGTTTTCACCAATCACATAAGCTCCTTGCCTTTGAATCCACCACCGGCGAGGCGTATTACTATTTTCATGAAGTAGTCAAAGAGATCAAGAGATGTCTGAAGACAGTAATGCCACACGATGGTGACAGAAGGCAGCTCCTCAACAAGTGTCACTGTAAGCGCTGTATTGGGCGTCCTCCACAGTCTCTCATATGAGCACAGATGGATTTGGTGTGTGTAAGTTTGGACCCACTGGTAAGACAAACACCCTTTTCCACAAATAAAGACACTCACATAAAGTTGCATATATTCAAACCTCACGTGGCAAAGGTGGGTTGAGCGCACAGATCACAACATAAACTCCAAAAATGGCATTAAAATCAGAACCATCTGTGGCCTGGCTCTTTCTTTCATAGATGTTGGCATATAAAATAAATTTGACTCACAAAACTGAATATTATAATATCCGTATGTAGGCTTAAAGTAAATAACTCATCTGAGCACTGAAACAAATCACCTGTTCAGCTGCAGCAGGACGGAGAGAGGACATGGAGACATGTCCAGGTCGAGCTGCGCGAGAAATAAGAGGAAGAAAGAAAGGGAGGGAGACAAATTAAATATCTTGTTAACTTCATCATGTGTGTTTATTTACTAGACATTTAATTCAATCTAATGCGGTTTCAGCTGTGTAGATTCGGTCAGGTTGTGTGTCCAAACGCGTGCCAAACGGGCTCATCAGATCAGATATAGATCAGAATATATCTATATAGATCTAAATGTATGTGCTGACTCAGATTAATAGTTGTTGTTGTTTATTTATTGCACTGAAATGTGTTTGACACTGAGGAAACCTGCTGGTGAGGCATCGGTGACGTATGCCGATATGCCGCCGGTCAACCAAAATACCACTAGACAAGCTGCGCTGAAAGCTGACCAGGTTACAATCAGCGAGCTTTCAGCACACTTTACACGCCACTGGCGAGCACGAAAATGTCACTGCGCCTGCTGGTTCTGTCGACACCTCCCCCTGCCACGCCACCACGCCCAGCTTGGCGGATCTCGGTTCGCCTCCGTGCGCCTCAGTCCACGAAAATACCAAACTGGCTGTACGCTGGGCTCCGCCAGACGAAAATACAACTGCGCGGGGTCTGCCACCCTCCGCCGCCTCACCGGTGTACATGAAAATAGAGCCCATTATCTCTGTAAATCTCCAAAGACTGCATGATCTTGTTTAAGTTGTCTGTGATCCATCTTGTGAAGGCGGGATTTGAATCAGTCTTCAGGTCGGAACCTGAGCAAAAACTGGCTCTTTGGACTCTACAGCTGGTTTTTGTCCTTTTCAACTACCACATACTCCTAATCTTGGTGTAGATCTTGTCTGCTGCCACAGTGCAGTGTTCCTACAGTAGATTAAATAATGATAATGTTGGAGAAATTTTTTACAGGATTTAAAGGTTCTGATATTTGTTTTTCAAATTCATGTCTATGTAAGTAGTTCATAAAAAAGAAACAGCAATAATAAACTGTTAACAGATAAATAGAACTGTGCAATATTAACACAAATTAAGGTATTTGGGCCACCCTGAATCACCTCAGAAGGAAGTCCTTCACCACGGCAGCCCTCGATGCAGAGTTTGGTACAAGTATAGAGATTTGTTGATGCGTGGAAAAAAAACACCTCATTGACTGTCCTACTACCCCAGCTGCTGCTGTACCAGTGCTCACACTGTTTTAAGTGCTCAGCTACTTCTTGTCTTGAAAGTCCTTTTTGAGGTTGAATCATTCCTGCATAAGAACTATACCATACACAATGTTGCATACTAATTTATGTACCTCAGAGTATGGCTGGCCCCCAAAGCTTTGTCATGTTTAAGTTGCTTGTCAGTGTCTCTTTGTCAATGTCCTGTGTGTTGAATCTCTCTTGTTTAGCCTTGTCCTCTCCTTTCATACCTCTCTCTGGAGATTTCCCTGCCTATATTGTCTATTTTAGAGTGTTTTTTTTTATTTTTTTTATTTTGTGTGAGCATTTATCTTCCCTTTCCCTTCAAAAAATGTCCATGATTAAAAGCCTCCTAAGGAAGTAAGTAAATATATATATATATATATATATATATATATATAAAGGTTTTTTCAAGGTTCAGGGTTTGTAGGTACAAAAGGCAAAGGTTATTGAGAAGTTAAATCCTTTTTGTTAAAATAAACGTTTTATGTCAGGTACACGTGAAGGGAATGTATTCACATTCGTCTTACTTGGACTCAAGGATGAACTCGGATTGAACAGATTTGTGCGGTCAAAGGTCTGGGTCATGTGATGCCACCTTCTTCCTATTCTTGAAAATGCAAAATCATAGTTACAGCCAAGAGAAATATTATGCAAGCCCTGCTTCAGTGAAATACAGTGCACAGTCCTTAATGCATTGCAGAAGTTGGCTTGGGGCTAACTGTGCTCTCTTTTTTAAGTTTTCTTATCTGTGGTTAATTTTTTTCCTTGCAGCGTGCCAAAAACATATGTGAGCCACTGTTGGAGATGCACAGATTAAGCAATTAGATTTAGGCATACTACTGTGACCCAGCTAAAGAGTTACCAGATTGACCTACAGGAGGCATAGCAGCCTGACATCAAGTTAAAGTCTGTTGAAGGCTGAAGCAGGAATCTCTTTGGAGAAAAGCAGGCAAAAGACACAATGTGTGTTGATTTATGATGTCTGGCAATTGTAAAATGCCAAAAACAATCTTGTGATGTCAGCTGAAGGAGAAACAGAGGTTTGGCACCTCTCAATCCTTGGCATCATAACTTTGTTTCACTGATAGGTGATTTTGATAGGAAAGTGCGCTCAGAGCACTGTTGTATGCTCGTGTGTCTTAACTGGCTCAGGGGAAATGCGTGAATTCATCGTGGAAGGCTCGTCTTAGTATCTGAGTAAAGTTCCCTTACTCACTGTCTTTGTATGTGCATCTTATTTGTATCTGCAGCGCCCATGAGGACATAACATTATAGTTGAGTCAGCAGGTCCCTGATAGGCTGCAGCTGTAGGACGGGCTGTTTATACTATATTTAGTCAACTTTAACATGGACATTCTTTGCTGTGTTCTCCATTTTCTTTTATTTTTTTCTTCTATCTCTTCTTTTTTCTTTTTCTTCCTCCTCACTCTCTCTTTCAGCCCCTGTGTCCAGATTTCCCTGCAGTTCTTCTCCTTGTGTCTGTCTTGTTTGTAGATGTAGGGGATGAGGAGGAGGCAGGGCCTCTCCGCCGCTTCCAAAATTCACGGGAGAGGTGCAAGTTCCTCGCCCCCTCCATCTCAGTTTCCGTGCCCGAGGACGACCCCTACCACTCCGACGAGGAGTACTATGAGCACCCATTGTTCAGCCCAGAGTGGACGCACTCGGGCTCTCGCCCAACAGGGCAGGCCGTGGCCTTTAGACAGATTGAAGGTGAACCACGCATGGTTCCTCTTTGTCATTTCCCCTCCATTCCTCTCTCTTTGACTCTATTTCTTTCCTTTCTCCTTTTAACGATTTCCCCTCCTTTTCTGTGATTTGACCTCTTCTTTCCATCCCTTCCGTCTCTCCGTCCGTCCGTTCGTCTCTTCGTCCGTCTTGTGTGTGGTTTTGTGTCCTTGTGAGGTTTGTGTTGCTCTAAATCTGAGCAATTTTATGTTTGTTTATCAGTCATCTTTCTTTATTTTGAATTTTCACCCAAAGCCATTGCTACCTGTGATTGCCATGCCATTTAGCCCAAGTCATAGCAGTAAGTCTTTAAGTAGGACAACAATTTACCTTGTGATTCATTCATTGTGATCCTCTCAATGGATGTTATACACTACAGTTGTCATCAACAGGACCACACAGCCATAAAGGTCTTCTGTTGGGACAGTGGTTCAGGTCCAAATGGCTTTCATGAACTTCCAAGAGATTAGGTGCATAACCAATGAATAGCATGCACATATTTCTCTTTTCTAGTCATCTCCCAGAGATGCATTTTGGTTCATTCCTTAAGATGACCATTCCCCCCCTTCCTTAAGTTGCATTATGTCAAACCACGTTCACCAGTCCTACACTACTCTCATTTTCAGAGTGTTGCCACAAGAAAGACTTTCAGCTCCATGCATACACAAACACAAACACATTTAGACACTGTTCTTTGTATTTTTTGATACAAAACACAGGCTTCTTTCTATTCAAAAAACATCCCAAACTACAAGAAAGTAACCTAAAGCATTTTTATAGTAACATAACACAAATATACAGCCTAGCCATTTGATGTATCTGTTATTACTAACCCTCAATTTCCACCACATGCGGAACGTAGTAAAAAGGCTGTCGGCGCAGTTTTCCATTTAAGTTAATGTGTCAATTTCCACCAGCTCATTTCCAACCCCTGGCAGTTCAGCCGGCTTTGTAGTCGATCGCTAGGTTTCTGTTTTCTTCTGGACGCCACAGCATGCCTCATGAATTCAGCACAGATTAGCCCGTGCTGGATAGGAAGTTGGGCACAGACACAAAATAAAAACATCCGGCCTCTTTTCAAAATAAAACACTACGTGTTTCATGCAGATCGTATTTCACACCATGCAAACGTGTGTGTGTGGTGGGAGGGACATGTCAAAGGTTTTCAGACTTCATTTCACCCTGTTGACACCATGGATGAGGAGATGCTGATTCTAGAAGTCTAGAAGTGGATTTCCTCCCCAGGAAGGACACAATCTACTGCTTATATGGTTATGTGGCTGTCTTCATAGAGACAACTCGTTATCGCGCTATTGCATGTGAAGCCCCAGGTTCTTGTGTGTTTTTGCGATTCCTGCTGTCTGAAATCCACCATGAAATTTTCCCACAAACGCATCCGGTAAGAATTGGCGGACAGCGAAAATCACTGCCGTTCCGTAGCACAGCAGTTCGTATACGGTGGAAATTTGGGGTTAGGCTGAGCAGTTTCAGCGTCAGATAAAAATAAAAAAAAATGTATTGCTGTCTTCTACCAGAACATCCTCTAATAGAATTTTCTTCTTCTAACTAGTCTTAGTGAACGCAACAATAGAATAGACTAGTCTTTAAATTGCTTTTCCTGTCCATATATTTCTACCAGCCATGCCTTACGCAGCTACATTTTGGAATAAAACTTTACTAACCTACACAAGAACTCAGAAAGATATGCAGCAATGGCTGCTGGTGAGCAGAGCTGCACACCCCCACATTGACCATTCAGTTGTTGAAAATTCAGTCCGTGCATGTCAAATATATGAAGGCGCTCCTCTTTTTACTTTGCTGCACCTCATCATAGCTGCTCCTGAAGAGCATGAAACTCATAAGTGTTTCAAATGTGCTTCAACAACAGCACAATTTTAGGCTGCGAGGTGTTACCTCTTCTTTTCTGTTTCATTTTCTTTGAACTCCTTCAGTCAATAATGATTGTGGGTCATTCCGGGTCACAGTCAGTGTGAAAGAAAGACAGAAAAAAATCTGTTTAAAGCAGGTGATTTACTTTTGACTGAGATGTCAAATCATTAGATTGAGTGATTAATCCAAGAAAAATCTCAAGCAAGACTCTAAAAGTATTCTTGTTTTCTTGCTTAGTTTTGTTGCTTCACAAAACACCCAAAAGCAAAAAAATGATACAAACCAATGTGAAACACACACACACCAGTCTGTACTATAAGTGTAATGTACTTATGTGTGTGAACAGCAAGTGCACTTTAGGTCATCTCTCCCAGAGCTGAAAGTGTCCCATCATATGCTGTGTTCACATAACCCAAGTCTGTGTTGCCTGTAGTCTTGATGTGTCCCCCTCTCACCCTGTCCTTGAGAAGAAGAGACCATGGAGGCTCTTACAGCTGAATACGAGGAGGAGGAGGAGGAGGAGGTGGAAGATGAGGAGGAGGAGGAGAGTGCAGAAGCAGCAGAGTCCGAGACAGCTCTTGATGAGCAGCAGTGGAGCGGGGAAGAGCCTGAGCTGGACAGCCCCCAAGCTGAACCCTTAGAGCAGGCAGAGGCCATAGATGAGGCCCAGGATCTAGACCTGGAGCCAACTGAAGCAGCTAGTGCTGCTGCAGAAATCTCTGAGGAGGAGGAGGAAGCAGAGGGTGAGGAGAGTCCTGACACAGGTGTGTCCTGCCCTCTGCTCTCCCTGCCTGCATGTAACTTCATTGTTTCTCTAGAGGAATGTCAGATGTGTCAAAGAAACCTTTAAGCATATGACATAAGCATTGAAATCCAAGTGGAATGGCAAACAATCCCCCCTGCGCTCTGCTGTGGCTGCAAGGCAACACAGGCTTGTTGGTGAAAAGAGTCATATTCCTTTAACTTAACCTGGTTCTGTTATTTTCTATATTTGCACTTTTTTTCTTTTTTTTTTCTTAAATGTGTTTTTGTTGGGGCTGGCCATTATGCATTGTATGATGTAGTGCAGTGGTGCTGAATGTAGCGGTTCTTTGTTCTCCAGCTTTGAGCTTACAGGTTTCTCATTATGTTCACATATGGCTGTATGCTGCTATGTAGTGCAGTGTTGAACTTTTTTTTTTTTTGTAACCACGAGCCAAACTTGCCCAATCATACTTGATTTGTGACTGTATTATTATCAAAAGTATGTGTCCAGAATATGCAAGAGATTTGATGTTGGCTGTCTCATATAAAGTATTGGTGTAACCGTCTCATCAAATACATTGTCCCTCAGCCAGTTTCATTGAAAGTGTACGGCATTTCTCTGTCATTCTGCGGCAGTATTCAGTCCACTGACAGTATTTTCCTTATTTGCGCTTACATTCCTTTTAATCATGAGTATACTTATTAAAATCCAAATTTCCCTCGTGGTTAGAGAAAGAATGTAAAACAGGAATTTGAAAATTGGAAATTCTCAAAATATTTTTAGAAATAAGCAAAGATTGACAGAAATGCTATTTTGTGTGTTTTGGAGAGTTGCATGGATATCCATCCCATCTACTATTGTTTTGTGTTTTTTTACTCATAAATCAGCATCACAGCTTCATGCCGATACGCCATATACCATGCCATATTTTCATCTGTCTGTGACTTGGTGGATCCCATAACCTCGCCGTACTTCTTCAGTGGTGGCCATATCAGTGTGCTGTAAGTTTCTGAACAGAGCTTTGCCTGTTTCTGTCCTGATAACAGCTTTCAAGTTCCTGGCTTTATAATTATTCCACTGACAGCATGGAAAAGCATAACTTTACTGTGGTGGTCAGAACAGACAACTTACAGATGTCATTTCAGCTTTGAAGATGGACTTGGACAAGCAGGGCAGTGACAAAAGTGGTTCCATGAGCCCAGACAGCATTGGATCAGAGAAACGTCCAGAGGAGTTTTATGAGCCCCAGGTCCAAGGGTTTTTTGCTGGTGAACGAGTGGTACCGGAGAGCCCCACCATGGATATGCCATCCTTTGTACCTCCTAGTGTCCAAAACCAAGCCAAAGATTCTGCCAGACCACTAACACTTCAGCCGACATATGGTGAGCCAATAACAGTGTCTGAAAAACAGCCATCAGTGGAGGTGGTAGAGATCAGCAGCATTGGTGCTCCCTCTGATTTCTCTTCAATGGGAAGCAAAGTTGAAGGAGCAGAGCCAACAAGAGATGCGAGAGACCGATCGGGCATGTCAGCATATTTCGAAACATCAGCAATGGAGGTCGATGAGGCACCTCAGTGTAAGGGGGAGGGTTATTATGAACTGAGCAGAGCTGGTGAAGAGAAAGGCAAATGTAGACCTCATGACATTGACTCCCACACGGTGGCTGAATCCCACGATAAACCTGAAACTAAACAAAGCACAGAGGACAGTAGAGTGTTTACAGTTCCTGACCGGAGCAGTGACTGTAGGCTTTCTCCGGGTAAACTGGCCTTGGAGCAGAGGAGTTACTCATTAAATATCACCATTGGTGCATTGGATCAAAGTGGCCAAGGCAAACCTAGAAACTTCTCCCCACTGGCCACAGATATCATGTCCTATACAAGTGGGAGTCTAGATGAGTCAGCAGACTACCTTCCAGTAACTACACCATCAGTGGACAAGCCTCCATCCTTCCCTCCCTTAATCTTGGAGACAGCTGCTTCTGTAACCTCAGATTCATCATCTCCTCCAAGAACCACAGAGGCAATTTCAAAAACCAGCCCTGAACCAGAGTCACCAGAATCTCCACAGCCCCTTAAAGGTGCCGACAAAAACGGCTCAGTAATGGCACAAGACTTGCCTGAAATGCTTGACCTTGCTGGAACACGTTCCAGACTGGCATCAGAAAATACTGAACCAGAAATCATACGGAGAAAGTCGATTCAGGCTGATGCTCTAACCTTCACGGATGACCTGATGGCAGGCCTAGTTTCAGGAGAGCAGAGTCCTGGGGCCCGAAAAAGTGATGGTCAACTTGAAGAGATGGGATACTGTGTCTTTAGTGAATATTCAGGGCCAATGCCGTCTCCTGCAGATGTGTTCAGCCCTACTGACACTTCTGCACAAGTCTTTACCCCCTCTGTCTTGGAGGAGAGAGTGGCAGAGCAGGCCAGAAAACTGGCAGTCAGAGACATGTCAGTGGAGGACAAAAGTCAGCCATCTGGCGACATGAACACCTCGGAAGAGAAAGACCAGATACAAGTGGAGAGAAAAGGGTCTACTGATGAACAGGCCATGAAGTTCGTTGATGATCAGTTGAATAAAACTGACAGTGCGACCCCCACTGTCCAGCCTGTTGAAACCTTTATAACGCCAACAGTCACTGTGACTCTGGAAGAAGGTGGGAGGTCATTCAGTGACATTGAAAGACAAGCCAGCGGTGAAGGCTCAGCATCAGAAACGGAGATAGCTGATTATGAGAGGCAGATCCGCAAACTAGAGATGGAGGACAGGCCTCTCAGTCTGGAGGAGGAGCGGGAACTCCAGGAGCTCAGAGAAAAGGTGAAGTTGGTCCACCAGGAGGCTTATGAAGAAGTGGATGCAGAAGATGTGTATCAGCTGACTGGTGTGGCTAAGGACCGCATTGCCAGACCTGTCAAGACTTCACCTACTTCATCCGTGGAGAGTAACATTGACGATGACAAACTGCTGTCTCCAGTGCTCTCACCCTCCAAACTTAAACAAAGAGAAGTATACGGTTCCCCCAAAAGAACACCTTCACCTGTGCTAGGAATAAACAGAGAGGAAAGAGAGAGGGAGTTTTTAGAAAGAAAAAATACTGAAGAGAAAGAGGCAGCCGACAAGAAACTGAAAGAAGAGGCAGAGAAGAAAGAAAAGGAACTGAAAGAAAAAGAAGAAAGGGAAAGGCAAGAAAAAATGGAAGCAGAAAGGATACTAAATGAGGAAAGGGAAAAGAAGGAGAAAGAACAAAAAGAGCAGGAGATGAAAGAAAAAATTGAGAGAGAAGAAAAAGAGAGAAAAGAGAAAGAAGACAGAGAGAGAGAAGACAGAGAACAGTTGGAACAAGAAGAGAGAGAAAGGAAAGAAAGAGAAGAAAAGGAACTTAAAGAAAAACTAGAAAAAGAGCTCAAAGAGAAGGAAGAGAAAGAAAAGAAGGAGAAAGAGGAAAAAGAAAGGAAAGAGAAAGAGGAAAAAGAAAGGAAAGATAAGGAGGAGAAAGAAAGGAAAGAGAAGGAGAAAGAAAAGATAGAGAAGGAGCTGAAGGAGAAGGAAGAAAAAGAGAAGATAGAGAAGGAGCAAAAAGAGAAGGAAGAAAGAGAGAAGACAGAGCAGGAGAAAGGTGAGGAAGACATGGCTGAGAAAGTAGGGGCAGCAGTTGAAAAGGAGATCCCAGAGACTCATGCTGCTATTGAATCTGTGGTGACAGTTGAAGACGATTTTATCACTGTGGTTCAGACCATTGATGAAGCAGAAGAACCGGGTCATAGTGTTCGTTTCTCTGCTCCACCTGAGGCCGAGGCCCTTGGTGTCTCAGGCCAGAAAGAGGAAGAAGAAGAAGAGGAGTCTGTGGAGTTTGCCCAAGAAGCAGACATAGAAGCTGCCAGTCTTGAGGAGGTGGGTGATGTTCCTGAGACCCCTGCCTCCCCAGAGAAGGTTCAACCCATAGAAAGAGAAGAACCAACCGAAAGCTACGACAGAGATGAAACCACAATTGACGACTCTATCTTGGACAGCTCTTGGGTTGACACACAGGGTGAGAACTCTGAGATCGGTTGTCTCTTTACATTGTATGTTTTTCCTCTTTATCTGTGACCTGCTTTTTAAGACATAACAAAATACTGTCTCATACTTGTCCTCTTTTACCACACTGCAGATGATGATAAGAGTATGGCGACAGAGCGGATTGAACCATTGCCCAAGATGTCCAGTCCAGTTAAAAAACCTGCTGTGGTGCAGGTCAAGCAGACACACCAGAAGAAGATAGAAAAAATGGAAAAACCAGTTAAACCAAAGGCCAAAGGAGGGCGACCAAAAGGAAGGATCTCCACACCAGAACGCAAACCTGTCCGTAAAGAGCCCGTCTATATTCCAAGAGAGGAAGTCAGGAAGAAAAAAGGTTCCCATGATTTTGTTTTTACTTTCCTTTATCCTCTTACAATGAGGCATTATCTATGAATGTTGCAGTTAAAGTTCTGAATATTTTAGCTCTGCTGAAAATCTTATGTGATCATTTGACTTTTTTAATGCATGGTGTAGAATGAATGGGACAGTTGGAATTAGGGCATCTGATCTTGCTGGTTAAGCAGTGCACATTCTGGGAGTTCAGAGAGGTGCAGTATTCCAAGAGGTTTAAGTTCCTTAATTATTCAAGGAATTTCCCCCTGTTGGACTTATAAAGGTATATCTTATCTTATCTTATCTTATCTTATTCAAAGGTTTGTATTGGCTGTATTCTAAATCAAACTAATCGGTGCGCCCCTCTAAGACTCAGGTGTGTCTCCAAGCAGGCGTTTTGCTAATGACACAGCGGGTTTCAGCTTAGACTGTATATAGAGTGGACTGTCTGCCTCCTCATTGGGTGAAGCCACCACAAGAACAGCACCCTCTGGTGACAGGCTGCAGTATAAGTCATAAATCCCGCCTCCTCCAGCAATCCCTATGGAGCAGTGGACAAACTTTAGAAATTAAACAGGATATAATTTTTTTTCTCCCCCCTTGTCTGCGATGTTGACATGTAGTTATTGTAAGACTGGTTTGTGCTTAAGTCCTCTTTTTTCCGTACAGCTCCAATTTTAAAAGTTATCAGGGGGTTTATGTTTTCTATGATTGACACTGGATACAGCCTATGGGCATACAGAGATTTCGTAGCTCTCCTAGGGGATACGCTGTTTGAGCCAAGCGTCATCACAGCGACTCTCCCGCTGAATGCATACAACGCTACTGCACAAGTGGTGAAGTGAGTTCAACACAATTGCGCAATGTTGGTTTCGGGAAGTAGAGAAAATGCTGAAAATACCAAGAGCAATGTGGCTTCAAATTCGTATAATGACGGAAGGCATAACCAAGTTGTCCATAGTATACACAGTCTATGGTTTCAGCCTTTATGCTTACCAGTAGACTAGGCTCAGGCCAGCAACATATTGATTATGATGATTAATGTATACACTGAGTAATTGTAATGTTTCAAGACTGAGTTTCAGCACAATTCAGTATTTCTTTGTCTCTGCTTTTGACAATAAACCTTTTTTTCCTGATAATGTAGCCGTGATTAGGAAGACCGAACTCACCAAGAAATCAGAGACTCAGACCCAGTCTCCATCCAAGAGAAGTGCCATGAAACCAGCTTTCCGTCAGACCAGACCCACCCAGCACCACTCCTGTCCCAGAAGGAGAACCACAGGTGACATTCTGCTACAAGTGTTTTCTACAGGAAAGAGCCAAGAACACAAGTTATAAACCATCTTTCTTTAACTCTCAGCTTCATTTAAGTTTTCTCATCCTGTTTTGTTCTTCTGTTGCACTGGTTTGCTTTTGTCATATGTGAGTGTCTGTTTGTTTTTATCACAATAAAAACATTTATTCTGCTTCATTTGTTTTTGTGCACATTCATTTTGTTTTTGAAGAGCAACTTAACACCCAACCAGAAGCATTCCCCTCTAAACAGGCAGGTTAGCAAAAACGTTACTCTTTTTTTATTTTCGTTATCATTTTATGCTTTTTGTACTTTGATGTTTTATTCTGGTATCACCATGTTTTGTATATTTAATCCACATCATTGAGTTGTTTTATTATGACCTTTATCTGATTACTAGTCAACAAATGCAAAAAACAAAAACTTGTCAACCTCCAATTAATTGAATAAATTGAATATTTATCCTTGTGGTCGCCAGGCAACTACCAAGTCGGGTTTTGTTCTAAGAGCCTGATGCTATAAACAGTCTGTAATGCTGCTTTGTCCCAGGGGCACTTTGCACACCAGTTTCCCCTGACGGACTGAATTCTGTGTCACTGATGATGAAAGCTTTAGTACGCTGCTGCATTGCCCCAATTAGATTATTTCCAGGGTTGACTTACGTAACACAAAATCCCTCATTCTGTGTGATATCTTGCCAAATCTTTACAGGGCAGTAACCTGCTCCTACAGAACATTCAATTTGTCATGAGGTACCAAATACTATTCTTGTGTAGGTCATTTTTAAGGCTGTCACAAGTCTCCCTTTAGTTTATGAAGGCCAGAGTGTGCGCTCTGTCTGTGTGTTGCTGTACTTCTGTAAGTCGGATTCTGTTTTTTCTTGCAGAGGTCCTTCCAGACAGTCGTCAGCCCCTCAGTGTTGCCAGACAGTCTCGTGACAGAGCATCGGTGAGTATAGATATCCAGCAATACGATGGCATGACCTCTAGCACCAATAATTACCCATATAGTGTTACTACATCGAAGCTCTGTAAGCTTACAGCCTAAACTCAGAGTGATGAACATCAATCAGCAGGACGAAATGCTTCAGGAGAATCCTCAACGTGTGAAACTTACTACTTTTCACCAGGAAACACAACTCTACATCTGCTGTCACTCATTTTTTAATTTCTTTTTGATGTCTTTTGGTGTGAAGAGTTTTAAAACAAAAGACATTAACCCCTTGCTGCCAAAACTGAAACAATAAACAAGTTGCCTCTCATTCCAACAGTTAAACAATAAGAGATATGTGAATTGGGCAAAACAATGAAGACGTTATCATATACTTTTGAATATTTAAATTTGTGAGGTTCAAGAGCAACCCAACTCCAGTCCAGATAAATACATGATAAACATTCACCGGCCACTATATTAGGTACACTTGCTTGTTAACACCAATTGCTAATCAGCCAATCAAATGACAGGAACTCAGCCTTGAGATAGATGAGCCACAGCCGCAGAAGACCACACAGGGTGCCCCTCCTGTCTGCTAGGAACAGGAAACTAAGGCTACAGTTAACAAAGGCTCTCCAAAACTGGATAATAGAAGATCAGGAAAATATTGGCTAGTATGTCTGGATTTCAGCTGCCACATTCAGATGGTGGGTCAGAATGTCTGGTGGTGGTCTAATGGTGTGGGGGATATTTTCATGGCCCTTCGTACCAACTGAGCATCGTTTAAACTCCACAGCCTACCTGGGTATTGTTGCTGACCATGGTCATCCCTTTATGACCACAGTGTCTTTTTTCTGATGGATACTTCCAACAGGATAATGCACCATGTCACAAATCTCAAATCACCTCCAACTGGTTTCTTGATCATGACAGTGAGTTCATTGAACTCCAGAGGCCTCCACAGTCACCAGTTCTCAGTCCAGTAGAGCCCCTTTAGGATGGGGTAAATGAGAGATTCACATCATGGACGTGCAGCCGACAAATCTGCAGCACCTGTGTGATGCTCTCATGTTTATATGGACAAAAATCAAGGGAATAATGCCTTGTTCAAAGCATGCCATAAAGAACTAAGAAAGTTTTAGGGCATAATGGACTCCTGACCTGGTACTTGCCAAGTGTACCTAGTTAAGTGGCCAGCAAGTGTACTGCCTCCCATTTCTATGACTGCAATAATCCTAGCAAGAAAATTGTGCATCTGTTTCCATGAAAGCAACTGTTGGTTGTCATTTGAGTATGAAAAATAGATATTGGTCATTTTGTCTTTGCAAAAGGTTCACTATTGTTGCGTAAATTGATCTGTGCATGCACAGCGAAGATCCACTTAGAAAGTGTTTTTTTCTTCTGAGTGGGTGTTGAATCACCCAGTGACATTTCTTCTGCAACTGTGGTCGTGACTCCATTTTACTCCTCCGCTATGGTAATGACAATTATTGGGTCTAAAATAACATAGTTTCTACGTTTCTTAAATGTCATGTCACTGCAGAATACTTCAGGTGCATTTTGTTACTTTGAGACCGTTTTGTATTTCATATTTTATTTACACTCTTCCAACATCTGCTAGTAAGACTTGTAGTGTGATATGCCATCCTGCATTAGTGTTTGGAGATATGTATATTTTTACACCTTACTTAATTTGTATCTTGAGGTCATTCATTTGTTTTGTTTTTTTAATGTTCATACTCATGTAAGGTTGTTACATAGGTCTAAGTCCTCACATGTCTTTCACATCTCCAAAAATCATTCATCTTGTCCATCATGTCCTGTGTGTTGGTAACATATGCAGTCACTTCTGTTACCATGTATGGACCTCATTGCCATGTTCTCCTCATCATGTCATCATTTCAGTGCCATTCCTATCGTTTGCCTGTAACAAAGATACCCACCTCCAAATTCAGACCGGCCCCTCGATTAGACAGACCTCGTCCATCCTCATCAGAGCCTTCTGGCTCTCCCATATTACAGAGATTTATAGCAAAGGTAAGTTAATGGAAGAACAGCTCTATATTTGTGTTACTTTACTTATTTTTGCCTATTCATCTCATCTTTGTGACATGACTCTGGATGAACTCAAGAAAGATTTTAGTTTTTACCCAGTAGGTCAAGATTCTGCATGGAGTGCCCACAGTTCCAAACTGTAAAAAAAAAATGTTTTTTTTTGCACACAATACAATTATCTTGTGTGCAAAAATTATTGTCTTGAATTTGTTTTCCTGTGAAATGAAATGTCTAAAGAAAATTATGCTCTCTTGAGATGAATTTAGAGAATGGGGATATTGTGCCTTAGAGATAGCTAGACAGCAACACACCTTTTGTCCCTGTCGGTCCATTTGCTGTGTTTTGTATGTAATGTATCTTTAATAAAGATTTTTTTTTTCTTACAAATGCAGTGTACTCCCTATCCCCACTACAGAAAAACCAGCACATCTTATCCAGATATACCTCAGCAACACAGCAAGGAAGCCTCATTTAAACATCAACTTGGAATCACACACACGCACCCACCCACACACACTCTCACACACTCTCACACACTCTCTCACACACACACACACACACACACACACACACACACACACACACACACACACACACACACACACACAGTTGTTAAGTCAGCTCTGAGGCTACCTGGGTTTCTTGTTTAACAGTAGATCAATTACAGCCCTAGAGTTAGCCTCCAGTTTAGAGTTCAGAATGGCAATATGGAATAACAGGAAACTGGACTGGTTGGTGGGGGATACAGCTCTGTGGTAAAAATTGTATTCGAAAACTAATCAGAGCCTCACAGGTCTAAGGATCTACCTCTGGTCTCTGGTTTTGTTTTTTTTCCAAACAGGATGGTGGCTCGTGGAGTCCTGAAAAGAGATCCTCTCTGCCGCGGCACACCTCCATAATAAGTCGCCGTGGGTACCACGATCATGAAGAGAGTTCAACCTCCATCACTAGTTCTGGTTCAACAGCTCCTCGTAGGCCAACATGTAGGCTGAAGCTTCTGGCATCCTTCCCAAATTTCCTCAAATAGACTGAAAGAAGAACTAGCACCAAGCTCAGTTTTAGGCCTAAACAATTCAACCCAAATCACAGATGCTCTGCAATTATGAAATGAATCATTTTTATCCTTAATCAGTAAGAGTCACATGCAAGTCTGTTTAAACTGATTTTACTACCCAGTAATTGCTTTGAAAATGTCCTTTGATGTAGTTTTACAATGACTGGGATTTATATTGTTATCAAAAAAAGCATATGCACAATGAGCTGGTTCTTCCTTGGTTTGATTTCATGTTTGATGCCGATTCAGCCGAAAGCATGTCATGTAACTCTTGAACATCTCCTCTTTTGTCTCCTGTAGCGTTTCGCACAGAGATGAGGGCTGAGCATAGGACAGGAAGAGCCCCTAGTATGACAGGTAGAGGAATTCCTAATACTTTACAGGTAGCAGAGAAGAGATTGAAAGTTCTTTCTGATTATGATTTTTTACCATTCTAAAAAACTCTGGCAGTATTTCCTGTCAATGACAAAACTAGAATTTTGATATTTTGCATGATATTTTAGTGCCGGCTTTCACTCTTGTATTCCTCTCCATCAGTCACAGAATCAGTGCGCTCTCGCTCCGCTCGCAGTGGACACTCCACACCCCGCACTCCTGGCTCCACAGCCATCACCCCTGGCACCCCACCCAGCTACTCATCATCTTCAAGGACCCCCGGGACCCCACGCTCCCTTAGTTTGTTGTCTCAGGAGAGGAAGGTGGCCGTGGTCCGCACCCCGCCCAAGTCACCTGCAACGACACCCAAGCAGCTCCGAATCATCAACCAGCCGCTGCCTGACTTCAAGAACATCAAGTCAAAGATTGGCTCCACAGAAAATATCAAGTACCAGCCGAAAGGAGGACAGGTGATGCTCTTTCCACTTAACCTCTCTGTTTTGCAACCACTCACCATTCAAACTCACATTGTCATATTCTGAGGTAAACTTATCCATATTACTCCGTCACCTCTCTTTCTCACTTATTTCATCAGTGATGTTTTATTTATTGAACTGTTTTCTTACTTGTATCATACATATGAATTTTTTTGTCACAATTCCCTTTGTTTAATGCACCTGAGCTTTCTTCTGCCTCCATGTCTGCTCCATGTCTAGTTCCCATGCTTTCTTGCTTTCTCCCATACCCCTCCAGACAAATTGTCCATTTTTTACTCCCTTAGAAATCCATATCCATTTTTGGGTGTTGATTGTCAGCCCTTTCTTGTAAGTTGTTTATGCCCCTTCTCTTATTCTCAGACTTTTACATTTCTAGTTGAACATACATATAACCTTGCTGTTTCCCTGTTAGGGATGAACACCCTTTCAGAACAGGCAGACTGCAGAGTCCTGTCTGCTGCTGTTGTCAGTACAGTGCCTGTCTGGGCAGTGTCTCATATATGTTGCTTGCAGCACTTTTTGAACAGTTCATCCAATCAACTTTACATTCACCCCGGATCCTCAGTATCATTCTCACCAAGTATTTTTTAGAAACCTTATGTTCAGGATGAAAAAAACAGATCTTGTCTTTAAAAGTCAGAGTGCTAAAGTAAATAAAAAAGTGCAAGGAATCCAGAGTGAGAAGGGTCTGGATTTAGATTTGTTGTGTGGCAAGAAAGAGGACTCTACTGGGCTGTCAGTGCTCATAATACTTTCTTTTGGCATCCTCTCATTTCATAACATCCATAAGTACAGATGAGTCTCATGGATCAGTATCAGTAATGCTGAGAATGAAAGTTAAGTCCTAATACATCAGAAGTGTTCTGGTGTTTCGTCTTACCCTAAAATTACATAACTCTGAAGCCCGGGTTGAAAAAATAGAAACATGACCTGGCTTTGACATCTCAGTGTGTGCCTCAAGTGTGTGCAGTATGTGTCCCCTTAGTTTTCCCTCGGCTCTGTTAACTGGGGACAGCATTTAGTTTGATGAAATCTGCATTCCACATTGTTTTTTCAAGCTGCAGAGTCTACACAAGTTGGGAGTGTAAACTCTACAGTCTGACAGTTATCATGTTTCAGCATATCACATCAGGACTTCAACAAGAACGATAATAAAAACTGCAGTGTGTCTGCAGCCATCACCCCCTTACGAGCCCCCACTGATGACCTGATTAGGAGTTCAACTGCTCGGCTGGCATCTTTACGACTAGCCTGCGCTACTTTGTGCATCCAGCCAAAATGCCTGCCTGTCATCTGCAGGAAAAAATGGCCTGAGCGGAGTTGGTGTGTAAGTTTGCAGTTGTGTTTTTGTTCAAGCATGCAAATGTGTTTATTATCAGCGTCCCTGGTAAATTAGAGAAGGGACTGCAACATGGAAGTCACTGTCAGAGTTACATGCTTAGGACAGATGAGGTTACGACTTATGTGGTTTAAATTTTTCTTTCTCCCTTTTGCACTTTATTCTTTTTTTTGTCGTCCTGAATTCACCGTAGACACTCAGAGGAGGTTGCCTTGGAAGCAATAGCAGAAAGTACAGAAGCCACGTTGAAGGAAATTCGTGCTGCATGGATTAAAAAGAATTAATCCTCATGCAAAAAGCTGCATTTATTACAAAGTTGTTTGATAAATTGGAAAAAATATTCCTCGGTAAATCATACTTTTTTTCATACAAATTTGTTTGCATGATTTCCAGAGGTTGTTTAAAATTTGATATCTGTTAGCTTTATTGATTTAGATGGCGGCACGACCAAATCCCAAATGTATGGCAACAAGCAGTTTGCCACATCAAGTTGAGGTTTTGGTAAAGTGTGTCAGTGTCTGTTTAAGAGATAAGATAGATTGAACTGTTATCAAATCAAGCCATGCATTTTCACTACAGTCAACACCTCGAATTGGTTGTAGTAACACTAATTATCATTTTGGCTCAAAATCCTTCTCTGACTTTACCCACGGCCCCACAGTGGGCGTGTGTGTGGTTATGCTAGTGTCACCCCTGGGTGTGTGTAGGTGTCTGCTATCAGAGCCAAATGAATCATGGCAGCTTTGTCTAAACACAAGGGTGAATGTCCGGGCAAACCGATTGTCCTCACTCTCCTTGTTTTCTTTGGAAACAAAGCCGCCAAACAGAAAGTTAAAATTGAATCTGTCTCTCTCTCCCCTAAGGTGATGACTTCATCTTTCTCTGATTAACATGACTTTATTAGCTTAAAGGCATACCACGTTTATGTTTTATGGGATTCAGAAGGATTTGTCTAGACAGACACCAGATACCTCAAGGCTGCTGTGTGTGTCCCATTTGCTAATTTAAGCAAAACACTTCAGAGAGGAAAGATAATTTGAATTACAATTTTCAAACAATGAAATGACAAAAAAGAATTGTTCTGATATTTCCATACAATATGTTTTGATGCTGATAATTACTTTCAGTTTCATATTCCTTCTGTTATATCAGGGCATAAATTTATTGATTAAGGCCTCAAAAGAGATAAAACATCAAAAGGATATTCTGACATAAAATTAAGTTAGGGTCAAACACACCGTAACACAGAGTTAGACACCCCGTTGAGAGATGAATGTTGCCAACTGCTTGCTTCTCTTGTTATACCAACTTTAGTAATGACCGCACGATAGCAATACACAGCAGTCTCAGGAGCCACAAACAAACCTCAACCAAAACGCCACTCTATAGCCACAAATAATGCTCAGAACAGCACCTAACTTCATCAACAGTACATATAGGGTCCTAGCCATAGTACTAGCCATCAAACATCTTTTTAACTTTGCCTGATTTCTTTAGCAAAGAGACTAAACACAACTTACCCACTCTCTTCCAGCAGCCGTTTGTTTGTCTTGAGACCTTGGGCCAGTCCGTTATGGACTACAGCGGGGTGACGCAGCTCAAGGAGGGACACTTATGATCATTTCTTCATGGAAATGCAATCAGACAGAGACGCTAAGGCAGAAGAACTACCGCGTCTGCAGTGCAAAATGATTAAGATGGTGATTATTACTTCAAGGAAATGATAAAGTCATGATGTTGATTCAGGTTCTCTCCTGAAAATCTGAAAAAAATATTAAGGACGATTCTCTAATCACATTGCGGAAAACATTTATTTTAGTTATACATAGGGGATTGATCTTTGGAAATATCAAGTATCAAATATTGTTTATCCCTAAAAAAGAAACGCAAATTTATCTTATGAAAAATTTTATCTAAATCATGTTATTTGCATAATGACTAGAACTGACAGTATTGCAAAGCTATTATCTTATCAAGGTATACAAGTTGTTTAACTGCATGTAGGACGTCAACTCACAGAGCAGGTTTTCAGAGATAAGCTCTGCAAACATAGTCTGACCACAGAATATTATCTAAGACCACCATGTCTGCTTTCTGCATACTTGTTCTTATTGAGATATTTGAGTGTGTCCACATGGTTGAGTGTCAGTCATCAGTCAGTCTGCTGGCAGACAGCTCTCACTCAGATGGTGCTGATGTTGCCGTTGTGCAGAGATACTCAGCTCTGCTTGTCTAGAAAATCTCTCATGTCCAGTCAAAAGTTCTCAATCTTTGCGCCCCTTTTGATAGTGCAGCTGTGGTGTGCTGCTTCCTGAACAGAGAGCTCACAGAGACCTGGTGCAGCCCCTGAGATTTACAGTAGTTTAGTGGCTTTTACCAGTGTTTTTTTAAGCTCAGACAGGGTGAAATCTGTGGAGTAGTGACAGTTTTCACATAATTGCATTGTGCTCCTCTCCTGACCTTTGGTAGTTCCTGGCTGTGTCATGGTGCATGTAGTTCCAATTTCCAAGCAGCTGCTGAGAGCCCCCTCCCCTTCCTGACGATAGCAAGCCTCTGCCCGGCCTCTAACCTGTCCAATGATTGTCCTCGTAGAAACACAAGGACCAAAATATGCCCTCAGGTGCCAAACACAAGGTCTCATGGATCTGGCAGTCAGTGCTACGGCTCATCTCGGTAACTCTGTGTCTTTCAGCGGTACAAAGTGTGACCTGGACCAAGGACCTGCTGGTACACCTCAGCACTCTTAATGTTGGCCCCACATGTCTCATCGAGTTTAGGAATACGTGTGCCAGTGAAATAATTAATGACCTTTACTGTGCTGAACTTCAATCAATTGTTAAATTGTTAAGACTAGCCTGGATTGATTCAATTTGCATTTTAATTAGGAATTAATAAATAAGGCAAAGAAATATTGAATGGAATAATTAAATTATTAATTTTAAGTTCTGCTAAGTTTTCTTAATATGATTAATTGATATTTTAATGTTTAATATTTAACTAGCTTAACCCACAGAGCGGTCAGAGCAATCTTTTGTCATTTAAACTGAATATTTCATTCAGGTTCTCACACACCTTTAGATACAAAGAAACTCAAAACTAGTGGATATGATAGTCTGATGCACAACTACAATAAAAAAAAGTTCATTACTCTTAAGTTTTAAACCTGCAATATTCGTGCTTTACTGAGTAAGGTCTGCTTTTCTAAATGGATGAACTGATACTCTGACTTCAAAGTATAAGGTTCCATTCATGATATCAGAGGCCCATGCTATGTTTGTATGTCTCCATAGATTCATATTTTAAACAAGAAGCTGGACCTCAGTCATGTTCTATCAAAATGCAGCTCCCAGGATAATCTGAAGCACAGCCCACGTGGAAGAAATGTATGTACCCTTCCCTCTTGAATGTTCTGTTTCCTCCCCTGTGAACCTCTGATGGAGAAAAAGAGAAAGGACCATCGTGACATTTTAGTTGGTTGCCCTTGTGTAATTTTTCTGTTGTGGTACCTACCTGCTAGCTGGATGGTCTTGTATCATAGCACCTTAGATTGTCTCCCATTTTTTGTTGTCTGCAGTTTTATTCTTTCCTTATGCCAAACAGTGTCTCCCATTCAAACTGTTGTTTTGGGAAACAAAAAGTTACTTTTAAAGCTTGGTATTTCTTCTTTTTAGCACATTATTTTACCCACATGCACATGAGCAGTGAGTTAAATCTCAGCAACTGCTCTGACAGCTTCTGGCTCTCGCCACCTTCTTGCTGGGAGAGCACTGACCTTGGTGAGACAGAGCAAAATCACCAAAGCCATATGCTAACATATGTCTCTCATGCCTTCGAGCGATACTTTTACAGCCCAACCCAAACCATCCTACAACAGTAATTTAACGTATGATTGCAGAATGTTGAAACAAAGGAAAAGAAGATGTTACAAACTGGACCAGCTCTTTTCTAGCCTCTGGTATGGAGTCTTATATCTAGGTCTTTATTCTCTTGTATTTCTTATAAGGTTTTTACTCAAGAGCTATATTTGGCTGTTTGTTGGTGAGAAGAAACATGGGTTAATGAGTAGTTTTAAACAATGCCTTCTGCTTATGCCTCTGACAAATGATTCAGTTTTAATATGCTTTGGAAATGTGTTACATTTTCTAAGATAGTCCTTCTTAATTTCAGCACAGTAATTATTGGAGGCAGATCTAATTTGGTCCCTGGAGTACAATCACATTCTGCTGTGTTTGGGCTCATGAAAATGGGCTGAACACAAACTAAAAAAAGCACATTACAGTGACAAAAAGTTAAATTACTTTCAGCGAGTGGAGGAGTTAAGCCGAAAGTATTTCACTAATTCATTTAATTCCTGCTGGAAAAAAAAGTTTCTACTTTACTGGAAAAGTCCAGAGGACCTGTTCTCTCAGAGGGGGTGGGCTCCGGCTTTTGCAGCCTAAAGAAGAGTAAATGAAGCTCCAGCTAATTATTTTCATAGCTGCTGGCATAGATGAAATGCTTGCTAATGCTTACAGCTGACTATAGCTGAACTGTCAGTTTGATGTGGGAAGACTGCAGGGAGTCAGACCTGTATATATTTTATTTGCTGCATTACCTATATCATGTTTTTGTTAGCTCATTCATTTTCAGCCCTAGTCATGTCTTTGTGTCTGTAATTCATAGAGGCTGAATCATATACTTATTACCTGTTTGCACATAAATCTAGAGCTCATCTGTACATCCAAACATTTGACTTTTACCAAGGCTTAGAGTTGTTTGTCATTATTGGCTCCAGCAGATTAAATATGTTCCCTACCTTTATTAGATCTCACTGCAGACCAGAAGGGTTGTCTTAGAAGAGACTAAATCATTATCTGATTCACTTCAAAAAAGACCCCAGGAGTAAATACTACTCTGAGAAGTTAATGCTTCATAAGTCAGTCATCAAAATAATCTTTTCCTTCAAATTTGAAGATGCCTCTTATTGTTCATGACCCTGTTATACTGTCATCTATCGCTATGAACTGTGATCAGGTATACCTCCATCATTTCATTTCATTTTTTTCCGCCCACTGTGGAAACCTGTTTAATCCTTACAGCTGTGTTTTGAGTATATTTCAGAGATTGAAGCTTTAAAAGTCTTTCTTTGGTCCTCAACAGTATCACCCCTCTCCTGCAGATCTGCTCTGACCTTTTTTCACAAAATACAATTAATATAAACTGTATGTCCTTCCTTACCCTGTGTGATTCCCATTGCTTTAACTGTGTTGCTGGGGAAACATATTTGTTGATGTTTGTGAAAAGTATTGTCCCAGCTCTGCTGAGTCTGCTTTTCACACTTGCTTCCTTTCCTTGCAGCTACAGAAAACCATTTACCATTGCAGTAAACTTCAATCACATCACCATTGTAACCTAAACTAATTGCCTAAAATGTTCACTCCTTTTTTATGGCCTACTGAGCCTCGGTGTAGGAGGTGAAAAACATTTAAGCATTTTTTATTCCTCAGAAAAGAAAGGTTATTGAACAGACCTGAGGTGTCTCCTCTTGTGAGACAGTCTAAAGTAGAGATTTATGAAAGCTTTGAAAGATAAATAGATATATAAAAAGAGCACAGCATTGTTGACGCTCACACTTATGCCATGTAACAATTTCTCTGTGCTAAAAACTGTTCTTCTAAAGAGAGATTATTTACATTTTTTATCATAAACTGTTATAAAGATGCTGCATTTATTTCTCAGAGGTCAGATGGAGATAAAAAGTGTGATTTCAGATATATCCTCACCTGTTTGCACTGAATCGTCAGAACAGTTAAATGACATTTTACCAGGACAACAGGAGAGTCATTTAATCAAGTATTGCTGCCCAGATTACAAACTCGGATCTCTGGGAGAAAATATATTGATTTGAACAGTGAAACATTATAACATGTTTTATTATATGATGGCCCTTAGCACTTAAGGTACTGCAAATTAAAGACAACACATTTATATCGACCAACCGTGGACAGTTTAAACATCCTCACTAATCTGACAACAAGTGCAAGACTTTTAAGAAAATTTGAGGGAAGTACAGAAACAAGCTGAATGGAGCTCAGATGACTACAGAAACTGCTTCCACTGGACAATTATCTGTATTTCTACAAGCATGTCTGAGCTATAACTAAAATACAACACCATTTCATCTCTGCTACCTGCAGGGTTTCTTATTTAGTCATATATTTTAGATGTACCGCCACCTGTATCTGTGTTGTCTAATCAGTGAGGTTGTTTTCATCTTTTGAAGTCTCAGTGCACTGAGTCCTCAGGGCCATTGTAGTTTAAGAGATGATGCTAACAGCTACTTTGATATAAAGCCCAAGCCTTCTCCCTCCTCATTACTGACCTCCACCCCTGCAGGTTCTCATCCCCAGTGTTAGGCTGGACTATAGCCATGTTCAGTCTAGGTGTGGGTCCTTGGACAGGCGGGGCTACTCAGCAGGAGGTGGAAACGTGAGTCTTGCACTGTAATTCCATTGTCTCAGTGTGTCTTATGTCAGTGCCGTTACTCTTTTGTACTGTGGTGTAATGTGTGTTTCTTTTCCACCTTGCTTTACAGTTTCCAAGTTCATTGTTTAGTCACTTTCTCATGTATATAGCAGTCCTCTTTATTGTTTTCATTCTGCAGTAAGGGTTTGTGTCTGCTACCTTGGGCAGATTTCGTTTTTTCCAGAATTGCTGCTATTTATTCAGAGATGTAGCAGTGTGGAGTACAGAATATAAGGAAATTAGGAATAGAAAAATGCAACTTTTCAAGTTCCAGTGCAGATACCTGTGCTTCAACATGGGCTTTTAACACTGCAAATATGAGCCAGTACCAGAATTGAATCAACAACAACAACAACAACATATTGTTATTTTTATTATTATTATTATTATTATTAGTCTCTAACTTCAGATAAACATGTTTCAACTCCTGATAATGTCAGCTTCCATTTTTGTTTGTTTGAACTCGTATTTAAACTTTGACATGATGGGTCTTGGGGTGTTTGATTAAACAGGTTGTGCCATACTTTTGCTAGGAGTGGTTTATTAATGACGGTGTAACTAATAAACCAGTGAACTCTAATGTCGTGACTAAATTTAACTTTATTTCATCTTCCACTGTCTACCTGCCAAATAATATCAACAGTAGTACCAACAGGACTCCTGTAGTGTAATACAGCTGAAGCCTTTTTTAACAGTGATTGTATCAGTCTTAAAAAAGACGAATAAAGGAAATCAAAATGTCCTAATACTCTCAATCAATCAACCAAGCTTTATTTATATAGCACTAATTCACAATAAGTGCTATCTCGAGACTATTAACTAAAAAGACCAGACTCTATTTAAAAAGACTGAACATAAAGATGGGATCAGACTGAGCCTCATCCTGTAAGATCAGACCTTGAGAGAGATGGACAGAGGAGAGACTGATAGAGAGAAATGGAGATTTTTGTAGCAAAGGCAAGTTTATGAATGAAAACAAGCCTTTGAAAGCCGATAATAGATTTGAAAAATGCTCAATTTATATTGTTATTATGCTTTATTTGTTTATTCAATTATTATTCCGAAGCCTGAGAAGACCTTCTCTATCATTTCTGCTGATTTTTTGAGAGTTGCAAAAACATCTTTAGACAATCAGTTGAGCAAAAGTCCAGTTTTACTACATTACTAAAATATATCTGAGAAGAGTCAGCCTGCAGCCTGACGTTCACAAACACAGACACAAACCTCTCTAGTCTTGAAGTTCTGTCATTTTTACCCTGCTTGTGTTCTGCATGGTAGGTAAGAGACTCTTGGTTTGTAGAGCAGCTGTCTAAGATCCTTGGTGCTCATGCTGCTGTGGTTGTTATTTGGCTCATAACCTCGGTTATGCATTATCACTTCACTTTCCTGTTGTTTCACCCCCTTAGGTTAGGCAACAGAGACATATATGAATGCTTACAAAAGTATATACATTCATCTGTGACCTGGCAAAGGGATCCGTGACCCAAAGCATGTACCAGTGATTTATCTCAGGATATGAAGTGTCCCCTCTTGATCACTGTGCTCTGTCTATATCTCCACTGTTTACTGTCTTCTTGTCAGGTCACGCCTCAGTTTCTTTGGTCACATGACAGCATATCAAAATCTCTTCTTGCTCTTACTCTCTACCACCTTTCACAGGGTATTCAGTTGTTTTGAAGTTTAAAGAGGTTTACTTGTGCTAATCATGTTAAGTTACATACATTGCATTGATATGATCTTATTTTATGTATTTATTTTGCTTTAACAGATTCTAGCAGTTATCTGCACAACGAAATACAAGGGCTGTTATTTAGCAGTCACTGTGGTCTGCTCTTCTTTTTTTGCTTCTTTATGTTGTATAATTACATGCAATACGATATGAAAGTGTTGGGTTGTGGATAATTACAGCCTTTCATACTAAATTGATACCTGATCATTTTCTTGGAACAGCAATTTCACTTTGGTAGAGATCAGATATACTAAACCTCCCCTATAACTGAGAAAAAGGTACTTTGTCTACAACATATGAGCTCTATAAAAGTTTGCAACCATAATTTCATCAATAAACTCCGATGTTGTTTCTTCTGACTTAATTTCTTTCAGGTGCAGATACAGAACAAGAAGATTGACTTGAGCCATGTGACCTCGAAGTGTGGCTCTCTAGACAACATCCATCACAGGCCAGGTAAAAGTGGCCCTGTCCTTGCTGAAGGGGTGGCATCAATGTACATACGGGACAAACTTGTGAAAAGCTTTCTTTACTAAGAGATATAAGTCTGAGGTAGGCCAAATTCATGGTGGTCACCTAAATGAATTTCATGGACAGGACAGGTAACAAAGTTTTTGACAATCAAACTGTTTCTAGAAATTTAAGATTTGAAATCCATGTTATCGCAGAGTAAAATAAAGCAGACACCACTTTGATAGGATATCAATGAGATCTAAATGCAACCCCCTGAGTGCCATTTAATCCAACCTTCATTACACAAGTAGTAAACTCCATTTGGATTGACAGCCTGATGGATCTGTCCTCAGGCAGCTGAATGTGGGAGGTGTTGTGGTTCCTGGCAGTCGTGCTGTTTTGTGTGTATCTGTCCTGAGTGTGTAGAACAGGATGTTGCTTAATTGTTGTTAAACTGGTCTCTGGTAATGTGTCATTTAAATTCAGGAGAAACCTGTGATGACTGCTGTAGACCTAGTAGTACCATCTCTTATTCTCTGTCTGAATGTATTTTTCTGACTTGTAACCTTTGAGCATACAGCATTTCACGTTTATGTCCAAACAAACTCTTCTGGCAGGCATATGTTCTTTTGTTTAGGTGGTCAGGTAAGGATGACTGTATACTTCTCACCTTTTCTTCTGAACTTCCCACACTTCTCCACAGGGGGCGGTAACGTTCGTATTGAGAGTGTGAAGTTGGACTTCAAAGACAAAGCCCAAGCCAAGGTGGGTTCCCTGGATAATGCTCATCACATTCCTGGTGGAGGTCGCATTGTGGTGAGTGTCAGCTCCATGCTTCCATTCCAGTGAAAGGAACACAAGTTTTTGAGAGATTGTCTTGTTCACTTTGGCAGAGTAACTTCATGAACAGACATTTGGGTTACCCTTTGTTAACATGTAAACTGCATGTCGACTTAGTGATCCTAATGTCTACAGTTATTTCTCCAATCTCAAAAGATGGATGCAGAGTATGAAAAACTGCTGAGGTAAATTAGCAAAACTGGATAAATGAGGATTATTTATTCTATTTATTTATATTTTATGATAATAATTGTTAGTTCAGTCAGGGAGTCTGTTTGGGTTTTGGATCCTTTGTCCAAGTTTAAGGGATGAGATTGCAAACAATGACAATAAGATCCAAGGTCTCATTAGTTAATGGTTGGTTGACAAGAGTTGTGACTCATATCAGATAGTGAAGGGTCAAAGTGTTGGATGTATTTCTGTATGCACGTATAAATAACAAGAGTGTTAAATCAGGTCAATCTTCCAAAAACTTGTGTTCCTTTTCCATCTGTGAGGTTATCAGTTAAGGTACAGTATATACGCTGCTGTAGAGGTTTACCTAGACACGCTTCTGTAAGTTCTGCTGATCTGATTAAAAACATTTTTTTTTTGTTTCAGAGTTCCTAGAATTGAAAACTTTGATTTTTTTTTTCTTTCTACAATTTCTATAAAGCTGACCCACAAAGATGCAAAACATTTTCATTGATCATGCGGATTAATGGAGTGCATAAAAATATGAAATGGAAATAACACAGATCTCCTTCCCTATCTTTAATTCACTTCACTCCACCTCCTCCTGTAGATTGAGAGCCACAGGTTGTTGTTCCGTGACCATGCCAAGGCACGAGTAGACCATGGAGCCGACATCATCATCCAGTCTCCTGGCCTGTCTGGCTCCATGTCACCCCATCGCCACCGGGACAGCCACCTATCATCCTCGGGCAGTCTGAACATGATGGATTCTCCACAACTAGCAACCCTGGCTGAGGATGTGACCGCAGCTCTGGCCAAGCAGGGTTTGTGAACATAGGATCTCTTGATTCTTACTCTGCATTCTGGACATTTTTACCCTGGTCCATTCAAACGTTCCTGCCCACTCCTGCCACCCTGAGGCCATCCTTGGCTAAACCACAGCCTCTAAACATCCTCACATCAAGATCTATCAATCTAAGTAGAGACTTGAATTAGGAGCAAATGAACTTTGATCCTCTTTATTTCCTATTTTGAATCCAAATGTGTGCTGTTTCTGATTCATTCTGTTGGCCTCTCTCTTTATGATTGATGTTGCATAGAATAGTTCAGCCTGAGTGCTGGTCCTAGTTAAAGTATTATTCACAAAGTGGGGGCAAAGTGTTGGCTTGACTGGTCCTGGGCCAGTATTTTGGAGAAGCTACAGCCTTTTTTTCTACTTTGAACATGGAGAAATATGACCGGCACACCATGCAGCACGTATTGTTCTTGCTCAGTAAACGTGCATGGACGCCAAACCCCTAATGAACCAAGCATCCTTTCTGCAAGTCATTCTTGTCATCCAATATTTAGTATATTTACCAAATATATATATAGAAATATGTACAAAAAAATTAAAGTTCTTTGCCATCTACATGTCCTCAAAACATTTTAAAAGGAAGTGACAATATGGCTAAAATAAAATATACTTGTAAAATTGCATTACTGCAAGACCTAGGTAATGTTATGGCAAGCATGTACTTACTTAAAAGAGGCTATTTTGTAATCTAAGAAAGGATTTTAGTAAGTTATTTCCTCAACTATTGGTTAAAGATAAAACAAGTTCATGTTTTGTAGTTATTAGTTGTTTACAGTGTTATGCTTGGTGACAATGTCAGACAACCGAATTGGTGTTGCTAAGGAATGCATCTCAGTCCTGTTGAAGAGCATCATACACTCGTACCTGGTCAGTAGTTCAATATAGAAGCAAAGTAAATGCAGGAGCTCATTCCACAAACTTTTGTCTCTTAGAAAACAGCTTAAAGTATCTTGTTTTTACAGCTACAGATATTCAGCTCACATGAACATGAGTGTGGACACTCCTCTGAAAACGCAGGCTGATGTTGTTGCACTCACCTGGACTGTCTAGTGTCTGGACAGAGGGGGACTCTGGGACCTGAGATTAAGCAGAAGACATGGCTTCTCTGAAATCTGTCTGTGTGTGTGCGTTTGGTGCAGATCCAATGCTGTTTTACGACGTACGCTTTCGTACCTGGGTGTTTTGTTGCAATGTGTGGGAGAAGAAAGTGGAAAAAAAAATATTTTGAAAAATCCATTAAAAAGACAATTCATTGAGAAAACAAAATGGCCAAGGGATCTTGTATCCTGTTCATCTCTTAGGAAATAAGTGTTTGAGTGATCTAGTTTCTTTTTCAGACACCATTTGTGGTATATTCTGCCTCCTGCCTAATTACTGCCCCCACCTGAGATTGTTTGTTTGCTTCTGTGTTTTTCTGCATACCCCATCTCTGTGTGCCCCCTTCCCACCTCCTGCTCTACCCTACAGCAACTGTAAATGTATTTAAAAGGTCAAGTAGATGTACGCAGTTTTTCTCTTGTTGATATGACACCAATTACAATAATTAATGACAATAAAATGAGCAAAAAGTTAAACTGGAGTACTGTGGTCTTTTCTAGTTACAACATTAGGAGTAGATGAGGTATATAGTAACAGCATGTGTATAAATTTGAGATACAGAAGTTTATCTCAGCATAAAACTGGTGCTAAAAAGTTTTTTAACCAACTGCTACCTTGAGTTTCTGCAAAACTACAAAGTTCCCTAAATTGAGTTACTTTTTATTTGAAATGTATATAGTTGAATTATCAATCAACTGTTCAATCAAATAAGTAAAATGGAAACTTAAAATGGGAGTTTAAAGTTTATTGTGAAATGGCAGAGGATACAATAAGTTAAGACCTAGGGATGGGTTGGTTTAGGAGTGGATACATTTTTGAAGGCCAGTCCTGGGCCAAATTATTCACCAAGTGAGAGGGGAGGGGTGGTCATCGTTATCCTGCCTTCCCCTCCACCACTGTTCCACTGCGAGCCTCATAGATGTTAAAAAAAACACAAAGAGATGAATGGACTTAACTGAAGATGATGATGGAAACATCTTGTGGAAAACTCCCTGAACAGCAGGAGGAGGAGGAGGGAAAAAAAAGCACCAGTTGGACAAAAAAAAAGGAAAATAACGTGTTGAACGAAACAAAAAAGGGTTCAGGAAATGACATCTCATAGTCCTTTGTTCCCCCTGCTTCCTCAGGTGTCACAGGAAGCAGTGAGTGGATGTCGCGACACCATGGGGTCTGCACATATACGTTGCTCGCCACTGCAGTGACAGGGTCCTTACACAGACATGATGTGCTTGACAAAGGCTGCAGATGAAGACCGGGGCAGTGCACAGAGAGGAGAGGAGGGAAGTGGAAAAAAAGGGGTGGGGGTTGGGGCGGTGAGGACAAAAGCAAAAGTTTAATCAAAGTCAGTCAAAGAAAATAACATGATATGGGCTACAACTGGGTTTAAAGTTTGTTTGATCCAATATATTCACATAATAAATACAAGGTTCTCTCTGTAATCGATCAGCCTCTCAATTCTTGGATCAAGTGTGCATTTCAAAGGACACCCTAGGGATTAGGACAAATAAAAAGGGACGCATATTTTAAATAAATTAAAGTTGTGGCAGAAAAAGCCAAAATAGCCAGTTTTCAGTACGTTAACATCAACTGTTTGGACGTACAGAAATATAAATAAACCTTTAAAGTCTACAAGGAGGCAATTTGTGGAACAGTATAGAAATACAGACGGACAACAGCTAGCCAGAAGAAAAAAAGGCAGGTTTCAAAATAATTGAAATTACAATAACCCTTAGCAGCTGATGTCAATGATTACTATCAACTGTAACATTAAAAAATACCCCCAGGTAGAAGAAATCTGTTGACTAACATTCCTTATTCCACATCCCTTCGTCAACACATTTCTCTTCACTCAAGTTGTTGCCATGGAGATAAATTGTTTTGTCTTGATTTTGGAGCAGCTAAAACTCCCCCTAAAGAGGAAGTGATGTGTCCATACAGACTTGATCTGCCTTCACAGCCAGTCTGGTTATATACCTGTTGCGCATAAGTTCCCCATAGAGTTGATGAAACAAAAAGTAAGTTTTATTTGTATTTGTTGTTATCTATAATGTAGTTTGTGGCTTACCCTCATAATTGACACATCCATTTTCATCCTCCTGTCCAGCCATGAGAGCATCAATCTCAGCCTCAGTCATCTTCTCTCCTATAGGGGGAGACAAAAGACAACCAGGTTTAGCGTCACACACTCACGCTCTGACATGCATAGACAGTAGATGCACACTTGCAGATGCTCCAGTGACCTGGCCTGACTTACCAAGTGTTGACAGAACGATACGCAGCTCAGCACCCATCACTGTGCCGTTGCCCTCCTTGTCGAAGACGCGCAGACCCTCAACGTAGTCTTCATATCCAGCCTTGTTAGGGCTGTTGATGATGGTCTGGAGCATGGGAAGGAAGCCTTCGAACTCTACTCTCTTGTTGGCCATGTCTGAGACAGAAAGAGCAGTGTGTTCACTTCAAAGGTGAACAAGCTAGGCAGGTGTTTACGACAAGCTCTTCTGCAACACTAAATAAATCCTTTTTCTGAGTTTTGAAGGCATGATGTGAGTGAGTGACTGATACAAGCTCTAGTTTCTCAGCCTACATGATAACTTTTGTACTCTTAATTTGTTTTCTGATTACTTTTACGAGAGCTAGTCGTGTTAACATTGATTAACATTATTTAAAGGGGTCAAGCATTTCAGTAAGCAGTAGTAGTTAAAGGCACTGAAAAACAACTGAAAACATTTTTTTTAACAGCTAGTTTACATGAAATGAAAAAATGTGTAAAGTTGTCACCTAAGCTAACTGTCAACAAAAAATAAATAAATAGAGAATATATATATCTTACCATCGGCGGAGGGGCTTCCAAGCATTTTGTTCACCTCTTTGTTGGTGGGGTTCTGTCCCAGAGCGCGCATAATGTCGGCGATCTGGTTGTAGGCCACCTTGTTGTCACCCACTCTGTCGAACAGACCAAAGGCCTCCCTGTAGTCTGCACAGTTCAAGAAAAAGGAGAATACATCTTGTACTTAGTTTGTGAGGTGCTCAATAATGATTGTTTATGATATAAATTTGGGACATGAAGTTTTTTAATGAGCGTAATTCTTGTCATGAAAAGACTGACTTTGATTTGAAAAAAAGAAAAAAAAAGACTTAATCTGAACAAGTTAAGAGCTGATTTTTCCTTCTCAGTAAGATTAAGCATACAGCTGTTGAGTAAAGCAGCAATATCCTATTTTATTTCTACTTTTTCTTTTGTGTGTGTGTAATGACTTTTCCCCCTGCAGAGTTTTGTCATGTTCAACCATTTCACTAAGCACTGTTAAAGGTGAAGTATCTAAGAAACACCAGTTTTATTGAATTTTATTCTTGTCAAGAAAACTGACCTTTTTAAATATCTCTATATTTTCAAATTTATCTTTCTTGGCAACACTTTTTACAACTAAAGACAGGGGTCCTTCACTTCTTTAGTCTGTGAAGAGTAGCTGTGTTTTAACAGCCAGCAGGTGGAGGCAGCTCCTCTGCAAACTGACAATGAAAGTATGTAACAAGGTCAAGACATCTCCATAGGTTGTGGTATAAAAAGCTGAATGGAATGACTCCTGTCGAGCCTCATCACCCCTTGTACTATTTCTATCACAGCTGTCTCCCTTCTCTCTCTCCCTCTCTCTCTCCCCCAGCAGAGCTACGGGCTCTTTTAAAAGACCACCTTGGAATTGATAAACATAGCTAAGAATATGAGCCCCCTCCTTTTAAAGACAAGCCCCTCTGTGGGGGTGGGGGTGGAGGGTCAGGGGGTGTGGAGAGTTGAGTGGAGGGGAGGGAATGCTGACTGCAGTGTAACAAGCACAGGTCCAGATGACAGCTCTGATCTGGTCGAGACTGATCCAGAAGTTTTGTCTTTCTACGACTCATCTATTTCCTAAACTACATCTTTGAAATAACTGCAACATACAGCATTTTTTAAAGGTAAATCTATGTTGAGTTGCAGACCCTACTTAATTAATCATTTAAGATTTTATAATGCAGGGCCTCAAGCAACAAACAAGCAGCCAATGAACTTTCTGCAATGTTAGGGCAACAGGATAGGAGGAATTGAAACTTTACACCAGCCAATAAAGTCTGATTGATGAATATTGGAGTCAGACAGTGTGTCCGTCTTACAGTTTAATGTTGGATTCACAACATCAGACTACTGTTTTGTACTTTTACTTGGAAAATGTAACATTGACTCATTTTCCTTGATATAACTGCACTGCCTATAAAACAAGATTTTTAAGTTTCTTGTAAGTTATAGTTCTATGAATGGTTTTGAAGATTTGTGTAACAATAATCAGATTCAATTAAAAAACAAAAGTAGTCACTATCTGCTGCAAAGACTAAGTACTAAGTGTTAAGTACTACGTGTACTCAGTATTAAGTCACTGTGGGTGTAGGTTGTCATAATTTATCTCTGAGGGAGTCCCAAAATACTCTTTCTTTCTTCTTACTCTCGAACGTATCAGTGTCTTGATGGGAGATTGATTGCTTGATTTACTGGTTTCCATGACAGTGAGTTAAAGACAGAGATTGAATACAAGTGTGTCAAGTTTTATGGACTGCACGGGGCTGTCACAAGGTTGCAGGGGTGAGATGAGGTGTACTTACCATCAATCTGGTCTGCGCTGAATTCAATCTAGGAGTCAATGCAAAGAAGCCATATTAGTTACCAACATACATTGCAGTCTATCACAGACCACATGACAGAGCGCAACCAATTGAATTCAATAGACCATCATAACGAGGCATTTCCAATTTATCCAGTTTAATTAATTAGGCCCACGCAGGGATTAAACCTGTCTCTTTGCTAAATTTAGCTTTACATGTTGGCACTCGATCTGTGGAGGTCCATCTTTAGCTGCATTAACATGTCCACATTTGGTGTCACCCTTCTGTGCCTTCAAACATTAGTCACCTCTGTGCGAGTCCAATCCAGAGAACAGGGGGCGTGGTTTAGGACCCACTGAGCTCTCCATGGTTCTAGTCTGCCTCCTCAGATCACTGAGTGTGGTCCTTCAAACCTGCAGCTGTTCTGCCAAATCACTACTGAGAGCCCTCTCTCAAATGCTAAATATGCACCCTCCTATCCAAACTGTCTGCACTTTTCTAGTTATTAAAAGCGAAGATGGCCCCACATTAAATTAAAGTCAGAGTCATACACCACAACCAATAACTGGTTGCTCTGGAATATGATGCAAGCCAAGTTAGGCCACATTTGTAATGCAAAAACACACAGCTCTAATCAAAGTAATCCACTGTTTTCTAAATGGTAAAATTTTTAAATGTGTAAAAAGTTTTCTGTTTTATCTGGGGTCACGTCAAGGACCCCTCTGTCAAACACCGGCGTGAATTTCAAAGTCAAATCCCATCTCCTTCTGAGTAGCCATCATTCAATCTCTATCCTTCCTCACAGCAGAGCTCGTGCTCCCACGGTCATTGTACCTTGACGGCGGACAGGTCGACAGCGGGAGCTGCAGCTGGAGCAGCTGGCGCGGGTGCGGGTGCAGGTGCAGGTGCTGGTGCAGGTTCTGCGGCCTTCTTGGCGGGAGCCTTAGGGTCCTTCTTGGGTGCCATTTTAACTGATGGTAGAGCTAGTTCTTCCCTGAAGCACAGACAATTCCCGGTTCGGGTGACAACACAAGGAGTGTAGCACAGAGTGGAGGGGACTCGGAGCAAGAAATCACCGCTGGGGCGTATATATATGAGGCTATTTTTCCGCTTGACCCCCGTCAACGCAGTCCCCGTGTAAGGATTGGATAGCAGGTGGGAGGGGTGTGTGTTAGTGGATGTGGACCCTCTAAACATGGAGCATTGGGCTGCGGGCCAGAGAGTGTTTTGCGATATATCTATAATCAAGAACGAAAACATTGGGAACGATATGAGAGGTCGATTCAGGCCGTGCTATTTCCTGTGGACCACATGTGAACTACCGCACTTTTACGCACAGCGCTGCGCACCTTGACGCACTATCCGGACTCTTCGGAGAACGCTCTCGGCTGTCCGGGGATGGACGACCTTAAAGATTTAGAAGAAGAGCTAAAAGTCCAACGGTTTTGCGCCCTTATGTGTGGGATTAAACATCTATTTCTCATCTAAGCCTTCACTCAGTTTTGTAAGGGAAATAAAAAGTAAAGAGAAGACCAGATGTGGAATTGCGTAACATTTTACTCTCTCCCGTAAACATAATCTTCTGCCAGGCAGAAGTTTATGTTTCAGTAAATGGTCAGAACTGAGATACTGATAGTAAGGTGAGGGGGTTCCGGGAAGTGAAAAGGTAGCTGTGGTCACATGTGCAAAGCGTTTAAGTATCAGTGTAGATGTGACACATGATAGAGTTTAGGGTAACTTAACTTTGAATTCCTTTTTCCATATACTTATTTTTATTAAACACAACTTACATGAATCATTAAACCGGATCCTCGGAAAGCCAGCTTAGATTAACAGACATTAGGTGAAGTCAGAATCATGACTCCAGCACAGATGATGTTTGACATGACATGTTTTTATTTACCTTGAAACTTGTGCAAGTGTGATTCATCTCTGACTGACTCATAAATAGTTCCATCCACACCCTGATGCTTGGCCCTGAACTTCACTTGAAAATAGCATATGTCCCATCTTGTGTGTTTGTGTACACCTGCAGATAGAGCTAAAACTACTGCGATGTATTGTAATTTTTATTTATTATCCATCATCTGGTTGGATAGGAGGTGCTGATTCAGAGTATTCATCTTATGTATCACCCCAGCTCAAGTGTCCCAAATATTATTGATCTTTACGGCAAATAGTCTTCGTCTAGGTCAGTCAGGTTGATACCTTAATAAGCCATAGCAACTGTTAACAGACTTAATACAGTTCTGGTTTGATCAGCAGAGACATACAGATTGATGTTTATAGCACAAGGAAGTTGCTCTATTAAAAGAAAAAGTGTAGCATATGCAAAGTAACATATGTCAGAAAATGATTGCATGTTGCTTGGCAACAGTCCATCTCTGTTTCAATCAAGCACAGTGTTGTAGTTGCCAAATGAACCCTTAATTGAAAAATGCAGTGTATAGTTGCTTATTATTTTTTGATCTCTTGCAGAGACATCTCATCAAAGCACTATCTTGTACTTGAGCTAAATTTAACCGAGGACTGCTGTACACCAAAGGTGATACTGAGTTCATCTGCCTCCTTGTGTAGCCTAATTTTGTAAGTAAAACAGAAAATAAGCAGCTGACCAAGAAGGTGGCTTTAGGTTGACAGGTGGTGGAAGTGCTGTCTTTCTTGTCTTTTATTGAGCTATTGTTTATTTCTAGGCCCTGACAATGTCTACTGGGTACAACAGCACCTGTGTTCAATTTTGGGCTTCCTGTCAGTGGGGGGGGAGATGTTAGCACAACTCCCAGGGAGGGAGGATGTGACGTAAAAGCACAGAGCGATGGAGATCTAGTGAAGCTTTCAGCTGCTGATGCCAGTAACCCAGACAAGGCTAAGAGAGCAAATTCTGTCTCCTTAATTCTTGTCTATATCTGTCTCCCGGTGCCAGCAGTGCCGCCCTGCCCCCAACCACCATGACAGGGGCCTGGTGACGAAGGAACTGCATAACTTCCATCAGCCTGCAGCCCCCCAACCCCCACTTGCTTTCACTGACCCCATCTCCACGAGGGCATGCCAGAGAAAGCCTTAGTCCCTCAGCTGTCATCTGGGCTCACCCCAGGCACCCCGCGGCACCTTCTCTGACTCCGACTTCCCCTCTCTCCCTCCCCCTATAGAAACTCTGCCCCAGTGCTTGCACCTGTGCTACAGTCCAATCCAAACACCGCTATAGAACTTTAATGGATTCAGCAGCATGCTAGACCTGGCCTTTGTTATTACTAGATCTCTTGAGAAAGCAAGCTCAGAATTATTTATCATCTTAATCATATTTGATCAAATATAGGCGAACTCTGTTTTATTTAAAATCATCTCATGGTGCAGTCTACACATCTGTTCTTAGCATTTGCGCTCGTGTCCTTAACGCACATCCTAAATATGTTTTCAGTGTTCTGTTACAGTGGAATTTGTAGTATTGCATTTTAAGACATACAACCTTCTCCCCTTGAATAAACAAGAACCCCTACACGTAGTCACCACGAGTGCCCAGCTCCTCTGGGAAGCCATTCTAAGGATGTGAGGTCAGACCTTTAAAGGAGGAGCTGCCACTAGGGACTGTCTTTTTCACATACAGAAAATGCTTTGTCTTCATGCAAGGTAAGAACAATCTCAGTTCTCGATTTGGTAGATTGTTCAGTGAAGGTTTCAGAAGACATTGTGGCTGCATAAACTGCATAAACACAATTGGTGGCATAAAATTAAGTCTTGCATCCCTGGTCATAGTAGCATGTTTATGAGGATACATAAACACCTGCTGAAGACTTGACTTCATTCATCATCCATTCTACTTAAGTGCAGTGGATGACACTTTAGCACAAGGTAAATTAAACAGAAGGCAGGGCTAAGGGTCAACTGTGCAGAAACCTCTTGGAATGAAATACAAAGCCAATGTCAAAGTGCTAAAAAGAGAAAAGCTCAACTACATAGCAAAAATAAACACGTATAAAATCTGAATCAAGAAACAATGAAATAAGGCATTGGCTACTCAGAGACGTGGCTGCTTTGACTGACAGACGGGAACACTGTGGCTGTTCTGGCTTGATTCCGCCTTTTTGCCTTGCTGTGGGTCTATTGGAAGTTAGGTTGCATGGGGATGGCCTCAAAACTCCTCTTCAGAAGCTAATAAGTGATGCCCCTGATGCTCTGTCCATGTTTTTCAGTTTATGGGGTCAACAGCCATGTTCATGCTTACTGAAATGGCTCACTTTTATTTATTTATTTTTTGGTTATAGAAAGTGACAACTCAAGTATAAAAAAAGCATCTAAATGCAAGAAGAACAATTGCATTTCTTCAAGAATTCATTTGAGGCTAGGACCAAAAACAAAGAAGCTGACATCTGAGTTGATAAACGCCCATTTGACAGGAGAGTAAAACATGATGAACGCCCTGTTTTCGATTCTTATCTCATCAATTAGAGTTTTCAAATTCTCATAATTATGCACAATAATACAAAATTGAGGGCATGTCTGATTTGACTGACAGGCAGTCATATTGTTGCTGTTTGGAGGCTAAAGGCCCACCTTAAAGGGATATTCCAGTGTAAAATTAATTTAGGGTCAAACACACCGTAACAGAGTTAGACACCCCCTCGAGAGATGAATGTTGCCGACTGCTTGCTTTTCTAGTTATACCAACTTTAGTAACAACCACATGATCGCAATACACAGCGTTGTCAAGAGCCACACACAGACCTAAACCAAGAAGCCACTCTATAGCCACAAATAATGCTCAGAACAGCACCTAACTTCATCAACAGTACATATAGGGTCACAGCAATTGTACTAGCCAGCAAACATCTTTTTAGCTTTGCCAGATTTCTTTAGCAAAGAGACTAAACACAACTCACCTTCTCTCTTCCAGCAGCCACTTGTTTGTAGCGAGACGTTAACCAGTCCATCAAGGCGTCTCGGTCAAGGCAATCAGACTGAGATGCTAAGGCAGAAGAACTTTCGCGTCTGCAGTGCAAAATGATTGTTATGGTGATTATTACTTCAAGGAAATGATAAAGAAATGAAGCAAGTGGTCGGCAACATTCATCTCTTGAGGGGGTGTCTAACTCTGCGGTACGATGTGTTTGACCCTAAATTAATTTTATGCTGGAATATCCCTTTAACTCCATCTATTTGCCTGTTTGTAGATTCTCTTGCCTGTTTGGTTAGAGTCAGAAATTCTGATATGGCAGAAATCAATGTTGAGTTTTATTTCACTTTAGAAAATCTTCAGAAACCAGTGGGTGATGTCACTGAGAATATGTCCATATATACTGTAGGTAATATAGTGTGATTTAGTGAAGGCCTGTTTGTATGTGGAAAAGGTTTATGCTGAGAGGATGCTGTTCAGCAAAGAAAGTGATTCAGTCTTTTGAGTTATTTGGGCTTTACACACAGTAATGCACAGCTATAATAGGACTTTTATTAATATTGCAGATATGGGTAATACTTTCAATGAACCCACCTCTTATAATGTTTCATGAGCATATTTTGATAAGTTTATATAAACCTTTATAATCTGGTAAAGTTGAGAAAGTTAAAATATGTTATTAAACCTTTAATGAAAAAAAAGCTGTTCTTTTGAACACTTGAAGAAATGACAGCAGATAATGCAGAGTGGGTTTATTTGACCATCTAGGAACATGTGCATTTGAGATCACACGTTCAACAAGTTTGACAAAAATCCATGTTTTTATATGTACCTAGCTTTTTGTCAATCAATTAAAGTCTTGACATTGAGGACAGTCTCAGAAATGACATGTTTGCTGTGCAGACAAAGCTAAAAGATCACACAAAGTCAGGGAAAGTTTACACATTTTCAGATTTTGTGGTCACTCAAAGAAACATTGTCCTACCTTGCTTTTTACAATGCAAAGAAAGAAATTTACCTTCAAATAGGTATAATCAGAGGACAGCAGTAACCTGCATGGGTTATATCTGATGGGCAGAGCTGGTAGTGAAACACAGTACAAACAGTTGTCATGAAGTGATGTATCACACCTTGTTTATGAAAATGGGCAGCGGTATAACCAAAC